TGTATGTATGTATGTTGGCAACTTTGCATGTATGTATGACCAAATGAAAAATTATGCACTCACGTACCAACAAATGTATATTCAACTTTATTTATTTAAAAGTTTACTGCATGTATGTATATGGTATATGGTAAAACAAATCGAATGCCAACATGTAAATTGCGGCCTAGTCATGCGAAAGCATTGAACGCATACAATCACATACATATGTGCCTTTATAGACAATTAACATATGGATGTACATATGTATGTGCCAATTCCAATCAGACAGATTTGGCCGCTATTTAATTTGCACTCGTTACCTGTGTATAACTTCCCTGTGGAATTGGGCACTGCATCGCCAACAACCGCAAATAGGAAAGTCCAACCAAATCTCCAGATACACAACCAGATGGCAGGAATGACTCCAGACCCAATGTCCAGTGTCCAACAAGTCACCACGATGAGTCCACCCGGGGGCGCCAAAATGATCGCTCAGATCATGCAAAGTTGCCGGTAGGCAAAGTGAAGGGGTCCCTCGTCGCGACGATCAACTCAAAGATATATGTATATAAGTACACTTGTACTTATATGCACGAACGCACTGGCTTATGTACACTGAAGAGCACCGAAACGAAAGAAAGTAAACTGCACAAATCGACTTCCAATTTTCAAGTGCTTTATTGCTAGCCATGCAAGGCTTAGCATACGCATAACATAATGTGGACATTAACTTAACAGCGACCAAGAGACTAACATAAACAGCTGTTATTACAAATTAACATTTAAGTCTACAATTCAATGATAATTCAAACAACTTATATCTACAATTCAGATTATTTCAACAAACTTAAATCTATACTTAAGTATATAGGCATGAAATGCCCATACAATGAGCATGTATCGCTTTTTAATATTGCAGCTATCAGGTACTGCTGCTAATTAATGACACTTCAGAATTTGCTTACGATATCACAATAACCAAAGAAACTATTTCACTAAAAATTATTATTCCACAGTTTGTTGTCCTATGAAAAGTAATAAGTCTATGATGTCTCCCACCTGTTTGCCTCCTTCAGTCTGTAACTTAGACTTGTTAGTGCAATTTAAAAATGAAAAACCTCTGGAGTTGTTCACCGACTATAACGCAACTCCACAACCAACACCCTTCCATAATTTCAAGATACTAGTCAACCTTTCCCTATCCCTTTCCAATTATTAAATGTTGCGCCTTAAAGCCATCGAGTTCTGACAATAGCTGGCAGCCCAATCATATCCAATAAAAGTTACAAATAATTCAGTGTAGCCAATTGCTTATCCCTCCACGCAGACCAAGGATTACGCCTCAGTTGGTTCCACTTATGATTAACGGTCGCTCTATTTGTTACATTCCCGTCTAAGTTATTTCAGGCAACATGTGCGTAACAAGGGTCGTCCACTTTTATATCTCGGCTGTCATTAAACATATTAAGATTTCTCAAAGGAAAAAACGACTAATCATGGCTATAACCCAAACCAAACCAAACCAAACTGGCCACTCAAATTGCTGGATCGACGTTGCGTCGTGGGAAGGGATAAAGGTAATTGTGAATCGACAAGAAAACAATAAATATTCGAGAAACATTTTACTCTCCCACGATGAAGCCAGATATTTATTTAGCCGCACAAAGTGTCCAGGTAAACAAAATTAAACGCACTTTGCACACGTGCACGTCCGAGTAGTACGATGACGATGACGATGGCGACGACGACGACGACGACGAGGAAAGGCACGTCCGAGTCCCTCGCAGAGGCAACTGGGGGTGAGAAAAGGGATTGCGTGACCTGCACTCTCAAACTCTCCGTGCGCAACGAGCAGGCAGCACCTGCCTCGGTTCGACAACGTGATTGGCTGAGCCGTTTCCTTGGGTTAGGGGATGATGCCCGGGGTCTGGTATAAATAGGCAGAGATTTTTCAGGGACTGCATCAATCCATCTACTGAAGCTGTTCAGTGCACAAGTCTCGCAAATATTCTTGCTCTATTAGTAACATGGCCTACGAAATACTCGTGAATTCGACGGGCAGTTCTCTACGAGTTACTGCAAAATCTGGCAAATACAGTCATTCGAAAATGATCAAATCTGCATACAAGGCGACATGCAAGGTCTTCCGAGTGGCCAGAAGGCAAAAGTGGCCGGTCGGCGATCGCCGTATTCGAGACTACAAACAAACGCTGCATTTCCCAAGTGACGAGGAGTGCCAGAACTCGGAAAATGAGGTCCTGGAAGCAGTTCTTCGCCAGATGAAAATGTAAACGAGCAACTCCAACTGGACTTGGTTCACCGCCGACTGTTCATGGGTCAGTCTCTAAACAACCTACAAAGCTTTACAATTCTTGGATAAATCGCAACGCTCAGCTTTAATCAACGTCTTCCATACACGTTTAAGTAAATAATCTACAAATACATTTACATACGATATACATATGTGTAATGACTATAAATAATTAAAAATTTAAAAAAACGCAATTTTAACCATTTCTAGTCCATTATTTTATGGGGTTGCACAGTTTGTTGACATAAAACTTGAACTAATCAACAAAAAAGTGTAAATCAAAACTTGTTTCTCGAATATTCCATTTAAGAACATAAGACCCTCACTCCCTTGAAGTTTGGTTTATCATCCACACGCAGGTACCTGCAACGTTCCCTTCGGTAAAAACCTGTTGCCTGCAGAGAAACCTGTTACCTCATAGTGATTTCAGTTTTGCTTTCATCGTGCCTTCTTAGCTTGGGCTCGGCCAAATAAACCTCGAAACACATTAAAACAGGTAAAGAAAATGAAAAATGCAAACAAAGCAGAGAAATAACTACGATGATTCTGATTTTTAAGCACTGCACTCGTAAAAAGGGGGTACAGTTACATGTTTTACACGAAATGTGCCCATCTGTGTATGTACATACATACATATAAACAAATATCTGTGGTACTAAGCAAAATAATAAAATTATTTCAGTGTATATGGAGTATACTAGTACGTGTTTTTACGGAATGACGGTTTATTTGTAGTTTGGTGTAATTATTATCGCGAAAAAATACCAATAAGAAATTTGTGGTATGATATGCCCAAGGGTTAAAATAATTAGTTTCATTATAAATACTGCAAAGAATATAGTAAATATATACACAATTGATTCCTTCCGCCTTTTGATAACCTATGTGTATCTTCATAACTCTTTTCGACTGTCCAACATATCACTATAAGTATACATAAATTCTCTCGTATTTATACTAAAATATAGAATTTGAAAGTTGTACCCATTGATATAATAATTATATTTTTATTGGAGCATTAATTCTTCGAATTCCCCGCACAATTTCTAAAACTGTGCTGGTTGATTCCCACAGGTTGAATTACGAATTTTGCCGATATTTTAGGAATCGTTATCATTAATAACGATTATAATTGAGAAATAAATTGCACAAAAACAGTGTAAAATCTGCTATCCCGCCTCAGATTTTTTAAGATTTATGGATTTTTTTCCACCAGTAATAAGCAAGAACAAGAAAAGAATGCTAAGGTCGAGCAAGCTCAACTCTTAAATACCCTGTACCTCCCACCAAAAAGAAAAAAATGAAAAAAATATTTTTTAAATAATTAAAAAAAGTCTATTAATTAAATTAAAGACATGATCATGGACAGTTTCAACAGCATACATTTACATCAGGATCATGTCTCTACGTGTTTATATGCGTTTATATGCGTGCAAGCAGCAACAACAACAACAGCTGCGGGCAGCGCTGCCGGCAGAGCTGCAGGCAGTGCATGAGCTGCGATTTTTTTTATGGCTATAACTTTCTTCAGAATTGACCTATCATAATTGAATTTCAAAATTCCAAGGATTACGGAAGTTATAAGAAAAAACACGAATTGCGGTGGAGTGGGGGGGGGGGGGGGGGGGTGGATCAAAATAAAAAAACAAACGACCTGCCTAGGGCTTAGGGGAACCTGGATGCCAAGTTTGGTAATTCTAGCTCTTGTATCTCCTGAGAACCTTGCGCTCATACAGACGGACGGACGGACGGACATGGCTATATCGACTCGGCTTGTCACCCTGATCAATAATATAACACTTTGTGGGGTCTGCCACGCCTTCTTCTGTGTGTTACATACAAAACTAGTATAGCCTTTCACTCTTTGGGTACAGGCTATAAAAATATTGAGATATTATCGTGTACTCATTTAAATAGTGTAGCATGTAGGGTATTTATGTCCTTATCCTTTGTATTTATACAGCTGAAAACCGACAAATACTTACTTTAAGATATGGAGTATTAAATGGCCTTATTCGTATATATACTTTTTCGATATACTTTTCCCTGAGTGTAGCAACAGCATTGGACATATGTAGGTGTACCATTATTAATAAACGTATTCATAGAACAACCCGTACATAGAAAAGGCACGCACATTTTGCATTTGCAGAATCGTGCTCAATTTTGAAGGCTACGCCAAGGAGTTTTGGATGAAATAGCAACAAATGCACAACAATAATGAGGTTACGATCTTGAATGCATGCAAAGAACACACGAAAATGGGAAAATGTTTCGTTCCCACGCCAAAGGAGCCTGAAGGATAATAGTGCGTTTCGCACTGGCTACATCTTGGGTTTCTCTGATTCTCACGCTCAGTCTTAATATTGGGATGGTGCAAGCTACCAGGACATTCGTACCTGCTGTGCCTTCTTCGCCTTCAGGAGCAATTCCTTTGTACGCCTTGGATTTGAACGTGAGAAATTCCAAAACCAACCACCTGCCACGTTTCTGCCTCTGTGATTGGCCGAGAGGCTGTAATATTTCTCTCACAAAGAGAGTGCCGGCCGCTCTGCAAGCGAGTGTATAAATAGTGATGCTGGGCTAGGGAGAGCATCAGAAACACTCCGACTGTTGCGACGACAGCACAACACACCAGCTACCTATTGTCTAAATCATTTCGATCGTAATTCGGAATATTCAACTTATGACTGCCATCCAGAACAACATGAACCACCAGTTCGCCTACAACAATAAGAAAACCTTTACCATGTACAAGTGTAAGGTGTCGCCATCGAGGCGTCTTAAAAACATCCTAAAGCCGCTTCTGGGACGTGTCTTCAAGACGAAGACCCCACAAACGAAACGCAGCTCATACATTGCCTCTGAGGAGAAGGAAGCGGAGTTCGACTGGCTGCATAACGACATGGATAACATGGCAAATGAGCATCTGGAGAACCAGCTTATCGACGAGATCCAACAGTGTTCCGCAGATGATGCCATCATCATATATGGCGAGAACGGATCTGCGGAGCTGCAGCCCATGGACCCGGAGGACTACTATGTGCCTGTGAATTTTGCACGCACGAATGCCGGCACCTTCTTCTGGACCTCCCTGCACCCAAAATCTTTCGAGCCATACGCCATAGAATGGAACTTTCTTGATCGATGGGGGCAAGCATGAAGCACCAAATTGACAATGTCTGGGTATTAGACTTCTATGGGACAAACACTACAGATGATGTGGCACCTTCAGTAGGACGGCCACATTCCAAAGTTTGGGATCTTCGACTTTGGATTGCCCAATTGAGGGAACATGCTGTTTGGCCACAAACAGTTTGGCATTTTAAAAACGATTTTAAAATGCATAAGCTGTTAGCCATTCACATTCACACTTTGATGCAAAAATAGCAATTCAATATGTTTTTATTTCTAAAAACAATGTATTCGAAATTGTTGGGGGACCAGTTAGGGATTTATGAATACATAATTCTACAGACTACACAATACATAATAAAAATATGAAAAATTAAAAAAAAATAAAATTGGTGTCTGCTTATTTCTTTAAATGCGTATGTACATTACCTTAATTCTTAAATGACGGATTGAGTGTATGTATTCGCATGGATTGTTATCTGGTTCAAAGGCTAACCTTATAATGGATCCCAATATTATAATAAGAATCTATATGAGACTAGAGGAAGAATAATTATATTCAAATTGGTTAAACGGATATGATCCCATGGCTTCTTAATACCAACGCAAAGTAAAGTACGTGCATCAGAGGCGCGAATAGGAGCGTTTGTGTATGTATGTATGTATGTATGTACAAATTGATCAGAATTACTTAAATACTTAAAAAATTTAGTATGATTATTTTGATATAATTGAATACAGAATACAATAGGTAATAGTTTAAATTCAGAATGATTTTATGTTTTGTTATGTTCTCTCGCGATTCTTTGTGGCGGCACTGCTACCACCATTAAGTGAGGCTCGAAATACAAAATAGTGTGTGTTTTTGAGTTTAATTAAATATAAACAAATAATATCGTTTAAATTACATCATGGATAAAATTTTTGTTCTTAGTTCTGTACCCTTGTTTTTATACATATTTCAAAAAATTAACTTAAGAACCATAATCTATTCTTAAATTTTAATAACAATGAAAAAGTCCAACCACAACATAAATATTTCACAAATAGTTTTGTTTATTTTTTAACTACTTTACCTGTACCAGTGAAATAACAAAAGACAGTTTTATATGACAGTATGATTTATATTTGTTGTTGATGTAACTAATCCATTATGGAGTATAAATGTTATTAAATATACATTTAAACCAACCAACCAAAAAACCCCAACTAATGCGAGCACGATTTCGTTAGGTCTGACACTTCTGGGATCCTATTCGAAAACTTAGCATTCTTCCTGAAACTCAACAGTCTTTAGTAAACATATATTTCTTTTATGAACAAATTGTTTATTTTATTTCTACTTTAATTATTAAATTAATACAAAATGTATATCTACACAATATTCGCTATTACATTTTTAAATTTAATATACATAAGCTTCTATATTTCATTCGTATCAGAAACATTGCGCTAATACAAATTTTTTTGATAAGGCACGACGGTGTTGCCGTTGCAGTAATATTTATTAAAATTGCTATCACAGTTAGAGTCCAGAGACCTTCAAATAGTTATATGTAGTTTCAGAGTCTCTATTGATGCGTTGTTAGTTCATCAATCCGTTTCCAAATAATTGATGTCCTCCATACATAGTAAAATGTTGGCTGTTTTCTTCGTAATCACATGGTGATTCCGTAGTGCTGTAGACCTTCTGGGGTAGCTGAGCACTTGGTACTGATTTGAAGAAACAGTGACTTCGTATTTATAGGTGCGTGAGTGCAAAAACTCGGGGGTGGTTCAGGTAATGCAAGAGTACAGGCGAGAGAGAGAAGACGCCATTATATTGATGATGGACAATGGATGCTGGATCCATTGATTTACCTGATTAAGCAATAAAAACAAATACATACTTTAGTTTTCCTATCGTACATTTATTGCAAATATTTGTAATTTTTAGTAACTTGTAAGAAAACTTTAAAACAAGACTTAAAGCCTACACATGCTTGTACGATTTAGGGTACTGGAAGACATTAATGATTTTGTTGTTGAATGAAGCGTATTGCGTCCTTCTTCGTACATAGTATTTAGAAACTATTTAACAAACAAAATGTTAACAACAACGCTTAAATCTAAAACTGCACATATCAAATACACATCACAGCAAAATGTTCCAAGAACTTGTACTTATGTTTATTGCACATGAAGGCACATTGGCGAATGTTTAGATTATTCGCCCACAGAGTGTCCTTCGAAGTCTATTGCACTTTTCCTAATGCCCGGTCCCGCCGTTTGCTGGTCACATACGTTAAGTCACGTTAGGATTCCGTGTAATCGCCAGACAAACCACTTTAAAGCTTTGTACCAACCAAAAACTGAAGGGATTGCGCTTTGAGCGCCTTAAAGCTGCATCCACGCTGCCAAGCCTTCGGGATGACCTTCACAGTTGTGAGTTCCATCGTCGGGGAAGCGGCGCTCAAAGTCATTTGGAATGCTTCAACTGGCCGCCAACTGCACTGACATCCTCCTCCATCCTTCGCCTGCCTCTGAATCGCATCGCGATGTGGCCAGGTTGTTGTCATCAACGTTATTCACTGAGAACTGACGATACCGAGTGCATGGCTCACGATTTTATACGAGTGGCCGACCCGGCCGCGGATACACTAGCCGCAATATAGATAAGCAATTACACGCATACATATATTCATGTACATGTATGCATACATGATAGGACGGCAGTCAGTTTGTTTGTTTGTTTGTTTCTATGCTTTTATGTATGTATGTACATGTATGTATTATTATCACACATGCATGCGAGAAAAATGACGAAGAATCGGCGCGCCGGGAAGTGCATTATGCAGGCAGCCACAGCCATAGCCCTAGCTCTAGCCCTCGCACACTATCTGCAGACGAGGGGCCTTCATTAATGTTTATCACTTTTCCCAATTTTTGGTCTTCGTTCGTCTGCGTCGGTTTTTGGTCCTCTTTTTCGGTCACTCGGTGAGTCAGCGATTGAACGCAAGAGGGTCAAACTCTTTCATTCGTTGTGATTTGTTATTTCTTTTTTATCTATGTGTTTAATCTGAGGCAGAGTCAACAACCATATACAAGTATGTGTGTACATATATGTAAAGCTACACACACACACGCACACATGTAATGAGTTGTAAAAAGACCGCTCACAGCTTCCATGTGGTTGGTGTTGTTAATCTTAAGCTGGGGCCGTTGAATAGAACCAGGGGTCCGCACCTTGTCGCAGCCTTTCTTTTCCATCTTCCTTCGCTCAACGACTCGGCAACTCACTCAGCACCTCAAAGACCCAACGAACCGACCCCAACAAGCACAAGCTAGGCCATTCATATGCATATTGTACATATGTATATACATATGTATGTATACACATACACATAAATGAGTATGTACACACATCTAGACTTTTGTGTTCTATGTAGCCTACTAAGTATGCATGTATGTGTTTCATATCAATACGCCCCACAAATACTATTTTAAAAGCATTATTGAAGAAAGAGATTGTATAATTTTCATTTAATTACATTCTAAAACAAACCGAAAGAACTGTTTTCCAAAATGCGGGAGCAACTCAGCATGACATTGATTTTCCACAAGCATCTCATATGCGGGCTCCATTACGTGCTGTTAGGAAAAACAAATTACAATACATTGTTCATTGTTCTTTCAACCAACAAATACAAAACAAATGAAGAAAATTTTCAATGATTACCGAATATTAATGGTTGATGCATAAAGGAAACTTTGTGATAAGAAACAAAGGAGTTTATCACATTCTGAATTTATTTAATGGTTCTAGCCAGGGAACAATCATTATACATAGGTGTTATTAAAAAAATTAATAAAATATATATTTTTTTTATTTTTGTCATTCGCTCAAAATATAATGATTAATTTAGAGTTTTACTTTACACTTTAACCAATATACATTAGTTTTAAGTAAAGAGTAAAAATTATAAAATAATAATTATTCTTTAAGTTTTATTTTCTTTATCAAATATAAACAACAAGTTTTAATTGTCCCTGCTCTTTTCATAGGGAATAAGGACTAAATTTATACACATATATCCTCAAACTATAAGCCGGGACAAACGCCTATAATACAGTTTAAAACACATCCTTTAAAAAAATATGTTCAGGCAAAATTACAGCTTGAGTTTTTTCATCAAAAAAATAAATACCAAAGAATAATCATTATTTTATGAGTTTTACGAATTAAGTTGTAAAGTAAAACTCAAAATTAATCATTAAATATTGGGAGCATGTATAAAACTTAAATTTTAAAAATCATAAAACGATATTGGTAAATTTCTTGCTCTCTCAAACTTTGTATAAGTGCATGCTTTTTTCGTTAAAAACCAAACAAATTAAACATTATTTGCGATTGAAGTTAATAAACATTTCGACTTAAATGGGTTCCTACAGACAAACACTGTTGAGAATCAAGTAAGTGAGATAATTATTGCTCTCGATGCTGAGCCAGAGATTGCAATGCTGCAGTTCTTCAGCCTACCCTGAGAGAAGTAAATAAGGCAGAATTAGAACTCATAATTTTACCCCACGCTTGGAAGCACCCCCAAGGCACTGTCTCGGCAGGTAATGATGGCTACAGATGAGTTCTCCCCTGTCATCTGTACATTGTATCTTTCATTTTACTAGCTTGCCTTTTCCAGAAAGGCATCGGATACGACGATGATGGGAAAATAGTTTTACAAATCTGTAAATCGACACACTTTATGCGCGCGCTCTTCACGAGCTCAACGCAGGACCGTGTGGACACGGATGAATAGCAATGTGCAGCAACCGTGGGAACAGAAAAATCCAAGCCAGGAGGTAAACACACAAACACTGCACACATTGGTGGAGGGTGATATGCATTGCTATTCAAAAGATGTTTGGAGGGATTTTTCGATCGACGACGGTACAGGTGCGAAGAAATTTGAGTTGAGTCCGGCTGCCAGAAGCGTGTACAGCGTACTGTTCAGATGCAGCTATTTACAATGCTATAGGAATACATACATATGCCACGACAACGATCCTAAACATTCATCGCGATTTGTGAAAGAATTGTTCTGAACGCATAATGTAGACGACCTTGAGTGGCCACGTCAATCCCCAGACCTCAGTCCCATTAAGATCCTTTGGGAGGGAATTCAAAGATCGCTTGCCAAAGCAAAATACAGTTATGGGAAAATATTTAAAAAGTTTGGTTTAACGGTCCTGTAAAGATTTACCAGCAGTTGGTATTCCTTATGTCTGCAGGAATCGAACAGAGCAGTGAGAATAATAACGGATATTCAGTGTATTAAAAAGTTCAATAAAATACGGGACTATAAATAACAAAATTTCAAAAATTGTATTTTATGAATTAACTAAACGCCAAGTTATTTTTTATAATTTATATATTTTAAAATATATTTTGAAGCTGATGTGTGTTTATGTTGAGATAAATTAAAATATACATATGCCAAATTCTATTTTTAAACGGTCTTCTTTTACACGGTTTTGATTTAACACGGTCTGAAAATGAAAAATTTTATATATGGTTACACGACTTTATTCCATTTAGCACGATTCAAAATAACGCAAAAAAAAACACACACACAGCTGACAAACATTTCTAGCTGTTATAAGGGTTCTTTCAAGGATCGTTAGGCACATTATATATGTACATATGTGATTTAATAAAATAAACATGAATCCTAATTTTTTCAATGATTTTAATAGGGTTTAGAGATAAGGAACCTTTCACCTATTTCTGCATATGATCAATGTTTTTTTTTTTGCACGGTTTTTTTACACTGTTTTTTCTGGAACCAACCTATCGAGTAAAAACAGAATTAGGTATAATATGTAAGGCAAGCTTTCTTCTGATTAAAAATTGCTCACGCCTATTATTCTATCCAGGTGTGTACATGCCAATGCATTTCTGTTTAATTATTAATGCTCCGTATTGCACACCTTCAATTGATTATAACCAATTGAAATCAATCATTGCAGCCCTATTGACGTCTGTTTTAAAATAAATGTGAAAGCTCGCTGACCCACAGTTGCAGTTCGAGTGTTATATAAACAAGCACAAATGGTAACTATACAAGTAGTAATAAATATTTCCGCCGGTCAAACGTAATAGAAAAATGTCTACCATACCGTAGGTCCGCTTAACATATATCATTGTGGCTTCTACCCTGGCAATAGCAGGAAAATGTGCCTATTATATTGCTAACCTTAACTATGGGGATGCTTTCCGTCAGACCTATGGAACTCAGATCGAACCCATTATCCCTAGAGCAGAGGGCAGAGAAAAGGCTGGTGAAATGAGCCTGGCGAAAAAGTATGAATATTGCATCAAAATAATATTGGTTTGCTATTTAATATGGGATGCTCCACCTGACTACGACGATTACGATGAAACAAGTCAGGAGACTACTGACGAAAATCTACAATCACCAGACCGCGTCTCAAAAGTTGTTAGTGAAGTGAGAGACGATATTGAAAAAGCCAAATGTATTCCCAAAAATATAAGCAATGAGCAATTGGATATGTTTTGGGCCAGCGTACAACTTTGGGAGTCGGAGGTGAGGAAAACACTATTAACCCATCACAGTTTTATGGGTATACGAATGGGGAATGCAATAAAAGTTAATCTTTGGAATGTTTTCAAATTGCGGAAAGTGGTTATTTGCAACAGGACCAAATACGATATAAACGATTTTACTACCAGACCTATAATTGCACGAACTACAGTTTGGATGCCCACTTCGCCTGTCACTCTTGTGACAACTGATTCGTCAAATACTTTGTCTACTCCGCCCACATCTAAAGCAACAAGCTCCTCGTTTTCCCCGACCATATCTAAAGATCCCGAAATTAATGAAATTAGCACAACAAATAATGACAGTCAGATTACAACAAGCAACTACCCTGAAGAAAGTAAGCAGACCTCTAATAACTGTGACGTCAATTCCGAAATTGGTAAATGGATAGACAAGGAAGTGGGAAAGGCACAAAACCTTCAAAGGTTGAACAATAGAATAGTAAAATTACTTGAGAAACTACAAAGACATATTACGAGGGACTGTTGTCCTTACGAACCGGTAAGGGACCGCGTTGAAGTAATCAACGACATAGTAGACAGCATGATCCAAATTAAAAACGTGCCTCCTTATGAGCGGGCAAAGTCAAGTGGCTCCATGGCAATTGATTTTGACAATCTTAGAGTACGTTTAGAGTACCTATACAAGCACTCCATACACGACAATCCTTCGAGTAAGTGTTGCCCAAAATGGGCGGATCAAGTGGACGACTTCCAAAATATTTTCCAAACAATGTCTCACACTATTGCAGAGTCCAATGGAAACAATTCTTTTTTTGAGGAATTACAAAAAATGCAACAGAACCTAGAACTTGATTACAAAAATCAACAAAAACGTTTAAATCTTTTGGAAGAAGCACTACGAAATGACAAAATGGCACATGTGGCCGCAAACGAGAAATGTTTTAAGAATCTCAATGTAAGTTTAAGCAACATTGACACAGTCATCAATAACCTTAAACTTCAACGCCCCATAGATGATTTAAGTGAAACAATCAGAGCATTAAATGGTAGCATTAACACTGCTAAGGGAATAATTCAAGAGACGGAAGCTTTAATAATTAATGAAGAATCACAAATTAAAAATTTAAGCTCTAAATGCGATGGGAAATGTAAGAAAAGGGAGATACTTAATGGCATTGCGTCAAAATTTAATGAAAAAGCAAAGCAACTTGGTGCGAAAATAGATGACTGGAATCAAAAAGTTAATGAAATCGACGATAATTTCATGCAAAGTAACATAGCAGTGAAAAATGAAGAAAACAATTTGGCTAAACTCAATAAAAGTGTAACAGATGCAGTGGAAAAACTTGGCGACGTTAAAGAAATACGAAGAAAGTTGAATGATGCACTGGAAAATCTAAAAGAAGCTTTACAAAATGATGATAAATTCTTGGCAACAACTATTCCTCCATATACAAATAACACTTTTTCGATAAACAGCTGCTTGAATATGATTCAAAAATTGTCGAAGCAGTTGGAAGACCTGAGTCTCAACCACAAGGCTCAACTGCAAGTACACGAAAATATGAAATATGAATCGGAAACTAACAAGAAAGACATAACATCTAACCTTAATACTCTAGAACAACTTATTGACGACCTAAGAAGAGCACTCACTGCAAGTAAGCCAAATTTAAGCAATAGCCTAAAGGATCTACTTAATCAATTGGAAAAACAGTTTCAAAACATTCAGCAACCAAAAAAAAACATCACCGAAGTAATTACTTCACAAAAATTGGAATTCCTTTTAATGAAACACCACATTATTGCAAATATTTCAATGAAAGCTGAGGAAATGAATTCATCAAATGCTTTAGAAATCATAAATCAAAAACATCTAAATAGTCGCCTTGATGAGTTGGCATATAGAGTTGGAAAAAAAGATCTTGACAAAGAAATGCCTTCCATATTGGAGACAAAATTTCAATTAATAGAGAGCGGCTATGAGAAACTAATAGGAAATAATAAAAGTGCTGCAATAAAAGCAATGTGGGATCGTATTGGCCACTTAAACCAGCTAATAGAGCAGGTCAATGCTAAAATTAAAGAAACCGAAGCGAAAGCTAAGCAGTGCAATAAAGACTGTGGAGCGCTTGAAATTGACAAGCTTGAAAAAAAGCTAAAATTTTTGGAGCAAGTATTCAAAAAGTTATAAGTATTTCTAAACATCTTAAGTCACATCCACTTGTACATTTATCAATAAAAGAGAACATTTTTTGATTTGTATAAAATAAAACAATTTCGATTTTTCGCGGCATTTAAAATCAAAAGCGAGAGTGGCCACACAATTAAAATTTCAGCGTTCCTCTTTCTTTCTTTGAATTGGCAGCACTTCTCTTGCCACCAACAGCTGAGCTGTCAAAAACACGTGTTGGTTACTTGGTATCATTTGTTGTTAAATTTTTAAGAGTTAAGTTCAGCTAGTAAAAATGCTGGACAATACGCCGCCTCATCGACAAAGCTTCAATTATGACAGCGACGAGGAGCTTATAGAGGAAATAGCACTAGTTGAACATGACGAACCACCTTTAGATGACGACGACGAGCTAGAAATGGAGGAAGTTACAATGGCAGAGCTGGAAAATCGGTTAATGCACGCCGAGAACAGAGAGAGCGATGATGAAGCAGAGATCGAAGATCAACAGCGAATTGCAAACATTAAGGATGAAGCACTTTTCACGTTCCGCAAACATAAGCAGCCGGTTTTCGCATGTGGCTTCCATCCACAGCGCGACTGGGCAGTGACTGGTAGCCAAGACGACCTTGCCTACGTCTGGAATATAAGCACTGGAGAGGTTCTGTACGAGATAAACGAGCATCGGGACACAATAACAGAGGCCCACTTTAGCCACGATGGAAGCTACTTGGTTACCGGTGACCTAGCTGGCGAGCTGCGTGTGTACAAAGTCAGCGAGCAACGCGAAGATCGTCCCATTTTAAGCAAAGTTTGGGAGTATTCTATGTCTGACATGACTTGGTTGTTTTGGCATCGTGCTGCCCACGTCTTAATTGGTGGCAGCGACAATGGGGACGTCTACGTCTGGCGCATACCAGGGGGGGATTGCAAAATTTTGCCTGGCCAGGATGAGCGCTGCGAGGCGGGTGATCTGAGCAATGATGGCAAGAAGCTTCTTACAGCATATATAAATGGCGTGATAAAGTTGTGGGATCTGAAGACGTGCCAAGTCCTGATGGAGGTAAATAAACAGCACACGCTGGCATTTGGCGATATCACCCACGCCATTGTAGCCTGTGATCGTGACTCGCCCTTTTACCTGTGCGCCGAAGGTGGTGGTAAGTAAAGACGTCTCTGTCAATAATCTAAACTAATCACTTAATTTTTTCTGGTCTGACAGGAAAAATGCTTTTCTGCACCAATAATGGGCCCGTTAACAGTGTGCAGTGTGAGCATGGCATTGAATGCGTGGCCTTTGCTCCGCCCACTGCTGAATTAAAGTTGGTCGCATGTGGCTCGCTGGAAGGGAATATCACCATATGGGACTATAGCAAGTACGCCGTGCGTACTGTGTGTGAAAATCCTTTGCCCAACGATGGCGTGTTAAGGTAACTCAAGTGCATACTACCATTACTAATGGGGTCCGCCACAACCTGTCCCTTAATCCAATGTAGACTAAACAAAATTTAACACCATTTCTTTTGTTTCAGACTGAAATGGCTTAACGATTATACGCTGCTTGCTGCAACTTCTCAGGGCAATCTCGTTGCTTACGATGCGCGTACCGGTGTTCTTAAATTTACATTGACTGGACATTACTATGATATTTATGAATTTGTGTACAAGCCAGAAGAAAATTTGTTGTTGTCGGTATCCGAGGATACCACTGCAAAAATATTTAAAGTGCCCTCATTGGGCGAATAAATATATAATAATAGTTTGTATACTGTTAATAAATGCATATGTATTGTCCGAATAGCTTAATAAGTGTGTAAACATATAAGTATTCAGTGTTTTTATGTAAATATACATATCCATATGCCAAACAATGTAACTAAATAATTATCTCATCGTAGTTGTGTAAATAATAAGAAATTAAATTTCGATAATTAATAAGTGATTGGTTAAAAAGACCTTTGAATTTAAATTGTAGAGCTAGCAAACAGTCAAAACGGGAAGTAAATTAGAGGAAATACTGATTACAATACTTGATATTTACATTAACCGGCTAATTAATTAATTTGTTTATTAATTAAAAGCAAATGAAAATATTGAATGTAATTTTCGATTACATTGTCACTTTTCACTGCCCTCGAGGCAGTTGAACGAACTTTTTACTTTTCCAGATACAATCTACTGTCATCGCAAGCTAAGCAAGCTGCTATAAAAATTATGATATGTATGTTTGTAGAAATGCTTAAAGATAAACACACTCAAATTAAATGCAATGCATGCACTCTTTGGTTCGGTCTCTTTGGTTTCGACTGCACATGCGTGTCATGCATTGAGAGCGCCATCATTCACACGAGTCGGGAAGTCCGATTTCATTCCTGTCAAGCAAATACACACACATAACAACAACACATCTCACTCAAACACCCACACCTACACCTACACTACCCACACAATCGCATGCAATTGTAGACTGAATAAAAATGTTGTGTGTTGTTTTTTATTATTATGTATATTATTAAAGCTGTGTGTATTTTATTCTCCCTTTGCAACCAGCAGTGTTGTCGTTGTTCATCAGACAACACACAAGAAAATCACTTTCAGTGCCATTCGTGTTTTGTATCTGTGCGTTACGCTTGTCTACTGCGAAATAGACGGCTGGTGAAAAGTTCGTTGCATCGTGAACAGCCAAATTAAATTTTGGAAATTATTTTGGGTACATCAAGAGTAGCAATGATCCATAAATTTTGAGACAACAATAGCCCATCCACAAGTGACAAAAACCAAAAGAAAAACACAAAAAGTTTTATATAGCACCTTTTATAGATAGATCGTTTACATATCAACCTATCCAGTGATTCGATGCATATACATAAGTATGTACATACGTGTATGTGTAAGTTTATGCAAACACCACATTAAGGGAATCACATTAAGGAAATCATCACAGATAATATGAAATATATAACTATATTGGCACTATAAATTTCATAATGAAACACATGTCTCGTGTTCGTGTGTCATGAGGGAACCGACAAACAAATATTAACGAAAATTGCATCTGGAAGTGATCCATCATATGTTGTTCTTTTTTATTGTACACTTGTACGAGTATTTGTGGCGCGCAAACCTAAAAACCAAAAAAAAAAACCCACAAAAACAATAAAAGTCAAAATCACAGTTAATCAACGACAAAAACAACAATAACAGCAACGACCGATGGTGTAAATGTGCTCAAATGTGTGGGTGTGCGTGTGTCTCTTTGGCGACATTTACAATTAGATTATCAGAGCAACAATCACAACAACAACCTCAACAAAATACCGCTCTTGATAATGCAAATCGTAGGCGCTACAATTTTTTTTTTTGTATAACTATGTCATATATTTTTTTACTTTTGTGTCACTACACGTGCACTTATAGATATACAGACATACATACATACATATATGTATATTTTCGTGTATATCCATATATGTATGTATGTATGTATAGCTTTGCTTTCATGATAATAGACTTGGACAGTAAAAGTTCATACGGATTACGATCACCGCACAATTGAATTATCACAGTTTGAAATGTCAAATACACGCGCCTAGCGACCCCCATAGGTTGTCAGCGAACGCGACGCAGTTCTCGTTACCCACTACATTCATACTTATACAGTATATGAACAAACATAAGTATCCCCACATATGAACAAATATGTACATACATACTTATACATATAAACATATAAATGCAAATAAGTGATTTTTGGGCCCTCAAGCTCAAGTGTTTAACAAAAGTCACACAAATTTATAAAAACTAACAAACATAATACGAACATTTTCTCAAGACTTTTTATGTGAGCAACAAAATGACAATATAATGGAGGCTAATTCAATATACAAAGCTGTCTCAACACCTAATAATCCTGGCATGCCGACAACCACAACTATGCCTTCATGTTCGAGTCGAATTCATTCTCTATCTCTCAAGTAGTACATACTACGTGTATATGGTAATTGTAAGACAAAGCATTTGACAACCTAAAACATCAATTTAGATTTAACAAAGCGTTAATAAAAGTGTTTAGAACAGTTTCTTAGCTGTATTTAGCATTTTTTTTTCAATGTCGTTTCATAGCTAATAACCCCTAAATACGAGGGCAGTTCAAAATGTTTCTAGCCTCACAATGATAGAAGGGCTACAATAGAATTTTTCTTTAACATTTTGCTCTCTCTAAGTCGACACACTTCTTTCGACGATGATCCCATATTTAATCCTTCCAAAAAGTATTCGCCGTATTGCTCCATTAAATGGTTGTTTATGAATATAGCCTCGTCATTTGATCAAAATTTCTAGCCTCCAAACGCAACTTTGAGCTTAGGGAATAAATATGAAAAACGCGATCTTTTCAGCTGCCCATAACTTAGTAATTGCAAATAATGGGGGAAAAAATATTTTATAACCGCGCGATATTCAACTATCACCATTTTACCTTTGAAGTTACAATCTACTTTTTCAACTTATTCGTTCGTTTCCAATTTGTTGTTTAAAAAATATATTGATTTGGTAAAATCCTTCCTTTTCTGGACCAGTACGTACATATACTCGTATAATAATTCCATTTAATTCCATTTATACTAGCAATTTATTTGAGCCTTTCTGGGAATATTGGGAAAACTAAACGGCCAATCATTAGCCATTCACCACCTAATTTGTTTCTTTTACTAGAGAAACTACTATATTGTGGCATAAAAAGCCGAAAATCGAGACACAGGAGGCTAGATCACCAAATATATGTACATTTATGTGCATTTGTACATATCTATGTACTTACTGCCTTCTCAAATACCTAAATAAGCTGAAGTCGTAATCGAGAAACCCTAAAACAGTGCCAGTCACTCATAAATGTCGAATAACACCAACTAACCGAAGACTGCTGTATTAAGAAGTAAGACCTCGGGCCAAGTTGCTTGACTACCTCAATGTGGCTCACGCATATCAAATGCAATAAAAACCAATTGACACCTAATTGCTCTGTGATACTCTGATAAATTCGCATGTGCTAATAAATCAAGAAGTTAAGCAATATCATTATAAAGTAAATATTTAGAAAGCTGCCTACTATCTAATTGATTTAACGGCTATTAAAAGTACTAAAACATGACACATTTTATCTTATGTTCTTAGGACATGATTATATTTTTATACTAAACCATTAAGTCTACAAGCCTATCATATTTAGATAAAGGAACCCAATTAGTTGGAGCATAAGGTCTTGTCCGTCTGACTTTTGCAAATTTCCGTTATTATAAAACCACTGCTCTATCTTCAACTTTGAATTTGCTAATTTAATATAAAAATTGTAATGTAATATATAAAAATGAATGAATTTGTTTTCTTGGTGATAATATATGAACGTGTTATATTCTCATATACAGACTTTAAATGCGGAAATAGGCAGTAGGAATTTTAAAGCAAACAATATTGAACAAGAAGCTCATACAAATGAAATGAAGTGGAAATTATTATAAATAGAATAAGATAAGATAAGTAGGTTAGAAGCGATACTCCATAACAATAGATTAATAATTAAAAATGAAAGTAACCGCAAATCGTTATAAAACTAAGGTAGGCACTCAATAAATACCTATGCCACTTAAGCTTGCTAACAATTTCTACCTGAGGTCAATGACTATAATAATATTTGATATGATGCCTACATATGTATGTACATATACCACATCAGCTAAGTTTACAAAAGAGCAGACAAAAGCTTACAGGCAAGAGTATTTTAAGCATTGGAGTTGTTATCCAATATCAACCAAATTTGGAGTTAAAGAGCAAGGAAAAACGTTCTCTTAAAGAACGACATACTCGCACGTGCTTCCAAAGTTCTCAGCAAAGTTGCTTGAGTTGTTTTTGTACTACACATACGCGTACATCTACATAAGTATGTTTGTGGTAGTAGCTGTTGGTTTTACAAAAAACTGCTGCTGAAATATTTGCTTATTCTTACATCATCCGATAGAAGAGCATAATGTGTTTATGTGTTGCTTGAGAGTTTCCAGCATTTGGCCTGTCCTGACTCGTGGTCAGGTTAATGCAGTCTGAGCGTAAACTGCAAGCGACAGGTAAAGCGCACATGCCCGCTAAAGTTGTGTTTATAGCACAGCCATAAAAACAGAGAAGCGCAAAGAGCGAAATGCTTGACAAAACCAACGTTGCTTGTTCGAGACTCGAGTACAAATACTCTTGTACGAGAAACCAAACGCAGCTACCGGCTGGCTGCCTGGCAGTCATAAAAATAAAAAACAGCCAAAGCCAAAGTTAGGCGTACAAGCAGGCCAAGCAGAGCGTCGCCGTCGCCGTCGTCGTCGTCGTCGCCGTTGCGGTCACATCGCATAAAGGGGAGTCGAATTTGATTGCAAACTTAGTTCGGGCGCAGTGAGTGTTTGGTGTAGATGAGCGAAGCAGGCGGAGACCGCTACTCTGTGAAACACATTATTCTACTTTAGTTGCCACAAAATATTAAACAAGAAATAATAACCTCATACTCGTGGTATCTTCCCCGAGCAATATTTGCTCAAAAAATGCCACAACCAATCAAGCAAACGCATTAAAAACCAAAACCACGTGTGTGTTCTTCGTGAGTGTGGTGTACTTGATAAATCTCAATACGAACATATACTTATGTATATTAATGTTTTTCCACATACATTGTATATATATGTATACCACTTGTAGTATTAGTAAGCGCGGAGTAATGAATTTAAAAAATAAAAGGCAAACATGTGGCCAGAGTAATGAAACAAAATTTTAAAATAAAATGTTTAGTACTATATTCATATAAAAGCCACGCTGGCAAGTTTTTGTCGAGCTTATAAAATAAATAAAGATACTAAAAGTTGACAGTGGCAGGCAAAGTTAAACGGTAATAAAATTAAAAACAAATCAACATGTGTTGGTGACATTACAAACAAACAAAAAACAGCAACATTACAATACAACAATATAAAATAAGACACGGAAACTCAATTAAAAGCACAGCTAAACATACTATACACATAGTTTTAAAACACAGTCGAAATTTAATTTCAAAGAGCAGCAAGTCATCACCCTCTTCCACCAAATAATAACGAAAAAATGGCTCGAATTCAAGCCAGCGATACTCTTATACCCCGTCAAGTCTTCGAACTACCGACAGCGCCCGCGAACGACAAACAGAACCTTCGAAGCAACTCTACGGCGGGCAGTTCTAGCCAAGGATCGGGAGTCAAGCTTAAGCAACGCATTGGCCTGCTCGATGGCGTGGCCATCATAGTCGGCGTCATCGTGGGTGCCGGCATCTTCGTCAGTCCCAAAGGAGTGCTCATACATTCCGGCTCCATTGGACAGTCGCTAATAGTTTGGGTGCTCTGCGGCGTTCTCAGCATGGTGGGCGCTCTGTGCTATGCTGAATTGGGTGAGTAATCTATTTGGTGTGGGCGGGGCTGAGCTATAACTTGACGGTAGATAAGCACTGAGGTGCTTAGCTAGCACAAATATAAATGTATATTACAACCGTTCGTTGGTATTTAGGCCATGTGGGCACCAGACACTGTCATCAATGCATAGTAGAGGCCGCCCATGACCCGAATTCTTCGGCTACCGAAGGCACGGAATTATAAGAGGGTTACTTTACAGTCAGTCAGTTGACAGTCTTTATTTTTAACAATGTGTAGATCAAGATTAATTGCTAATCGAATCGATGAATACCATTCTGTAGCTCTTCTCAACCAAACACAGATACATATATGAATTACCGAATGTCTTCGAAATTACTTGAACTTACTTTCCATTAAGTCGCCGACGTCTGGCAAGTCTTACTTCACATTCATTTGAAATCTCTTTAAAGCTTTCTACCCTTTATAAAAAATAAGGGTGGACGAAACACGTTTTTACTCGATTCATTGAAATGCTAAAGCAATATAATATTTCTTAGAATAGCGCGCCAAGTTAAAAACGAACCCCAAACATGTTTGCTTGTGTACAATCTTATATTCATAAATACTAAATAGGCACATATGTAGTTCCAATCTCAACATAATTTGGTTCAAGTAATTTGTGGCATTTGAAGCATCATTTGTACGAAAAAGAAACAATCGAGTATAGACGGTGGAGTCTAATGTACCTCCACTCACAAATATGTATGTGTGTATATTTATAGGTTTTTGAAAGCTACTTTGGCATCGTGACCAATTACAACATAAAAAACCGGAAACACATTTGAAAATGGAAATGAACGAGCATATCAAGATGTACAAAACCAAATCTTTGCTTTGAGCAAAAAAGAATGCAATTCTATCGGTGGGGCCATTGAAAAACTGGAATAAAAGAGAATACCTTTTTGCAACAGTGAATAGAAAAGAGTATGCAATTTATGCATATAAATGAAAATAAGTTCACAAAATACTATACATTAAAATTATTAACATCGCTCGCTCTAACAAGTAGAGCGTTGTTTGCACAGCTGATTTTGTTTTTGGCGTGGGGCAAGTTTGTTTTAGCCAGACAGGCGATCAATAAACAACTCAATTTGTTACATTACTAAGAGATTGGTCGAGTCGGTAAACTGGTCTATAGCATGTATGTATGTCAAAGCTGCTCAAACATTCAACAAAATTGTATATAAATTCAAGTCCTAACTTAGTATGAAACGAAGACTGACTGCCAAGGTTTTTTTTCTTTTCTGTAAAAAATAAGTTGACGTCACGCTTGCCAATAATGTACGATTAGGAAACAATTTCAAAGCAGATTACAGATTTATGCCGAACTAAGTACATTCATATATTTTGTATGCCATGCTTATCAGCCCAGCATTGCCTTTCGACAGCAAGAGCAGTTTATAGCAACAAAATAAAATTATAGGAAAGAGCGCACCTTCGCTGTTAGAACACATGATACACGTTTCTCTTTCTCTCTTATTTCAATATATGTATGTATGTTTACTTCTCTTATTCAAAGGCACCATGATACCGAAATCTGGCGGCGATTATGCCTACATCGGCACTGCTTTTGGACCGCTTCCGTCTTTCCTATATCTCTGGGTGGCGTTGCTGATACTGGTTCCCACTGGCAATGCCATAACCGCACTCACCTTTGCACAGTATCTGTTAAAACCGTTTTGGCCATCGTGCGAAGCGCCCATCGAGGCGGTGCAGCTGCTGGCGGCTGCCATGACTTGTGAGTAGATTGGAGGTCCTAAGGGCTGGTTTCGTTATGGATTCTATGTTTTTACAGGCGTGCTTACCGTTATCAACTGCTATAACGTCAAGTGGGTGACACGTGTAACGGACATCTTCACAGGAACCAAAGTCTTTGCCTTGCTGGTTATTGTGGCCGCCGGTGCTTGGTACTTGATAGGCGGCAATACTGAACACTGGGACCAACCCATGAAGGGCACCAACACAGCACCGGGATACATAGCATTGGCATTCTACAGCGGCCTTTTCTCATACTCAGGCTGGAACTATCTGAACTTTGTAACCGAGGAACTTAAGGATCCATATCGTAATCTTCCGCGAGCTATTTGCATATCTATGCCAGTAGTCACCATCATTTATGTGATCACCAATGGTAAGACACAAATGCAGAGGGTAACTGTAGTATGATTATATGTATTCTTATCATATGGAGGAAAACTATAATTATAATAATTATTTCAAAGTGTTGTTAAGCCAGTATAGAAATCAAATTTAAACATTTCGGCTATAGCCGAATAATAATTTCCAAATTGAACAAACAACATTTTGGTTACGCTTGTAGTGTAGAAGGATAACTGCTGCTACAGATCTCTTTATGGAGTAAGTGGAGGCTTCCCTCTGTCTATAACATATGTACATATGTATGTATATACTCCTAATCGTAAGAAATTGGCAGTGTATTTAAAAGAGAGCCTAAAGAAACAAGTGTGGTTTAAAAGCGTACAGGAATTCCATACAATGGAAGCATGGATTGAATGCCAATACACATACATTTATATTTTGATGTACTATAGTGCGAGAAATCTAGATATCTTGGCATATAGTACAATATCTAATGATGGTTTCTTTTCTTCAAACAGTTGCATACTTTTCGGTGCTGTCGAGTGACGAAATACTGTCATCGGATGCTGTGGCCGTTACATTTGGGGACAAGCTTCTCGGCGTTATGTCCTGGACAATGCCATTCTTTGTGGCCTGTTCGACATTTGGTTCCCTAAATGGAGCCATATTTGCTTCATCTCGTTTATTTTTCGTTGGTGCACGCAACGGTCATTTGCCAGCTGCCATATCGCTGATCAACATTAACTGTCTGACACCCGTGCCTTCATTGATATTTTTGGTAAACTATCTACAGACAGAAAATATCTCCAATAACTGCTAATATATCTATTTATTTACCCATACAGTGCGGACTCACCTTGGCGCTGCTCTTCATCAAAGACATATATGTGCTTATCAATTATGTTAGCTATGTGGAGGCACTTTTTACTCTCATTTCTGTGTCGGGTTTGCTATGGCTCCGTCACAGACAACCTCAAGCGGAGCGACCCATACGCGTTAATCTCGCACTGCCGATCATCTTCCTAATAACTTGCCTGTTCCTTGTCATCGCCTCGTGCTTCCAATCACCCACAGAAGTGGGTGTAGCCACGACCATCATTCTTTCAGGAATACCGGTCTACTATCTGACAATACATCGCCCGGTCAAATGGTTGGCGAGCAGCTCTCAGGCCATCAACATGTGGTGCTCCAAGTTCTTCATCTGTATGCCGAATCAAGAGAAGTTTGACTAGATTTTCGCATGAGATGCCCAATTCGCAATTCGTCAATTGGGCGCCAAAAACTAAATGAGAATAATTTGTAATTAGTCTAAGTCTCAGTTTTAGGTAAGTCGGAAGAGTAAGAGCATAGTTTGTATTGCCTTTTTACTGGACAATGAATATGGGTTATTCGCCTGTTGCGTTTATTGTAAATACAAGAATGGATTCAAGTTTTCAGCAACGAAGAAGTTTTGATATACACGTAAACTGTTAATTATTTAACATATCAACTAGAATATTAGCATTATACATAATATATACATACATATTTATGCATTTTGTATTCACAATTCCAATGCAGTTCCTCAGCGATTAAGTCCCCAAAAAGACACATACATTTATATAAACTTACTTATTTACACTCAATACTATTAATAATCTAATAAGCGAGTCTCGTCCAATTTGTGGACGAATTCGATCATTTTTTGAAGTTTGTTAAAATTAATAATTTTTTAAAACAATAAAAATTTAAAAGAAATTAAGCATACGAGTATAAATAAATCATTGACGTGGGCTTAAGTCCTTATCATTTGTATTCTCATTATTTGCAATCATCTTACAAATTATACGTTCTATACTGCTATAGAACGTTTTTCAAAATGCCTGTCAATTCCTGTTTTGGCGGTTCTCTCTTTTAACGGTTATTAAAAGTGTTACCAACTAGGGTGTTATCAGAGGTCTTTAGCATTGATTCCCAAATAGGTACCTTGTATTGATCGAGTGCACCTTGCAATTCAATAACATACTAGATTCGAATTTAAACTATATTTTTTGGTGGGGAAAATCTGCGGCGTTATTATCGGAGTTATGAAATTCCCTTTTGGCGTTAACATTAAGATGGAAAAAGTTGCAAATTTATTACATACTATTATAATGTGTCTTATAATACCTTCTATCTACTATAATGTGATTCAACATTTTTGTAACAAGTTAAATAAATAGTGAACAACAAATTGATCAGACAGTTTGTGCTGAACTATTAGAATTATAATACATCATAAATATTCGTTTTTGCTATTAATTTAAATGTTTTATGTTCCATGGTATTTGCTCTGTGCAAATTATCGATAAGTCCGTATGCGGATTTGGGTTTTATCTATTAAGTTAACTTATCTGTTTCATTAACCATTCGTTAACATATTACGTATTACATATATATACTATAACCATAGCTTCATTGAGTATTTTCCAATATAACCGGCATTCGTTTTGGGTATACTCCAAATAAATTTAAATTTAGAATTTGATGCATACGACAATTATTGATTGATATTTATATAAAATGCAATTTCAAATATAAATTCTCTTTAATTAATTTCCCAGTTTGAGCACGATATTCGAAAACAAGGCTTAACGTTTTTTCTATACATACATCCTTCATTGTTTCCTTTCTTGTATCTCTTGTTTAAATGAATGTAGTTTTTTTCTACCTGAAATATCGAGGGAATCATTAAAATTAGTGGATAACCCATTTAATATATTCCTTTTTTTACATTTCTTGAGAGCCAACGAAATATTGTAGGGATTCCGAAGAAGATAGTTTTGTATTTTAGTTTTATTTGTGATCGGAGGTATTAAAACAAAATTAAATACCGCAACGTGGGTTAATTTACGTTATATTTTATGTATGTCAATGAAATATTTTATTTAATTATTTCACAAATTCTGCGCATGGATAGTTAAATATACTTGTATAACACAATTATTCCTACACACCTAGCAAATGATTGTTCTAATGACAAACTCATAACACCCTTCAAAATAGTATACACGTATGTATAGAGGACATATAAATTTTACAAAGGACACAACAACTTATCCTTCTGTTCAGAAAAGTCATCGAGAACAGCCGCTATAGAATAAGTCAGTTGCGCAGTATTTTATCTCTTTACTTGTAAGAGATGATACGCGTAGTGTATCCCTAATGCAGAATAATTTACAATGCATCCCAGTCGGTTGAGTGCCAAAAGCAACATATATTTGTATTTATACATGTGAATGATGCGAATCAACGAAAAATATGCAGAGCCATAAACAAGCCGCGTGCAACAGAGTGCTAAAAAGCTCTCAAAGTAAAGCTTCGCTGTTAAGTGGAACAGCAGTTAAGATTGTGATGGATTGTGAGAGAAGAGAGTAGCAAGTGGGCAGTAAGTGATTCTCTCATCGCTGTCAGTACAAAAGTGTGGCGTATGGGAAATGTCCATTCAGAAGACCGTCGAACGGGATCAGTTTCGGTGCGCGCACGCATAGTCCGTTATCTGTGTTGTTGTCTCCGTCGTTTTGCTTGTTTGTCCACCTCGAGCTCACTCACTCACTTTTTCGTACGCTTTTTTTATGATTTGTTGTGTTTTCCATCGAGTGGACGATCTATCGGATACGGCTAAGACACTTAATGGAAATTGTGAATACAAAAATATTGTGGAGTAAAACGAAATTTTGCAATGGCGCCAAAACACACCGTTACGTTTTTTCTCTGTGCGTTTTTCTGTGCCGCATACGCTTCGACAGAATATAATCGTTATTTGGCGCAAATATTTCAAAAATATGGCAATGGTGGCACCATAAGCTTCGAGGTAAATCTCCAATGGCCCTTGCAATTGGGTCGAAACCTACAACCATAATAATTAAGACAAAGAGTGCCGCGCACCAGCCGCATGCTCGACTGAGCAAAAATTAGCAACTTTTTGCCGGATTTCGTGGTCACCTGTAATTTAACAGTGCTAATAACATTTGGTCAACAAAACGTCCAATAATAAGTAGTTAACAGTGACATTTTCCATTATCATTAACAGTGTTTTGTGGCGGTGTTAAAATTTCGTAGTTGTACAAATATTTTCCTGCGCTGATTGTGAAAGTACGAGAAAATCAACAACAATAAGAATAAAGACAAGCTCTGACAGACTGACACCAGTAATAGTTAACTACTCGTATAATTGTAACTTGTAGTCTTCTCAGGCAGACGTATGTATGCCCAACAATGAGATATGCATAATATTTTACGGTAGGAGGCGAGCACACTCGCATTTCTTTACGTCTTTATTACTATCATGATCATAAATTTAATCAAAATCTTGACTGGCTTTTATCTTGTGTACGGCGGCGATTATATACTATAAGACAGACAGACAGTGGCGGCGATAGGGGCTGGATTTGACAAATAGCATTTGACTTATCCCTCTTGAAGGCCTTACAGGTCGCATACTTAGCACGCCACTGTCACTTACTTTAAACACATAGATTAAAAGATTGTGACACAAAATGGGTACCGGAGATGACTTAGGCGTTGTCAGAGTTGATTTTGGGGTATCAAAACATGGTTAAAAATCCCAACGTAACCGGCCTTAGCCGGCAAACTGGATGGCTTGCAATATACAAATTACAATCCTTTTGAAACCAACTCAATAATAACATCAGCAAATCATCCATTTCGGATTCAATAGATTTTAATACTTTGTATACATACTGTACATTTCCCTCTTTTTCCCTGGCAAGAAGAATAATCCCCGTTCAATAGTCCAATGCAAATGTCGGAGGCTTATGTATACAAAGTACATATATGATATATGGAATTCGCTTCAAAGTTAGGCAACTATCGCTGGCCATATGCAACAATTAAATAATATATGTACGTATGTACTTAAGGTGTACATGGCTATGCAGGCGTCTGTCCGCTGTCCACCCGTGAATCCACTTGCCGATCGGCGCTATTGAGTTAACAGTCTAGTCAACTTGCCATTACTCATGCGTAGACTCGTAGTCACCATAGTGGAGACTACGCAATACGCTCGTCCATTTCAATGCAGCGTTACTGAAATTTTTGCGCTCACGACGCATGTGGCATCTTAAGTACGATACCAGTTCGTTCATACTATAAGTGGACTCAAGCTTCGGGCGGCGTCCAAGAAATGACTGGCAAGTGTCCCAACGATTTCTGCGCGTGTGCCGCCGGCTGGGGTCTAATTTCAATTTTACAAAAAATCTTGGCACATCATTTGCTGAATGAAAGTAAAAACCTGTACGCTATGGCTAGAGCGTGCAAAACATAATAATGAGGGGGCAGTAAAAATAATTTGTTATTTATTTACTTGAATGTCATTGTTCTTTCTTCAGACGAGTGTTTATTTATTTTATGGGGTCTGGCGCGTGTTTGAATATTTTGCTAAAATTTCTTAAAAGGTGCGTTTAATGTCGCGGCACGCTTACATATATTTAAATACTCACATAGGATTCACATTAAAGATTGATCAAGATTCATTGAAGGGCCTATACACTGCCAAAGGTAATGCTCATCTCTTGACAGGCACACGCCCAGTTGATTAGACAGCTGTTGTCAATGCAATTTAAATTTGATTTGTTCCCAGCCACACTCAATTGTAAGTAGTGGAAAAAATAATTATAATTGTTTCGTGCGGTGACAAGTAAATCAAGTTAATTGTCTGTGAAATTCTCCGTGCTCTACACGGTTCTCGACACGTGATTTAAAAGCCGCCTAATCCCTTTACATTTCATGTCATCTTTAAAGTTAAGCATTTTTCGAGCAATGTTAGAAAGCAAAATATAGTATTTGCACTTTGAATTCTTAATGCTATCTTATATTGAATAGTAGTTGATTTTCTAATTATTTCCTTATATTTAAATGAGCGTGTCTTATAGTTACATTAAACATATTTTTTGAAAGTTCCAATACGTTTTTGTTGCTTATTTGTTGCCTTTGACGAGGTTGTTTCCTTTTTGTGATTTCCCCGGTATGGGGGATTTTCGAAAACGCCGTTTGTATAATCATCTATACATATCTCGGAGACTATGTATATACTAGGGACACCAAATTTTATTCCATGGTGTCTTATATGAATACACAAAAAATATGTATTTTGGAATTTTCCGCCCTCCCCCTCTCCATTAGTGATTTTACATAACTCCCGTAACTTTTTACTTTTTAAAATTTTCTTAATTTATGGAATTTCTTAAATTATTCTGCAATGTCTAGTGTATTTCAAAGTCGGACTTTTGCTTCTCCACTTGCTCATAATACATCATGTTCTTGATACACAACATTTTGAAATATACTATAAAATAAATAAATATAAATATATTAGGTGTAATGGTTTAGATGGCAGCATTATGTGATCTGACATGGTCAGACTGGACATATTAACTGAGTCAGTCCATCAACACGGTTGTGATTGAAACAGACATTCGTCTGCCGCGTTTTGGATTCTTCTTTATGAACGCTGCCAATATTTTTAAACTAAGATTCATCCGCTTTCATTTTTTTAAGCCACTCTGAAATGATTTAGATCACTTTATTCGCTGAGTGTAGCCATAGACAACAACTCATACCTTCCTCTGGGCCATTATTATTGAAACTAATGTGCGAATTTTAAAACGTGCGAATTAGTTAAAAGGGAATTGGAACGGCATTAAGGTTTTATAACAAAAGTACATAAATCCGCAGCCCATGTTATAAATAACCAGTTCCTTGAACGATGGATAGATATACTTGTATGCTTTCTAAGTCAGCATTGCAAATTGATTGGCTAAACATGTAGGTTTTGTTTTCTACAGACCATTAAAATATATTGTCAAAATGTTTTGTGCTCATGCAGATAATAATAAAGTTGAAAAACTGAACACAATTGAAACAGCTGGCAACTGTTTCGTCTAGGCACAACCGCTAATTATAAAATGCCATTCATTTCGTTTTTTACAGGGTCTGGAGCATTTAATGTTCAGCTTAGGTCTGGGAGACCTCGAGTTCGATCCAACACACACAATCGCTTATCATCAGCTCAAACCAGTCGGATATGAGAGCAGGGCCAATAATTCAAGTGATAATCGTGACCTCAATTTGCACTACGACCTAGACCAAGAAAGTTTGGGGCGCAATGTTAGTGAGGATGACACGATCGGGGATGTGCAATTGCATCTATCCAGGAAAAACCAGACGGATGGATCGCCTATCATAATGGAGTTTCGAGAAATGCACGATCCGAAGCATCGTCATCCGCGCGATAATGATGGTAAGTAATTAAGGGAGCAAGTCCTTGAGTAAAAAAACATCCACATAACCAAGCTAGAAAACATTCTGGTTTCAGATTATTCTGTAATTAAGAGCAAACTCGTATGTTAAATAAAGAAAAACATATTTTCGAAAAAGTTCAATATCAAATTATTTTTACAAACCTGTTAAGCTTTAAGCAGAAAGCAAACCTTACCTGGAAAAGGTCAAAAGCTCGAAAACGACAGTTTGGAATCATCCGCAAAGCGAGCGAAACCACTATTTTAAATAATTCCACCCGGCATTCTATTTAGTATTGTCACATTTCGCATATATTTTTCGTTTTAATTAAAAATGTATTAAAATTCTGCATTACGCAAAAAAACTAAGTACACATATAGTATGTAATAGGTTAGTATTCTAAATAATATTTAAAAACCCCATTTCTAAACCCTTTTTAGATGAAAATTTTGAAAGTTGTTTTCACACCTGTTTAAAAAAAAAAAAAAAAAAATTATAATTAAAAGCATTCAACTCAAACAGGGAGTCTTCCAGGAAGAACGCTACGTTATTTAGGAATTTACAGTACTATACAAATATCTTTTGTAAATAAGAGGTGTTTATGTTCAGGTAGACGCACTTTGTTTTCAGTATATACAATATATGTACTACTATTCATACGCGCTTATCATACTTATACGATAGTGAGGAGTTGTTTTTTTGCTTCAAGATTTCTGCTCGTAGACCCCGTAGCACCGGGAAGTGCGCAAAAAGGTGTGCTGCAAACAATAAGTTATAAAGATAAGCCGGCAAACAAGGGTTCCGTGTGCCTGTCAGCAGCTTTAGCTCTAAAGCAATGCAATAGCCTAGTCCCCATAATAAACTATCTAGAAACTGGAGAAGATCTCACAATGGAAACCTAGTCTCAAATATCAAACAATGGATGAGCAATGCGACTAAGTAAAAATTTAAATGACAATTATAAGGAGGAAACCAAATTGTCGCAACACAACAGTCATTTGCAAATACTTGTACAATTCAATTCAATGTCAGATTTGGCATAAATATTGTCATCGTACATAAGAGTATGTACTACTTGCGTCTTTCCGAGAAAGTCTAGGGCAGTCATACTAGCTCCAGTAATTGAAAACGAAGGTTTTCTGTATATTTTAGAAGCAACTGGCACAGGTAATCGTATAGTACGAGTATAATAGAAAGCAAGGGCATTGACTATGGCAGTCAATGGATAAACATTACTTGCAATTGACTAATTCAAGTGCAAGGCAAACTAAAAGCCACTGATCAATTGTATTATGTTGGTCTACGGTTGCATAAACTAGTACACAAGCACATACTTATTGTGCAATCCACATAAATAGATATTGAAGGACTGTCACAGTAATTGATGTTGTAAAAATCATGCTCCAGACTTCCGACTCATTATATTCAACATCAAATGTAATCCAATTTTGGGGTCCCATGGCATATCATGCGAAGTTTAAAGCTAAACTACGTGCTGCACAAATTAGTTGTAAATTATTACAGTAAATAATGAGAACATATTTGGCAACAGATTATTAGCGATACACAAGTATGTAAGCACTGGGTCTAAGTGCAATGGCAAGCGGCTCCCCTTTATTATCGGACCATAAACTGGGCGAGACAATATACTTTATATAGACGCGGAAGTGGGAAGCAACGTGATGAGATGTACTGCTAAAATACATAAACAATGAAACATCCTATAAACATAAAACGATCATGTACATATGAACAATCAAACTGAGACAATCGTAACTGCAATTCGAGGCTTGGACAAATGTGTGAATTGAAGGCAATCTTCACGTGCAATTTCAACTTTCTGAGATTTTAGCCTGGTTACCTATCGTAATATCGTAATAGTACGGATACTTTTGTAACTGCAGTACACACATGTAATCAATGCCAAAGAAATAAACAAAGGGATACAACAAAAAACAACAATAAGACGTGATTAATGTCAGGTAACGGAACTTGTACTGTAAATACATTTGGACGTTTTCGGTTTTAGTAAACAACGGCGGAGGGAGTCAGAATCAATGAATCGCACTAACACTGCTATTGTAATTGCTAATGTAATCAATGGGCCTGTTCAGCAGGTCGTAGCGATTTGTAACTGGAGGATTACAATAGCTAAGCGTCTGTTAGTAAGGTATCGCCCATACCTATGGGGGTAAGATCTGAAGAGAAGACAGACTTTAAATCAAACCTTAGAGTCCAATCGAGACTTTCTTGCTTAATTTGATGGAACACCCGCTTTTTATACCCTGTACCAGTTTCAAAGGGTGAAATAGGTATATTAAATACTTTCCACATTTTAAAAGCTACATACAAGTAAACCAACTCTGTGTACATTTGACTACTGTTCTTTCATATTAATCTAATTCGGTTAATTCGGAGAACATTTATTAGCAAAAACAGTTTCACTCCAGTACTACGCCCACAAACTCCAGCATCATGTTCGCTCTTATTCTTTTTACTTTTCTTTTAACTGCTGATATGGCCAAATACAACTCAGAACCGGAGGTTTGTCTGGGTACAGGGTATTTCACTGTCGGGCTTGCTCGACTACAGCGTTCTCTCTTGTTTTTAACTTCATGAAGTGGGGTACCAGAACATCCAAATTATATCTGACGTACTTTTAGCATTGCCTTAGAGCCCTAATAGCGCATATTTTGTTAAAAGGCCAAGCTAAACAGTAGATGGAGTTGTAAGCCTTTTGAATTCCATTCATACGGATTTCTGGTGTACTAGTTCTCGAAATATTTTGAATGTTTTGCAGCCTTAATATCATGGCTTTCTGCTTGTTTTTTCCCCACTTGCAGCTACCTTCGATGACACTCAGCTACCCACAACTGCTACTTGTCTGTCACCGAAGTCGCTGATGGCCCTTCTAGTCGACCACAACGATCTACACAGGAATAAGCTCTATCGGGGCTTCGTCAAAAATGGAAACAAAGATCATAACTCCGATGAGGAGTACACCGAGTTTATAAACAACGTGCGTATCAAGCCGCTAGCGTTCATGAAGCTATGTCCCGTTCTGCTGGCTCAGATTGACAATGGGGTCTGTATGCGTCAGGCGCCACCACCTCCATACAATGAACAGGAGAAGAAAGACAGGATATGGAATGGTAAGTGAAAGCTGGTATAAAAGGGTATGAGTATTATTTTAATGTAAGCCCAATTCTAGCCTGGATTTATGGCAGCGTCTGCATGTTTATTCTTTCTGCTTGCGGCATGTTGGGTATATTTCTGGTACCTCTGATGAAGACAGTGGCATATCAGGAGATCTTAAAGTTTCTTGTCGCAATAGCTGTGGGAACACTCAGTGGAGATGCTTTGATGCATCTGCTGCCACATGCGCTAATCAACGAAGAAAATGAAGAGCATGGATCCTCCCAGCACGGTCATACAAATAAGGCGGTACTACTGTGCGCTTGCGCCTTTATGTCAGCACTTCTAATGTACATCCTGGAAAATGTCATACCATTGTTGAAGGGTGAGCAGAATGGACACGGACACTCACACGGACACGGTCACAGCCACAGCCACAGCCACAATCATGCACATGAAGACTCAAAAGCGGCATCTGTGGAGGCAATGCATCCGCCCCGTGAGCTTAATGTCATGCTTCAGGAGACGAAACTGGATGAGAAGACGCCTGATCGCCCGCTTAGTCCAATTGCCTTTATGGTGATCATCGGCGATGCGCTGCACAATCTCACAGATGGTCTGGCCATTGGCGCCGCCTTTGCCAGTGACCCTGTTACGGGAATGGCAACCGCTTTTGCCGTACTCTGCCATGAGCTTCCCCATGAGTTGGGCGATTTTGCGCTTTTGCTTCAGACAGGCGTCTCTATGAGAAGAGCGGTCTATATGAACATCATCAGCTCTGTCCTGAGTTTTGTTGGCATGTCCATTGGTCTGGCAATTGCCGGTCTTGGAGATGGATTCACGCAATGGATATATGCAGCCACAGCCGGTTCTTTCATATACATAGCGTTCGCGGATCTGGTGCCCACAATGAGTATTGCGCACAACCCTGAACTGGTGCGCGATGCTAAGGGTATTCTTATACAAATATTGGGTATTTTTCTGGGTGGCCTAATAATGCTCATCATTGCCCTTAATGAGCACGAGTTAGAGTCTCTGTTTAAGAATTTTTAAAAGAGGTGAAAATGGAATTTCCCATTTTTTAATAGACATTTTTTGTTGAGAGTTTTTATATTTCTGTTATTGAATGTATTTAGCTCATATATATTTCTAAGCCAGAATCGCCAGAATCTCTATTTTGGATCGCAAGATTTAATTCCGATTTTAGAGACTAAAAAAACAGCCAAGGCCTTGTATTTTTTATCTTAAAAAAGATTAATGTTTCTCAAACATCTTCAACTTAATTTGTTTATAAATACGATTAAAAAACCTTAAACATTAAAATTTATATTAATGTTTGATTCGATGTAAAAAGTTAAAGCCTTGCCGATATGGGATTGCTTCCAATTCTGTGGCTCTTTTATGGAACCAAGAGCAAACGTCACACCGACTGAATCCTGTATTATGTACATTTAAATAAGCCAAATACCTATATAAGTATTGTTGTACCTTCACCAGTTGAACTTTTAAAAAGCTCAAAAATATATAAATGCCTTTGTATTTATATATTGTTATTGAACAATGATCCGTATAATTTTACATTTAAGATTATATTTTATTCAGATGTGTTGAACTCATGTATGTATGTATTCTAAAATAATATACGAAAGGCATTTCATGCAAAATGAATTAAAAAACAACCAAACGATTACTATCATTTAAAGCTTATTGCAATTGTGTTAGGACGTTATTTAAATTTTTACAGAACTGTACTCCCAAAAGGGGCCCTAACAGCAATTCCTCTGAAAACGTTGTGTAGGTCAGGACCCTGATTGGAAGATGGTGGGCTCATCAAACAAGATCCTAATGTGGGGATCTAATATTCCGGCATTAGTTGGCTCGTTGTATCATTTTTATAATTGATATAATAGCCGGGCGTATACATACATATGTAATTCGTAATATACTTTAGAATATAGAATAAATAAGGAAAGGGTTATTCCTTTACTTTAATACCGATTTTTGCTTTAATCTTTTTTTGGTAACAATGTTAAAGGCTACAACACATTTTTAAATGTTAAAAACTGCTCTTCTAAAGGTTATTTCCTTGCGTTATGATAACTGCAATTGCTGTTGATCTTCAAAAGGTTCATTGGGTAGACGTGCTGGATTCTGGTGTATAAAAATCGTACATCATTAAGTGTTTTGCATTTGAACTAAACATGAAACTTACAAGTTTTTGGGCCCGTTGCTCTAACAGGCTATAGGCCACATGATTCAGCATAAACCCGGAGGGCAGCGCCACGCCTTGGAAACGATAAAAAGCATCTGTTGCGCCCTTATTGCTTAGCTTGTGGGCACCTATAATAGTACATTTTCCGAGGAAACGTGTGGAGCCAACCATGGGACCACGCGAGATATCAATATGGTCATCTAACCGATAAAGTGTCACACGCCCTTGATTTTGTTGTGCTATGCTGGGTAACTGAGCGTTTTTATAACGGGAATCCTTAAACATCTCCTGTGCCAGCTCTTGCTCTACCTCCAAACGCTCGATTGGTATATCCCGCGCAGCTAATTTTACCATTTCGGCAGATACCGCACGCATCTCAGCCTTAGTCGGTTCCCATGTATGTGTGCCCAGCACAACGTCGTGAACAAAGCTGCCCGATTTTACTGCAAAGGGCTCTTGTTCAAAATTATTTTTAAATAACATAGCCCTTAAAACTCACTATTTGGGCTTGGAAAGCTGTGCAACTGTAAACGAGCCTCTGTTTTGAATATCCGACTTAAAGCAGCGCCAAGCATAAAGCTACAACTCCGCCAGAATGCTCTGCAGTTTGACATTAATGTAAAGTTTACAAATTTTACATAAATACACCATATTTACTTGTTGACTAAATGGGGCTCAGCCACAAAAAAATGTAGTAGTTGTAAAGTACACGATTCTGGTAGCGGCCTGTGCATATCCCAGGGCACGCTGCCATCGATCAGCGCTAAAGCGGAACGTTTACAAATACCCTCGCTCAGGTGTTGGGCGCAATTGTAAGGCGTTGAGATGTGTTTATTCATTACCAGAGTTACATCCTCGGGCTGACCCATGTAACGCACCTCGATTTTATCTACACGACCAACGGCCTCTCGCTGTCGTCGCTGTTCATGTGTGAACAAGTCATTGCGGCTGGTCGTGGCGCTGGCACTGAAACGGGCTGAACATTAAGTGAAGTTAGTTATGTAAAAAAAGAGGGCCGCATCTATTAACTATTTGCAATTCTCACCTTTACGGCCATTCTGCTGTAACTGCTTGAGAGTAGACCAAGTTGTTCTATGTAATTTCGCTACCACTGACATTTTTAATTAATCAAATTACTATAAAAACACCACAAAACATCCGCAAGTCGTAAAGTCGGCCAGACGATTCGCATTGGCAGCACTGATTTCTCTTTTTAATGCGCACTGGCAGTGCGGCTTAACTTGTTGATATGGCAACGCTTAATGAGGGCTGCCACCTCTGAAAAGTTCATATTCATTTGCATTGTCATTTTATAGCTTGTCATCATTTGCCGCTGTAGGACTTTATTGTATATTCGTCCGTAAATTAAATTCCTTCTGCAAAAATGGATTTAGATTTGGCACGCGATATGCCACGCGCTGGTTTCAACTTCGACAACTGCAAGCGGTAAGTAAACAGAAAGGCTTATATTTTATATCTTCATACTTCGATTTATACTGAAATGGTTGCCTCTACAGCAACGCCACCTTGCTGTCAGGAGGTTTTAAGCCACCGAAAACCACAAAAACTGGAACCACGATCGCCGGTATCATTTTCAAGGACGGCGTGATTTTGGGCGCTGATACACGCGCCACTGAAGGGCCCATTGTTTCGGACAAAAACTGCGCCAAGATTCATTACTTGGCCAGCAACATCTAGTAAGTGGTGAAGCCAATCTGCGTTGATGAACTATTTATATAGCCGACTTTTCTTATAGCTGCTGTGGCGCTGGCACTGCCGCCGATACTGAAATGACCACTGATTTGATTTCCTCACAGCTGGAGTTGCATCGCCTTAACACGGAGCGTCAGGTGCCGGTTGTATGCGCCAACGTTATGCTCAAGCAAATGCTTTTCCGTTACCAGGGCCACATTAGTGCTGCCCTTGTATTAGGCGGCGTCGATAAGTATGGTTCTCATATATACTGCATACATCCTCATGGCAGCGCAGACAAATTACCATATGCCACCATGGGATCGGGGTCACTTGCGGCCATGTCCGTCTTTGAAAGACGTTGGAAACCCGATTTGAGCGAGGAGGAGGGAAAGCTTTTGGTGCGTGATGCCATTGCCGCGGGAGTGTTCAACGATTTAGGTTCTGGCTCCAATATAGATTTGTGTGTTATTCGCAAGGATAGCACAGAATACTTACGCAACTATGAACTGGCTAACAAGAAAGGTGAGCGCCAGCTGAATTACGACTTCAAATCAGGTTCCACTGTGGTTCTGAACAAGACCATAAAAGATTTGGACATCACCATTAACATAAGACCCGTTCCCATGGAAACTTAAACTAGTTTTGTACTTTAATTAGAATGTTTATATAACGATTCGGATTTCTTGGTTAAATAAAGGAGCGTGGCTTTTATGGAACAATCTGCTCATTTTTATATTTAGATAGCGTTTAAAAGCTAAAACAAGAAAAGTCTAATCATTTTGAATTATTATACATACATGGGCGCCAAAAGTCTACATACGACCCAATATTTTACTATCTGGCAGAACAAAAGGTATTTATTAAATATCTAATGATGCAGTTTCGTAGTTTATCTATTTTTATGGAAGAAAACGATAATCTTAAGATGTGTCCTTACAAAGATATAAACGAAAAACATATTTCTTCCTTGACAAAAGTGTACATACGACGTAAAAATTCGTGAGATTTAAAACACAAACATGCTCACACCCCACATAATATTTATATTTAGTAGGACCCCCACGTGCTTCAATGGCTTCAATCCGGGCTTTATGGTGGAATATTCAATTGGCGTGGTGCATTGTAGAGCAACCATTCCGTGACAACGTAATCCGTAAGTTTTGGGCTGATGTCCTGTTGGAACAACCATCGACCACTTCATTTAAGTTTTTTGAATTATTCTTGGATACACCGTTTTTTGTGTTCGGCTAATTTTGGAGCACGAATCTTTGGATTTTTGTCCACTTCTTTCAAAATAAAAGAGAAATCCCTATGATCAATTCTTTTTGGTCAACCACTTCAAGACTTATTCTCCACTGACTTGTACCCAAATGTAAGATAGATAATGATGTGAAATAAGTATTCATCAAATAATATAGGAATTTGGAAACAATTTCCGGACAAGTTAGCAACAGTCGCCTTATTGCTAGCCTGTTGGCATTCAAGAAAAAATGAAAGATGAAGACGATTTAAGTTTGACATTTACAAAATTGTAAAACTATCTACATATGTTTGAATGGAACTTTGATTTGCTCATAGTACTTACTATAGTGTAAGTTGTATTTCGAGAAAAAGGAGCAACCATTTTTGAAGTAATTACCAATACGGCTAATCACAATAAAATCGCCTTTGCCTTATTACAAACAAATTAAGCAGAATATTTCGATTCATAATTAGTACAAGAAATTTGTATAGTGAGATGATAAGAATCTTCGGGAATACTAAAAAAAAAACGAAAATCTACAGACCAACAGAAAGGACAAAAAGGAGCAACATTTTTTGAAGAAATTACCAAAAGTTTGTGAAATTAGTCGGCTAGAATCAGAATATTGCGATTCATAATTAGTACAAGAAATTTTTAATTTAAAAAAAAGGACGATCTAGAGACCAAAAGAAAGGAGAAAAAGGAAAACATTTTTGAAGAAATTACCAATAAGTTTGTGAAATTAGTTGGCTAGAATCTGAATATTTCGATTCATAATTAGTACACGAAATATGTATAGTGTGATGATAAGAATCTTCGGGAATACTAAAAAAAAAGAGCAAGATCTAGAGACCACGCCACCAATGCCTTCGTTCACAAATCTATCAACATTGATGTGATGATGCAAAAATGTTAAGCGAAGGTCCCCTCCGCAGTCGCAAACAAATACGAACAGCTGCACTTTAAAGGAAATTTATTGACATTGATATCTTCATATGTTTGTTTTTATTAAATTCACATTTTTTTTCGTCTGTAGTTATTTATTTTACGACCATTTTTGATCTGGCATAGTCATATTTGATTTGTATGGTAATACGTGTATATGTATTATAGCTACATTAATTTAATTCGTATGACCCTTTCAAAGAGGGAACATTAGTAATCGGTAACCATAAAGCATAGGCAGGTTGTTGCTCAAACTGATATATTTGAAAACTTCTGATCATTTCATTGTTCATTTTAATAGATCACAATATTTATATTATTTTTATTACTACAATACAAGCCCAATACATTTTGCTATTTCAATGGAAGGCGCGTGCGTTTTGCACTTTATTTTAATAGAGGCCACACAGAAAATGTTTGTCTTTTATATTCGGGTTTTGAAAGTATGTATTTTATTGTTTCTGTTTGGAAAAAAATGTTACAGTTATTTAATTATTTTTTAATTATTCTAGGTACAGCTCCGGTCAGGTTAGTTTAAAAATGAGATAGTTCTTAACAAAAATGGCACAGAAAATGTTCTGGTTCTGATTCGATTTTATCTTAAGATTTTTAAATACAAATGTTGGTTAACGATATCAAGGCCTGTCACATATCTAGGTTTACAAATATGCAATATTGGTCTGTTTCAGTTTCATATTTAATGAATATATGTATTGAATGAATATATGTAATGATTAATATTTATAAGTTGTGTGAGGGTTTTGCAAAAAACAATTAAACTGATATTAATTGAATACATTTTTATATATGAATATAAGTGAATTCTTTTTGGATATCTGCGCTAAAAATTAAAAAGTAATATTGGTTATGGAATGACATAACTAATAATTTTGATTTTCAATCACGCTGAAGAACAGATTCAAATGCCAACTGATTGATGATCTAACGAAAACCGAGTTAAGTTTATGAAATGTTCAAGTGCATATAGTGTAAAAACATTATTAAAGAATCGCGGCGCTATCACTTACACAGCCTGGGCTATTTAATGTTAAATTCTTGCGCAGACAATTAGGGATTTTATCTCAGATAAATATAGTTATGTAAATCTTATACATAAATAATTTTTTCTCTATTCGAGTTCGATTTAGTTTACAACTAGTTAAATAGATACGATTTTTTAGCTTATTCAGCCTATGTTAATCGACGTATAGTAAGTCTATGTATTGTTTTCTCGGTTTAGGTGTTTTTTTATTTTTACATAATATAATAGTAGTGGTATAGCTAACACAAATACACACATTTTTAATCAAACGAGCACAATATATCATCATTTCAATATTATTAGAAGTCTCAAATTCCCCTAATTCAAATCTGCAACGTCCAGGAATATTTAAATATTCAATTTCCGAATTTGAGGCTCCGAATATATTTTTATTAGTAACGCTAAAGCTATACACCACCAGATTACAGAACATGCTGCCCCCAAGGATGAAAGCTCTTTCTATCTTTTAAGAAAATATAAAGTTTGATAAATATTTTCGGGTTATATGCAGAACCATGATGAATCAAAGAAGCATTCGGAATGAAATGGGAGATACAGGAGCTTAGACCAGTAATTAAAATTTTGAACCTACCGAAACGATATAATATATTTATGATAAACTAAAGCACAAATAACCTCACTGTCTGGTGTTTTGTTTTAATTTCAGAAATCTTAATCGCTTCCATCGATATACATTTTGTGTTTTTACTAATTTTGTGAAGATTTCCAACCTCTGGTCCCAGGCTATCATTATTAAAAAAAGGCAATCAATTAATTTTGTAACTTTTCTAACTCCCCGATGAGATCTCTATTGAATTTAACAGATATAAAAAATAATAAAAATGTTTTTAGCTATTTGGTATTTATTTCGCCAACGCCTTTAGTGATTAGATCGTATCTATCGAAGGGATTTTCTTATTTTTTATTTTATAATACCGATAATAAAATATAAAGAAAACACTTCATGCAGATCGAAACGAACCACAAAACTTAAGATCGATATGAATATTTCGCAATCGAGGGCAAGTTCTGGGATGTACGTAACTGTGGGATTATTGTTCAAGACTGACGTATACGAATAAGATGCATGGTTCTTACGATAACAATAATACTTAATTAGATTTATTGTAACATTAACAAAATTAACTCTGGTGGCTCTTGATTACAATTAGCATGTGCACACATACAGAAAATATGTTTAAAATGAACTTTAGCAGTGCCAATTGCTTACTTATTAATATGTATTATGGTAGCTCATTTTTTTGTGTATCCCTACTTAATTAATATAGCTGTATATTTTAAATTTTGTATGCATGTATGTAAGTTGTGTGCGTATTTTTTATAAGTATAACCCTCAAAAGAAAAAAATGAAGAATAACACAATAATTATTATTTTGTTGTTTACAATTCAGTCTGAAAGGCATAGCTGTGTATACACATTTTTATCACCTATTTTGAACAATTAACTGTTTAATTACATATTTTAAAAATTTATTTATTGTAAAATCATAAATAACTCACGATTGTTAGCTTGTTTGTTTGTATGTTTTAAACGTTCCTGATTTGAATTATAACCCCTTAATAACAGTATTTATATTTATATATATCTTTTTTAGTTTTCTTTAATTCAATAGAGAGATAGAGAGAGAGAGAAAGGGAACGGGTTTTCTATATATATTCACCAGCGATAAATTTCGTTGCGTTAAGTCGGGAATAAATATTTAAACAGAAATTTTGGAACCCAAATAAAATAGTTGTATAAATTTCACATTTGATTTTTGGTTTAGTATTATTAGATTTTTTTGTGTTTTTTCTTTGCTTTTTATATCATTTATGGTTGTTCTCTTGTGTTGCTGATCTTGCGTATCTAACATTTGTTTGTGAGTTACACATTCTCCAATGACCTTTAATGTGCTCAGCGCAAAAAGCTTACTCTTCGTCCGAGTAATCGGAACTCTCGCTTATATCATCACTTGAAAGCAATTCCAGCCAATGATAATCACGCTGATCAAAATATTCCAAGAGATAAATCTACGAAAGATAGAAAAGTTAAGAAAAATCATATCTATCGCTTGTCACACAATCAAAGCCATTCAATACAATGACAAATTCAAAACAAGACACGTTTCGTTGGTAGAACCGATATCGCATCAGATTTTGCATGTCGAAGATAGGAATGCTTTGTCAAATATCCTTCTAAAATATACTATTGTAATTGGTAGTTCATGAAGGACACTTTTGTAGTTAGACTAATTTTGAGTTCACAGAATTTTGATTCCTATTTATGTACATTGTTGTTATATATAAACCTTAATTACTAAGTTATAGGCAGTATTGCAAATTTTATCACATCATCAAACAAAGAATTATCTTTCTTGTTTCTATTATCAAAGCCAAAGAAAAAAGCGCACGATTAATTCAATTTCATCACTTTCTAAGTTAATACAAATAAAATCGAATATTTTCTGTTTCTACGGTGGTTTTGCTTTCTCCCAGTAATTTCTATTATGTCTGAGCATCGAGCAATGACTAAATTAAAGTACTGTCGTGTTAGAGATCAGATATATGCATATGTTTGTATGTGTATATGTGTGTACGTTCTCTGGAGTGAACACAACTTTAAGATATACTGGAACATTTATGGTAATAGGATTATTAATACTAGATGAGATTTTTGTATTCTTCCACTCTTTTATCTGTAGTTTGTATGTATATCATTTTCTTCTGCGTTAAACCATTGCTTGGTGTTCAACATGGATTGTAGACGAAGCTAAGACGCACAGATATAAGACAAGTATCACACCTGTTTGACAAGAGTTTAAAAAATTCGATTCTTTAACAAATATTTATCGATCGTTAATTGACTAAGACTTAGAGGAGTGAGCAAAAATGGCGGAACAATTTTTGTTAATCCAATAGAATAAGAAACAAAAACGAAACCAAATCAAAAAATTACATATTTGCACAGATAAATGTTGAGAATACGATAAGGTGTGGAAAGTGAGTCAGTAAAAAAATGCTAGAACGTACTGTTAGCATTAATCGGAAAGAGGATATGTTAAAGTGAATGTGAAGTGTTTCCTATGATATCATTTTTAGCTTCTTCCCCGATATGTCACGAAAGCTCTAACCTAGTTGAAAAATTAAAACAATTTAGTTTACCTACGCAATACTTACATCGACCAAATCAATTAGTTCGTTTTGGCTTCCGTGCACCTTACGCGCGCGTTTCGGCAAGCCAACGTCGACGATATCGCCATTGGGTAGAGCGTGCTTGTAAAAACACTTGTTGCCAAACGGACATTTTCCATCACCCTTCTTGAAATATTTACAGTCCTTGGCACCTAGAGCTGAGCGATAGTCATTGAGCAGCTTGTCCTTTTCTTCTTTGGTTTCCACCCAAAACGCACTGGGACAAACAAAGTCCGAAGACACACGACATTCTGGACAGGCCCTGTTTGATAGAAAACAAGTACGATAAATATTATTTGCCTGCATACAAACGTGGGTATAGAAGAATTAATACAAATACATACGAATAAAAACTTACTTTGTTGTTTCTTTAGAATTGTTGTCATAGGAATGACATCATTTCTACACGCATATAACAATAAACATGACAAATGTGAATGTGTATTTTAGACTTACCGTGTGATCTTATGCTCGAACTGTTTTGCCTGTCGCCATCTTCGGATGCATTCCAAACAGAATATATGATTGCAGTTGGGCAGAATTCCAAACCGTTTTTCCCGTCCAGCTTTTTCCATTATGATGTCAAAGCATATGCCACAAGTCTTATCCTTCGAGCGAGCGATGGCAAATGACAATTCCATAGCCTGCTCATGCTGTTGCAAACACTCTCGAATATGTTTCTTCCGTTGAGCTTGGTCAGTGGGATGTAGACAGTACTGGTCACACATCTCGCACAGTTCCAGATGTATGCGATAGCGGCAGTACTCGCCATAGGGACAGGGACACTCGTACGGGCACAACTCCTCTAAGGAGAATGGCTCACCCATGTTGAGTTTTACACAATGCTCGGACGGACCTCCGACAATCTCGGCCCATGATACCGCACTGCCAGAGGCCTCGTCATCCTCATTTTGTGTAACATAACCCTTCTGGCGAGGCACAAATATCGGTGCATTTACCCAGTTGGGACGGCTGGTGCTAGGCTTTGCATCGACGTCAGGACTACTGATGGTCCGCTCCCCCTCCAGACGACCAGTGCTCACGTTGTGGGAATAGCGACACTGCTCACCGTACCGGCAGACCCCACGCAAAAAATAGCGACAGACGGTCTGACTCCGACCAAGTGTAGCATTTGTTATGGCCTGATCAACGCTGCTGGCAACGGCACTCATTATGCTATTTGCAGCTTCAAAACTTCGTACTTTTACAAATCCAACCCAACGGCGTTGACCTACAAATTAAAACAAATAGTTTAACATTAGCGCTTATACATATCCTTGAGACACGCTTGTAATAAACTACACGTGTGTGTGTGCATGAAAGAAATTTTGAAAATGCAGTTAAATAGCAACGGAGCAGAAGTATTATATTCTTTTGTTGATGGTGTCGCAAAACTTAGGTATTATTGCGTTCCGCTTTTCTCTGACAGTGGGGCTGCAATTTTCAAATGGCACACGTACAAACCTTTATGGAAACACACGCCTTGTGGTTGTGGTGTTTGGTAACAAACGAAACTGAAACTGCGTATTTTTTGCCTAGTTTTGCGTTGAGTACATACGTCGCTCACTATTCTCAGGCCAATAAGTGTGTTCCTTTTTTTTTATATTTTTGTCGTTTTTTTCTAAGCATACATGTTTTACTTACTTTTCTTCAATTAAATTGTAGTGGTAAAACGTTTATATATTTATTTATGGCTAGGCTCCTCGATACTCGATGATTGAAAATAATAGAGGTGGTGAAGAAAGCAGTGGTATTCGATACTAAAGTAAGGGTATCGGCATTTGTTAGACAGCGCCAGTAAAAGTAGCAGTAAAACACAAGTAGTTTTTACATCAGAAATAAAAATGTGAACACAATCGCACAAGAGGTGCGCACTGCAAGTGATTTTGATATGATTACAAATTTCTCGACCAGCTGTTACTAGCACACAAATTCTATAAGTAAATATTTTGTGGCTCAATATTGACTGCTCAACTTACAAAAAAATACTGCTGCGCAATTAATAGAAAGGAAAATAAACTGAAAGCGATTTTAAATGTGTACTGCCACTCTAGTTTCTATGGTTTTAGGAAGTGGAATACGAATTCAAATAAATGGAATAACTATTCAAATATCACACATCAAGCATTCCGATGTTTGTATGTATGAATTTGCTTAAATCGTATATCGAGTACTATGAACCGAGTAACTCAGCGAGACGACAGTCTCACAATTTACAGTTCAGTGGCAAAGTGACAAGCAGAAAACAAAAATGGTCCTCGAAAGTACTATGATATGGTATGTAAATTTGCCGAAACATTGCTTTCAATGTTTGCAATGAAGATGTTTGACTTTAGGAAAGTCCGCAAGTCATTATTAATTCAGTTTTGGCAACGCCCTAAAGTCTGCCACAAAGCTGTTTTGTTTACTCTCACTCTTTAACCAATCCATATTTCAGTTTCGACAACAGTGATTACCAGCGCAATGGTGATTACTTTCCAACACGCTTGAATGTACAGAAAGATGGCATCAACCTGGTTTGCCTAACAAAGTTGAGGTCAAACCCGGAAAACAATGTTGGCCTCATGACTCTATCGAAGTAAGTCTGACTATAATTATGCTTTCTGACCGTAGGTTTTAATCCTTAAATGATCAAAATATGCAGCACCGTTGAAGTACTGGCTACCCTGACTAGCGATGTGGGACGTATATTTTCAAAGATGCATTTGATTCAGCCAAAAGGCGAGATTAACCTTTTGACTGGCATCCGCATTGCGCATTTGGTGCTGAAGCATCGCCAGGGCAAGAATCACAAGATGCGGATTGTTGTTTTTGTTGGATCGCCAATAAAGAACGAAGAAGGCGAGCTAGTGAAGCAGGCCAAGCGTCTAAAGAAGGAGAAGGTAAATGTGGACATTGTCAGCTTTGGCGATCACGGCAACAACAATGAAACTCTGACGGCCTTCATTAATGCGCTAAATGGCAAGGATGGGACTGGTTCCCATTTGGTCAGTGTTCCTCGCGGTTCTGCATTGTCTGATGCATTGTTGTCCTCACCAATTATTCAGGGCGAGGATGGTATGGGCGGCGCCGGTCTTGGTGGTGCCGTTTTCGAATTTGGCGTCGATCCCAATGAAGATCCGGAACTGGCTCTTGCCTTGCGTGTTTCAATGGAGGAGCAGCGCCAACGCCAAGAAAGCGAACAGCGCCGGGCCATGGCTGACGATAACCCAACCACTGGGCCTGATGGCGCACCTAGCTCTGGAACAACTAGTGGTGATCGCGGAAGCGCAGGCGGCGTAACTGTGACCGAGCCCAATTCTGAGGAGGCCATGTTGCAGCGTGCTTTGGCCTTGTCAACTGAGACTCCTGAGGACAATTTGCCCGATTTCGCCAACATGACAGAGGAAGAGCAAATTGCGTTTGCTATGCAAATGTCTATGCAGGACGCTGCCGATGAGAATGTTACCCAACAGGCAAAACGCCCGAAAACCGATGATGCTGCCACTCCCATGGACGTTGATGACGATTATTCTGAGGTGATCGGTGACCCGGCATTTCTCCAGAGCGTACTTGAGAACCTTCCTGGGGTGGATCCTCAGTCGGAGGCGGTGCGTGATGCTGTTGGCTCACTCAACAAAGATAAGGAAAAGAAAAGCGATACCAAGGAAGACAACCAGAAGAAATAAATTTGTTTTCGAAATTGTAATTTAAGTTTGATAAAAATCATCTGTATGCGCATTGTATTACTCATAAATGAATCGTTTGTAAGCATCTTCAAGTTGCAGATTTTTTTAAAGTGCAAATGTACTAAAGGAAAATATAAAGAGCAACGTAATCTTGTCCTCACTCTGCTTTAAAAAAAAAAAAAACTTGCATCTTCGAAGGTTAATTTAGTTTATTTTTCTATTGACGTTAAACTATTTAAGAAACAGTTTATATCTACAGATTTTTTTAACGTCGTCTAGATGGACACTCTCAGCTTACTTGTCACCCTTGTAGTCACGGATGTGATACAAGACCCAGGCGGGTATGAACAATGACGCAGCGCACATACCACCTCCAAGGATAAGTTTTTCCTGTAAGACACTCGGTATCATTTTCTGTTCTTTGGTTTACGTAACCTCTACGCAATAGGAATTGGTACTTACGGCTGAAGAGACGTGTTTTGTGGGTGGGCCAGACACAACGGACTGGGATCTCCTTTGAATGGCACCACGGATCGCAGGAACCAGGAGACGAGCAGCACTGTTTTGGAACATTTTCGCAGAGTTAAATTAATTCGCTTGCCAAGGTGGAAATCGATGCAATGAAAATTATAAAGTGCTGCCAGTAAACAAGAAAAACTACTTTCAGTGCTACCAATGCATGTTTAGCTCAGTATTTCAGCTTGCCAGATCTAGATTTTCCAGCTTGCCAGATATAGATTTTCCAGCTTGCCAGATCTAGATTTAGGAGAATCGAAATAACTGGCAGCTCTTACAGCTGATATTGCTCCAAGCCTGTCATGTGATATTGAGAAAAAGTGCCTTCTTCACGATCGCAAACTACTCCTCTAGACTTCTGCAGTATTATCCATAAAAAATGGTTGAGGCATACGTTGTACCCCTGGCTATCACCTGCATTTGGGCCTTTATCGGCATAATTTGCCCATTCTTCGCTCGCGGACCAAACAAAGGGTAAGGATATGATCATATACAGATTCATGGCCATAATAATAATACGTTTTTTTTTGTAGTGTGATTCAATGCTGCCTGATGCTAACTGCGGTAACCTGCTGGCTTTTGTAAGTTTTATCAGTGACCTATTTGTTTCTACGACAATAGCATTGTTTTTCTCTTCCACAGCTGGCTCTGTTGCTACATGACACAAATGAATCCATTGATTGGACCCAATCTTTCGATGAATGAGATCATGATAATGGCCAGGGAATGGGGCCACGAAATCAAGGACACGGTCAATGTCGTTGTGTAGGTGGAAGTCGTCCTAAATGTCACATGTGTTGATTTGTTAATATCGTTATATATATTTATGCATACATTCTTTTTGCAACGTATATACGTTAAATTTAATTTCGCTTTACGAAATAAACAAGGCACTACACAAAAAGCCTATATTGTATATTTTTTGATTTACAAATAAAAAAGCGTGTTAAAAATGCTATAATCGATGTCTGCGTACCATTTTTTGGAGCACCTGACCTGAACATCTGACTCTCACGTGTGTACATACATAAGTGTATAACATTTGTTACTGAAATTCAGTGCGGTAATTTTAAATAGATTTCAAAACTGTAGAGAACCCACCAGGATTAAAACATAGATCATAAGATACGATTTTTAAAGTTCAATAATAATTTATTTTTTTTAGTAACTACGCAGAAGCATACATCGTTTTGATTAACTGATGATCTGATATTTATGTATATATTATGCATATATAAATGTATGTGTGTGTGTGTGTGTGTACGATTATATTATTTAAATGTTTATTTACATTTTAGCACTAATAAAATGTACAATTGGCTTAATTTAACTTCATAAAGATTTCATTTTAATCTTGAATAAAAGAAAAGAAACAAAATAAAGTGCAAAAACAAGAAAAACAGAAGAAAGTAAAAACAAAAAAGTTGGAAGTAGGAGGAAACAATGGCAAATGAACTAATACCGTGTGACTATTTACAGACAATCCTCGATCATTCGACAACTTTTTACTTAAAAACTAACTGCAGAACCATTTCCTCGCATTAATGCCGGGTACATCAAAGAAGTCGGTATGTCTCTCATCACATAGCAAAGTATTATGAAAACAATATATATGCATGTATTTTAACCAAAAATAGAGTCGCCACATAAACAGTTTCCTTTAACAAACATCGACGCCCGAGTCCTTTGCTGTTCAGGTTTTTTTTTTTCTTAAATAAGTTGTGAAACGAATCTACGAATTTGCCGAGTTTGTGGACGTTGTGTTGGAAGATGGTGCTGGCGCTGGCGTGGGGGCAGCCGGTGTCGCCAAATTAGTTGGGAGAGGGGCTGCAGCAGGGGGATAATAGGCGGTTGTCGCTGGAACATTTGTGCTAATCGCTGCAGATATGAGAGGGAAAAAGTTAGTCATTAAAGAACTGCAGGGGTTATGGTGGTACCCTCAGTGCTTACATTGGCGTAAAGCTTTTTGGAACTTTTCATATTCTACATAGTGTTTCAGACGTAACTCATCTTCTTCAATTAGCTGCCTCTGGCGTAGGAGCAACAGACGTTGGTGTTGATTTGTACCCAAGCGAGTGTTGCACAATTGATTAACCAAAGAGTCTAGATTATGCTTAATGTCCTAAAAAGGTACATTCAGGTATAATTTCTGGCATATGTATGTATACTCGGTAGAGTGTGAACCTTACCGATTGAATGTCGCTGGGCAGCAGGTGTGGGTGGGTAGCAGCAAGTGATACGGGCTCCTCGGTAACTACAATACACAGACTATAGAATGCGGTTGGAATAAAGCAGAATTTTGCTCACCTTCCCCAGCAGCAGCGCTAAAAAGGGGCTGCATTACATGCTGCATGGGTTGAGCTGCGGACTGTGCATTCAAGAGCGGTGTTTGCTGCATCAGTTGCGGCACCTGCTGCTGGAAGCTTTGTGGTGCGGCCATATGAGCTGATGGTTGTTGACCATACATCGAAGGCACCATCGAAGCCATACCCGAGATCTGAGACTGCATTTGAAGCGGTTGCTGTTGAACAACCATTTGTTGTGCCGCCGACACTTGCGTTGGTAACTGCATTGCCGGCGGTAGCTGCTGCTGCTGCTGCACCTGCTGCTGTTGCACCACCTGTGGCGGCAATTGATGCATTTGATGAGGCTGGGACTGCATAAATTGTTGTTGTGGTTGCGACAATTGCTGCTGCTGTGGCTGCTGTTGCAAAATAATTTGTGGCTGCTGCTGTGGTAGTAATGCGTGTTGTTGCTGCCCCTGTGGCATTTGCATTGTTGCCAACACTGGCTGTTGTTGCTGTTGTTGTTGATTTACCATTTGAGGATGTCCATTAATCGAGGGTTGCTGCTGCGGAATATTTGATTGCAACTGTTGTTGCTGCCTCTGCTGTTGTTGCTGTTGCAGGTTGGGAATTTGGGGCTGCACATTGGGCTGTTGAGCAACTGGCATACCCTGAACTGGAGCATGAGTCGCAACCGCATTGTTGACGATGCACTGTGGTGGACCCGCCACCACTGTCGGACCCTGCGACTGCTGCTGTTGGTAAATCAGCTGTATGCCATTCATGGCCAAAGGCACATTCTGAATGGGAGAGTGCATCAGCTCAGTAGGCGTGTTGACGAGACTACCATTCTGCATGGATGCAGGATTTGTGCCCTGTCCTCCAGCGGCCAGATGTAGATCGATTTTTAGTTGATTTTGTTGGGGGCCCTCGTCTGTGGAAGTTTTTTGCTCCTGCACGCGACTAACACTAAAGCGTGATACTTTTCGAGCATTGGCGCTGGGCGTCTCGTCCGCTGGCTTAACAGTCGGTGCCGTTGCTACTGTTGGCGCTGAGGGCTACAGTAAAGAGTATAGGAGACGTTTGGATTAAGTTTCATAACAAAAGAGCTTCGGGATCTGCAGCTTACCTCTTCAATATTTTCAGTGTTGCGCAATGCTGCCAATTTCTTTTCCAAATCTGCTATGGAGCTTTGGTTAAGGGATCCGTTGCTGGGATTTCTTTGTGGCTGTTGAGACGCCGAGGTCTCAACTGTGGCGCTGACTGAGCTCACAATGGATGTCACCGATGTCTTTTCCAGACTGCCTTGCTTCGAGAGTTTCTCGTGCCCACTGGCAGCGGTGGTGGCGGTACTGGCTGCAACGTTGAGGCCATCAGTAGGCGTGTTATCAGATGCACACGAGACCGCTCCAGTGCCTTCGATAATGTTGGTGACATTTGTCTGTGCATCGGATCCCAGGCTATTATCAATTGAGGTGCGCCGAGAGTTATAAACCGATGAACCTCGCGCCGAGTTCAGCGCAGCAGTAGGAGTGTTCTGGCCAAGAGAAGGTACCGATGACGCTGGGCCCTGCTTGATGATCTATGGCATTAGAATACAATTTTTATTATAAAGAGCTTGCAATTAGTTGACGGTATAAGCAACACAATAGATCACAGAAAAGCATTTAACCAAACGAAAAGCATTAGTAAATAAAATAAAACTAAGTCTTACAGCGCTTAAATACTACCAGAAACCCAAACAAAAGCGCTGTAACAGATCTCTATAAGCTCTTTAAATACGAGTAAATATTAGTCGAACGTAAAAAATTGTGTACTTGTAAATCTTATTGAATACAGGTTATTCACAACTTAATGTTATTCATTATTTGAAAAGAGGGACGTAAATAATTTGTCCATATACAAATGTAGATAAAATATACAGAACAAAATAAAGACTAGAAAAAGCAGCTATTAATTGTCTAATGCATGCGCCCAAATAGACAATTTTAGGCCTGTAAGAAGATTAATCACAATAACAAAATTTAAATTAAAGAGAAAAAACGCGGAACAAATATAAAAAGCATAAATTAGGCGGTGGAAAATGTTAGGACACCATAATTTCTACACATAAGCGGATGGAAACATAAACTTTATAGTTGTTTCCGCCGCAACAACACACTACAAAACAAAACAAGTGGGATCTTGGGCTACCTCTTGGGGTTGTTGAGACGTTGACGTGGCCTGTTGAGTGCCTTTCATCGATGAAATTGTTGGTGATGCCTGATGAGTGCCACGAGTATTCATAGACGCTACGACGGCAGAGGCTAACGCATTAGCATGAGTTATGTTCTCGAGCTCGATCTTGAGTTGTTCCAGCGTATTGGCGCTTGGCTGTGCAACGGTTGAACTTGTCTCAGATCTGGGCTTTTCGCCCACTGAGTGGCTGGGTGCTGTCTTTCCCGCTTTGGTAGGCATTTCAAATGTTATCTTCACTTCGGTCAAATCATCCAAACTTCTCGTATGCTTTAGGTCCTCCTCAATCTTCAAGTGACGGTTCAGTGGCAAATTTAAACTTCGGGGCGTAGGGCCAGAGCTCGACTCTAAAAGCTTTTGAACCCGACTCTTCACATGGCTTCGCGATATATGGCCAGTTCTTGGCTTGTCCTTAATGGCATCCAGAGAAGGAAGCTGTTCGTTGCCGGTGGGCGTGACATTGTTGTCCGGCATGTAGTCAATGGATAGTGATGTATACTCGGATGCCGTGCTAGTTTTCCGTGATACAGAGCCCGAGCCTATCGTCACATCATTGCTGTTATTTCCCGCATCTCGTGAGGTCGTTGAGGATGAGGACATGGTCGAAGTAGTCGTTGGAGGTGTTCCGACATTTGTTTGCATATCTGGGTTTGTCAGGGTCGAGGTTTGGGATCGTGCATCTGCAGCTACGTTGCAGAAATCGGCGCTACCCTTATCAGACCCACCTGATGTGGCCAGAGCCTCGACGCCGTGTATGGTAGGCTCAAACATCTTTGTGATATCGCTGGCGGTTTCGTCCCGCTAAAATAAGTTGTTCGTTGAAAATATATACAAGTTTAAAAGTAAATAATTCGTAGGGGTGCGACTAAGATAGTTATGTTTCGATTGGAATTGCAATTATATTCTTATATTATATCAGATACTCTAAAGTATAACAAAAATATTGAGATACATGTCTGTGTAAAAATAAATGAACAACGCAAAACTGCTCCTATGAAATTTGAACGAAATGTGGACCGCATTGCTGATTTTCTATAAGTGGTGAATATCAGAACTTAAACAGAATAATACATATATATTTACATATTTCATGGGTCCAATAATTTGTTGTTGTTGTATAAAAACACAATATTTAATATTTGCAATGGAATTCGTTATGCCACATCACTAATGAGGATAACTCTTTCTTATATTAGTAGTAAATATTTTGTGCGATGTGACCCAATCTTCATTTAAATAAAAACTAAGAACTTAGCCGCTGTTGGGTAACTCAAGATCTTCTGCTCGCTACATAAAAAAGAAATGCTTTTTTAAAATTCGAATTTATGGAAATGTTTTGATTACCATTATAAATCGTTCAGGCACAAGGGGCGAATGCTTAATACAAGTACTATAACATTTACACGTATATTTTTGTGATATTTTCTATTGGTTTCGGTTATCGTCTCATTGAGTCGACTAAGTTTTTTTTAAGTTATAAGATAATTAAGTTTTCGTCCCTCGTGTAAGCATCAGAACAAGGTAAAATAATTTTAAAGTAAAAGAAGTATCACTAAGAAAATACAAAGAGCTTAGAATCGCCTCGTGTACTTAACACTTACAGATCTATGTCTTTGGTGTGTTCTAAATGTGGAACGCTGTCGAGTTAAGGATGCATGACGGACCTGTTTTATTATAATGGAGATAGACAATCAAAGATAAAAAAGTGTTTAAAAAGTTTTTTTTTTCAGAGTTGGGAATTATTAGAGTTTAAACTTTTAAAACTACTGCAAAAAGTCGTAGTAGAGCAGGAGCGTAAGCGCCAGTGGAATTTTTTGTCTCCTTGATTTAAGCATTAAGTAATGATAGGTTAGTTAGAACAACAGGAACAGATGTGTGTGAAGAAAATGAAAGCCTCAAATAAGCTTAGTTAAATAAGTATTCAGAATCGTATTATGATAGCGTCAAATAAGCGTAGTTAAATAAGTATTCAGAATCGTATTATTTGTTCCTTACTGTAAGACAGAAACGTGAGGGTTATTACTAATTATTAGGATCTTGTATTCATCATCAACGGCAGGCAAATTAAGAGTAAATTGTGGCTAGCCTGACGAATTTTGCATTGGAGAACTAACACGCTTCTGATATGTACATTAAATACGTAGTAATATCACCCGATTTGTATATACAGGCACTATATACTATAGTTTATGGATACATGACATACGGTACACATATTTACATTAGATGAAAATGATGTTAAGAAAGTTCTTAATTATGTTGATGTTTTTCGGCATCCGTCGCCCCTAACCGGTGGATTAGAAAAACTATAACTATTCGACAACTGCGAAACCGTGGAGCTTTCATTCATCTCGAGTACATAGTGTCTCATTTCGATCCGAATTATCTTCTCAGACCACCTGCTAAACCTAACCTTATGCATTGCGGTGCAATAAATGGATTTCGCAATGCAAATAGAAAAAACCTTCTGACAAATAACTAGTGGGTCGTAAATACCTTCTCAATATTGCGGCGATAACTCGTTGGGACTGGAATTTGATTAGGATTTTGCTTAACCTGCTCGACAATCTCGTTAATCATCTCGACAAATACAGTGTTTTGGCAACTGGAAAGCAAATCTTGCGCGATCTGAAAAATGATCGTAGTTTTTGTTTTGCATAATAATCATATCTACTTGACCTCTTCATCTCTCCAAACTTACCAGTTTATTGGCAATTTCAACTGGATTGACATCGCCGATGTCAAATTTAAATGTTATGGTTTTTAGTTTATTTTCCATGTGACAATTTATAACGCTACCCTCTTCCACACTGGTTACACTCAGTTTTGGGATACGTTCGTTGCCGCTTCGATTCGTCCGCCGTGGCTTTTGAGTGCGGGATCCCTGTTGTTTCATCTGTTTCTCTGCATCAGCTGAGTTCGTTTGTTCGGTATTTTGTTGAGCTGCATCTGCGCTCAAAGGCGGTACCCCTGGTACCACAGGTGCCTCAGTCGACTCCTGTCCAACTGTTTGTAGTTGAGTTGGCAATGCAGCTTGAACTTGCTGTACATTTTGAACTTGCTGTGGCTGTGTCTGCTGCGGCTGTTGGTGTTCCAGTTGTTGCAGTTGCGTTGTCGGTGGAGGCAGTTGAGTTTGTGGCTGACTATGCAATAGTTGTTGCAATTGCTGTTCTAAAGGTATTTGTTGCAAGGGCTGTTGGTGAAGGGTCTGCTGCTGCAGAGGCTGCTGTTGTTGCTGCATAGGCTGCTGTTGTTGCTGCATAGGCTGCTGTTGTTGCTGCATAGGCTGCTGTTGCTGCATGGGTTGTTGTTGCTGCATAGGCTGTTGTTGCTGCAAAGGCTGTTGTTGCTGTATAGGTTGTTGTTGCTGCAAAGACTGTTGTTGCTGCATGGGCTGCTGCAAAAACTGCTGCTGCTGCTGTTGGTTCATCTGTGTGGGCACGGCGGCGTAATTGGGATGGGTATGGCTCTCAGCAACATGTGCCATGGGTTGTGACAACTGCTGTTGAGTTTGCTGCGAATATGTGGCTGGCACCGCCTGCTGCTGCTGCACAGTTGAGGCAACAGAACTGGAAGTCGGTACCTGCATTTGAACCTGCATTTGTATAGGAGCCGACTGTTGGGACTGAGTTGGCGCTACGACTTGGGAGCCTGTGACTAGTGGTTGAATATTCATCTGCGTGTTGTGGGCCTGGATTGAAATTTGTTGAGGTGTTTGTTGTTGTTGTTGGGGCAAGGCATGATACTGTTGCTGCTGAAGGAATTGCTGTTGCTGATGAATCTGCTGCAGCTGCTGGGCCAATTGCTGTTGCTGGGCAATTTGGTGCTGTAACATTTGCTGTGACGTCTGCTGCTGCTGTGGCTGTTGTTGTTGAATGGATTGCTGAGGCATTTGCAGCGGCTGTTGAATGGAATATTGTTGCTGCTGCTGTGGTTGCTGCGACAGTTGGACTTGATGCATTGGAAGCTGAGCTGACACTTGTTGCTGTTGCTGATAATATTGCTGCTGTTGAATGATTTGTTGCTGTTGTTGCTGCGCCACTAAATCATTGGCCTGAGCATTAGTATGCATTAGTTGCTGCAATTGGTGTTGCAGCGGCATTTGGTGGCCCTTCTGAGGGTCCCCCAACTGTTGCTGTTCATGCTGTGTGCCAACCGCTTGCATTTGGGAGGCCTGCTGATGGACCTGTTGCTGTAATTGCTGCGCCAACTGATGGGTCTGATTTTGGTTGAGTAATTGCTGGTTTGGCTGCATCTGGCCGACAATATTGACTTGCGCAGGCATGACGATGTTTGACTGCACTATTTGCTGATTGGGTACAGCATTTATGGGCGTGGCACTTGCCTGGTGAGGCTGCTGTTGCTGTTGTTGAGTACCTGTTGGTGAAACGACCTGGTTGCTAGAAATGTCCTGTATGTTGTTGGTGTTATTTTGGTAGGACGCCATTTGAGAATTCTGCATGTATTGCACCGTTGGCTGTTGTTGCATTGACATGGTGGAAGATGCAATAACTTGTTGCTGCATAGGTAATAGCTGCGGGCCCGGCCCCGGCACTGGCTGCTGTTGTTGCTGTGGCGGTTGGGTGCCATTAGGAATAGATGTTTGGGATCTAGCGGCTACATTTTGCGGATCGGTGCTATTCGTTGAGACAGCTAAACTGGTCTCGGAATCTGTGTTTAAAAGGTCATACTTTAATTGCAGTCGTTGATTCCATTTCACACCGTCTTCTTCGTCTTCCGAATCATCTTCTTCCTCTTCTTCTTCGTCCACATTAGCGGGGAGGGTTTCGCGTTGCTTTTGCAGAGCTAGTTTTTCGAGTCGAGACTTTTCGTTCTGTAGCTTGATTTGCGTCTGACGCTGGGCGCGTTCTTTAAGTAGAGAAACAACCTGCACCTTTAATAGTCGAGCGACTGCTCGCGAATCGTCCTCAGAAATAATGTTTTCCTTCATCATTTCTTGAGCGATTTGCTCATATTCATCACTTTTGATATTATATTCAAATTGTATTGCTTCATTTTCCTTGTGTCTAGACGATCGTTTTTTCGGATCCATAAATCGTAAACGGAACTCAATGATACTGATCGCGGGATCGGAAAGGAACTGTTCTGAAGCTGTTGGCTCGACCCGAATACCGATATCTTCGTCAAAAAACTCAGATTCCAGTAACTCGTTGCAACTTGGGCGATCTTCCTTTTTCAATTCGATGCACCGTTCTATAATGTCACGAACATTGGGATCCTCAACTTTTGAGAGCGCGGCTGGTTTTATACCCGATATCACTTTTTTGTATATCTGCGCTGGGCCTTTGCATTCACTGTACGGATATTCGGATATGGCCATCTCTAACATGCACATTCCAAAGGCATATACATCTACCGATTCATCATAGTGCTCCTCGTACATTTCCGGAGCCATGAATTCCGGGGTACCAATCACAGATTTCGCGTGGGAGCGATTTTTAAGCGTTGCTAGTCCCAAGTCGCCGATTTTAACACTACCAGTGGTGCCAGTTATAAAAATATTATCACATTTCAAATCACGATGAATTATAGGAAATTGACGAGTATGCAGAAAATTCAAGCCCTTCAAGATTTGTCGACACCACGACTTTAATACCTTTGGGTGTATTTTTTTAAACCGCTTCAAATACCTACAATTTTCAAATGTTATGTTATTTCTCCAAATGTTACCCAAATATTGCACTTACGACTTTAATGTTCCAGATAGCATAAGTTCTGTGACTAGTACAATGTTTTTTTTGCGTCCAACTGGAAATTCCCAATATGTGTAAAAGCGAACAATGTTTGGGTGTTGCAATTTCTTTAACATATCGGCTTCTTCTCGAAATCGAGTACGTTCGCTTTTCTTTACTTGTTTATCCTGTGGATCACATAATAATAAATATATTATTTAGATACTGTGTCTGTCATATCATACCAATAATTCGCACCATGCCACTGGCACCCCTGTTAACGTGTCTAAGCCTCGGTAAACCGTCTTGAAAGAACCACGACCAACTTCTTTGTCGTATTTAAAGAAACGTCCGCAAGGAGACATAGCCACCGGGTCATCATCTTCATCACTTTTGCTTTTCGTTATGGATGTGGACGATGATGTGGCCGATACTGCAGATGTTGATAATGGAAGCGATACTGAAGTATCGGTTGAAGTCCCCGCTTGGGCGGCATCTCCAGAGCTCGCCTCGCCACTCTCTGGTTGCTTAGATAGAACATCGATGCCTTTGGGCAGTTTCTCATTCACTTCCGCCTCAACGTCTTTGTCCTCAACATGAAAGCCTACGCGTTTGACACCACTTGATAGTTTGGCAGATTTTAATGGCACTTCGTATTCGACCTTCTCTTGCTTTACGCTACGCGACGCCTCCGTAATGATGTTCTCGATAATGCCAGCTACTTGATGGCTGGCAGTATCTGTTGCGTTCGATCGGGTCGGTGTACGGAACTGTTCCTCCAGATGTTCCGCCTCACGGGACAACATCTCAATGTTGTCGTCATAATCACGCGGAAACTCAGTTTCGAGCTCCACAAACTGCAATGGGGTACGATTCGTTTGCTCGACATTTTTCCGTATGAAGCGCATATTTTGTATATTCGCCGCGACTTTGCCTTGGGGTGCCTTGAAGGAAGTTGGTGCCGTCTTCGAGCTTTGCGGTGTACTAGCTGCATGTTGTTTTAGCAATGGGTCTATTACCGTATCCGAAGAAGACTTCCTACCCTCCATTTTATTGGATTCCGTAGGTGCAACCTTTGGCGGCGTCTTGGCTGGCTTACTATCCTTGTTCGTGTCTAGGGACACTACCCCAATCTTTCGAGTGTTCGTGCTAACGTCGGGCGACTGAGTATTACCATCCATTTTTCCTTCATTATGTTTTTCATCTAATTCTGTGATGTCTTCTATAAATGAGGGCTCCTCAACTATATCCTTTGTTTCCAGATTGCAATTGTTGTTTTCCCTTTCAATCTGGTCTTGGCTTTCGTTTTTGCTATAGTTCGTAGATTTTCCGGTTAAAGCGTTGCTAGAAAACTGTCGCAGGACTCGACTCAAAATATTCTGTTTGCTGGGTGATGATTGTGATGCTGGTGCTCGTGATGGCGATGGTGTCTGTGACTGAAGCGGTGACGATTTTAACGACGTTGTGCTGGTGTATTCTGTAGCCGATTCCTGCTTGCGTAGTGATTTTCTAAATGCCGTGCCTTTTGGTTTTAAAGTCGGGGTTGAGTTTTGCCTTGTGGACACAGTTTTAGGCGGTGGCTGTCCCGACTTTTTGACTTTAATTTCTTGCACGGTATGTTCCTCGCTAGAAACATTTGAGTTACTCCTGAAAGAGGCGAAAGATTCGAAAGTAAGCAATGCATTGATGTAAACAATTACATAGTGGTCGGTATGAGTAAAATTCATGCATATACTATATGAATCAAAAATTTGAGCCGTGTCTCTGTTACTAATATATTTATTATTCAATTTTGTTTTAAGTTTAATGACCCAATATTTTATAATAAGTATATTAGTTAAGTCTCTTCCATTCTTCTTTATATATAATGCATATTTTGCGACATAGATATTTGGATGACACTTTAAAAAAAAGTAATAAACGGAGAATGTAATACTGTAATATCTAACCTAGCCCACCCAATTATAAAAGCTTAAAAAAAGAGAAATTTAATAAAAAGGAAATATTAAAACTTGTTCCGAGAGTAATTTTTCGTTGAACGTTCTTATGATATCTACAACGTAGGGCACCAATTTTAACAACACTATAACATTGGTTGATCACTTAAATAAATCTCATAGATACCATGTTTAACTTCAGTATCATAATAAACAAAAATATTATTTTATATGGTTTGTCTTGGTCCGTGAATGGTTCAGACATGACACTTTGAGGGCCTCTAACTTTAATGGTTTAAAAGTTATTCATGGTCATACTGACAAACAAACCTACTTGCCATCTTAATATTTATAGATGGTATATCTATAACAGGGATCTGCTAATCCTTAATCTGTCGTTTATATATGTACATTCAGACTTTTTTGTATACGGATATTCGTTATAAAGATCACCATGAGGGAGTTTATAAACACGAAAACATAAATACATATATAGAGAGTATAGACATTATGTTACATACAATTTTACAATTTAACGATTTTACAATTTACATTAAGGATAGTTTGTAAAGTAGGTACAGTTTAGTATGGCGGATGAAAGAATTCATTTGCCGCATGCATTGGAAATGTGTTCCTGCTATATTTCGGATTATAAGTCTGTACAAAAAAGTTTTATAGATCCGAAGGATAATTTAACATATATGTAACTGAATAAGTGGATGGTTGGTTACAACTTTATGGTGCGTTAATGTTAAGCCCATATCTGGCCATCGATATTCGTAATATTGTACAATACATATGTATATATATATATGTGTGTGTATTATGGGCATGCCTATGGTAACAACAGATATGAAGTATGTTATCGTATAGGAAAATTTGTTTTCATTTTTCAGACCTGTTTGAATTTTGATCTTGGCGCTGCAGCCTTTTCGAGGGTTTTGCATGATGTTCGTGTCGTCGCATTTAGTTTCAAAATGTTTTTAAATGTTATAAGCGTTATCTAACCGGTCAAGCTATGTAAAAGTAGAAAGACATAGATTTGTAATCGTTAATACAGCGCAGCTCACTGTTGATATAATCCTGGTAATACATAGTAGTTAATAGAAAGAGCAATACACAACATATCAATTTAATAACTCTCATTATATGTAAATGTACATATATACATATGTGAAATGTTCCATAGAAACTTATGTGGCCACGATCGAAATTTGAGCCAAACAATTCTGATAAAAAATAAGCAAATAGGCCCACATCGTGTAGTCTTTCTGAATCGAATGTACATACATATGTATGTAACAAATGTTTTTTTTTTGAAGTAGTTATAACTCCGAAGAGGTATGAACTTGAAGGAAAATCCAATTGCTTGTGAAAATACAAATATATACATATGTATATGAATTTATGTATATTGAAATATGTATGACTATAAGCCACATTGACTAATTATCAACAATGTTTTGAAACGATTATTTTTTAGAAAATAAAAAGACAAATTAATTTAATCATTTGATTTTGGAAATAATCTTATACCCGAATAGGTACGCGTTGCTTGGTAAACCTTCCTCCTCATCCATTATGATAATCATAGTGACAATCTTCTGGCCTATATTTGAACTTGTATGTTTCTTAAATGGATTGAAACAAATAATCGGAAATCCTATAAAATAAAATCATTAGGGGATTTACTTGTGCTTTACATTTGGTAGAAACTTGGGATTTTAATTGAAACCATGCAAGGGAAACACGGACAGTTCTCAAAAAATGTGATTAATAATTATTCATGTTAAATTCTTCTTATAGTTACCACGTGTAATGAAACGTGATAGCCCTATGCTTGGCCTTTCAGATATTAAAATTATTTTGAGTGACTTAAAGTGTAAGGCCAAAAAAACCAAGATTGACCCATTCACATTGTGAAATATTGTGTAAGCTTTCGTTTCAAGAATAGTTTTACTTAATATTCTTTTTAATTTGAAAGGAGTTTTTGTTCTTTGATTCACATAACATTTTGGGATTTCAAGCTTTGTGTTATAACTTACCTTTGAGGTTGCGTGGTAAAGGAGGCAGTACCATCTTCGCTGATGGTGCTTTCCTTCCGAACACTGCTTGTGGGTACGACCTCTCGCTGTCGTACGAAGTCGCAAAGGGTTTGTCCAATTTTGCAAAAGTTTTAACAACAAATGATCACGTAGAACCTGCACAAAGAATCAAAGATCAACTTAGTAGAGAATTAACATTTAGTTAGGAAATTGAGTTTGCCATTAGTTACTACAAATATTTATCCGCAAAGTCGGATGTGGGTTGGTTGACTTTGACTTCAAACAGTTTGCCCCATCTATTGACACTAAAGTGTTTAATAAACAACAATTCATAAGCCGGTATTTGTATTTGTGATAAATAAACACACATTCAAACACATTATAAAAAGGAAGCAATGGACAGTGCACATTACCTACCTACCTACATACATACATATGTATACAAATGGATATGTGTATATGTATGCATGTACATACACGTATTAACGTTTGTAATTTAAGCGATTTTCACAAAACCAATAAACCTAGAGTAGTACGAGGAGGTACCTTTACTGTGTAGGTATACTAACTGGTTAAAACGTAGTTGTCTACACAAAAAATGTTCGCACACATACTTGCATATACATATATACATACGTATGTATGCCAACATTTTTTATATACACGTATGTATGGCAGCACATTGATATTTGAATTTGTAAAACATACACACACAGCACACACATATTACATGAGTAAAAATTCTACGATTCGAAAATTGATTTAGCCAGAGGCAACAGTGACAGATGCAGGTTCAGGCCCGAGTTCAAGGTTGACTTACAAATAGACAAATTGGCTGAATTAGAATTATGCCTCGATTCACTTTCTTTTAAATGTGACACTTGCACTAATGTATATTGTCGCTCCCAGCGAAAATACATACATATGTATGTACTATATGTACAAAAAAATCGAAATCGAATGGTTACTAATTGTGAATGTGATTGCAAAACAGCTGTGCGAGGCAAAGTCGTACTTTGGGTGTATCTTTTCCATGAGTCATAAATTCCAAATTGCACAAAATCGTGGCTACTGCTGCGGCCTGCTTGCTGTTACGTTTTTTCTTTCTTTCTTTATCAAAGTGTTCGCTTATTTATATATGCCACACACAAACACCACACATACGTACTCTCTCTCACATGTACATGTGTCTGCACGAACATATGTGTAAGTTGGTGCCTCCTATATTTATGCTAATATATGTTGCAGGCGACAGATATTATATCCTGCAGTAAAGACGATACACCCATAAATGAATGGACCTAGGCGCTAGTTATGATGTCATTGCCGGCACTCTCCAATTATTTTGGGTGCAGGAGCAGAGGGCACCACATCCACACAGCCTGCCACCACGACCACCATTACAACCTTGGCCTGGCCACGCCAAATAGTTCAAGTCATTGACACATTTCGCCGTAACAACACTTTACAAATTTGCTCAGTCTTAGGTTGGCCGCGTTTGTTTTGCAAAAATTTACATTATCTATCTACATGCATATACGTGTATGCGCTGGCGATGCAGAAGATATGTATATTGTAGTGATATTGATATTGTGCACCATACACAGTACCGAATAGTAGGCGGGAGCGGGCTACGCGACAAATACTCGCAAAAAATTAAATATAGGTATTCACAATAGCTGTGCGTAGTGATTGGAGCTTTTGTTTTCATTTTCATTGTTGCATTCGCACGTTGCTACTCACTTTATTCATTTGTGTTTTTGCAAAGCACTGGTAATTTCATATATATTTAGTTTCCCTGCATTTTTAACGACTTAGATGGTAAGCTCTTCTTGAAAGTGTAAGTGTCTGTCTAATTTTATTTGTTACACAACGACAACGACAGCGTCGACTTGCGATGGCAATAATGTCATCTCATTAATCGACAGTGGCAGCAGCAGCAAGTATCCACGACAGTCAGTTGAGCCGCAAATTGTAAAGAACTCACGATATTTTCCGAAACTACAATTCAATTTAATATAATTTTGAATTTATTTAGTAATTTTACAATCATCGTTTGTCTTTTGAGTTTGCCAGATATTATATTACGCGTTTTGTGCTCTGAGCAATCCAAACATTGTTCCAGTTACTGAAGTTACTGAAGCAAATGGAAAAGTATATAACCGAAGCACGTCAGCTGACCGTAGAATCAGTGACGCACTTGGCTAACATGCTTTGCGATGTGTACACATCGATAAATTACAGTATATCGATAGACTAATTTATGAACGGTTGCTTTGCCAAATGTGTCGAAATAAGAATCGCAATTTTAAATTAAAGGCGGCATCAGTATGTTACTTTTGAATTTATCATTAAGGTATTAGATATTCAGTCCGAAGTCGGCTGTTTCCTTCGTTAAGCCTATTAAAAACCCACAGTGCATTCTGTTTAAAGTCTTCATTTTTTATTCAATTCTATTTTGTGGCTACGTCGACGACAGCGAAATTAGACAAATAAATATAAACTGTACAAAGCTGTATTGTGAATGATTAATTGGTTTCAATCATTAAATATGTATATGACTAAAATCAATCTGGTATTGCGGGTTATTAATGTTATTTATAGTTTGATATTTTTGAAAACAATTCAGCTTTTATTTTATTAAAAATCTCTTACGTGAAAAGGCTTATACTAAAATAAATTAATTTAAAATTAAAACCCACTATATCTAAAGCGTACTGCAAGAGCCTTTACTCTTTATGGACACCTCTGAAAAAGGAAAAAATTAAAATAAAAAATTAATAAAACGTAATAAGTGCCAAGCCAGCAATTTTCTTACCAATGCCTAGACAAGACGAGTAGCATTCCAATTGTGCTTCTCCAGTGTACATGTATCCATCAGAGCCACATATTATTTGATCATTCTCATCATAGACATTAGCGCAGATTTTCTCACAATACGCTTCAATATCTTTTGGATCGGTGGGTGGCTCTGGAGGTGTAACTGGTGTAGTTGGCAGAGGCGTGAGACTTGCGGGAGCCTAGAAGAAGATATTTAAACATGTTGTGCCAGTAAATTATAAGATCTTCCATAATTTACCACACTGACTGATTGTTCCACATCAGCGCTATCTTCCGCATCGTCTGCAATTTCGCTAACTGGCTTGGTGATGACAGGGGCAGGATTGCTCAGAGCAAGAGTCGGACGTGGTGTAGGTGTAGAAACAATAGTTTCATAGTAATATTGCTGACTTGAAGGTGAACGGGTATAGCTTGATGAACCACCTATAGCGTCCTGCTCTGTGAATTCAAAGCGCAGCGGCTCAGGCGTTTGAGCTTTGTGTCCATTGTGTCGAACCTGACTGTAGGATGTGGCAGGAGGACTTTGAGTAGTTGTGCTCTGGGTAGCCAATGGGGTAGAGACAATATGCTTGACAGCCTTGTTACCATCAGACTTTACTATAAAAGCGTTCTGACTCGTTTGATAGCTGCCGCGAACTACCGCCGAGTTACGGGGTGCCGGATCTTGTTGGTAGAAGAGTTCAGATACCTTTATGGGTTGATTGTAACTGGAAGAGACGCTGCTATCTGAAATGTGAGCTGGCGAGTTCTGTAGCTGCGATGCCCCTTGCTGTTGGTGCTGCAGTGGAGCATGTTTCTGGTACAGCTGTTGTTGTTGTTGCTGTTGCTGTTGTATTTCTTGGTGATAACGAACTTGATCGTGATCTGAGTCCAACTGTTTGTAGTTCGGATCGCGTTTTGGCAGGAAGTACTCATTTGTGCTCATGAAGTGCAAATACTGCTGTGCTTCTTTGGAAACAAGCGGAGGAATGATCGCTGCAGGCTGTTGGTGACCGAGTCCTGGATTATATGATGATTCACGAACTGCATTTGGATCAGCCTCCTCATAAACTGAGTAGCTGGCGTCTCTTTGGGGCGTTTGGCTCTGATGCACCAACGTTTGCTTCGAGGGTACGACACTGTAGCCGTCCCGTTGATACTGCGGGATCGATGCGTACTGAGGTGCTTGCACGGGAATCGCGTATTGCTGAATAGGTGTATAGGATGGTGGGTTTTCCGCGTTAAACTGATTACGCTGATCCTTAAGTACGACATTGCCATTGAATCTGGGCGAAGCTTTAAAATTGTGTATATACTGTTCGGAGGGGTACTGCACATTATTTAGATGTTGGTTCAGCTCAGGCCGATAAAACTGATTCTTGCCTATATCGAGCACTGGGGTGTCCTTGGCGTGTGCGTAACGAGATGCCTTAGCCGGATCGTATTGATAGCCCTGCTGCTGCTGCAGATGCGGCGGTCCGACAAATATTGAGTTGCCACTATGGACGCGTCGCATTATCTGGGGTCCAGCAGGCGGTGGCGGGGGTCGCAATGCAGAGGGCAGTCCATGTGAAACAGCCGACCGAACGGGAGGCACATTGTCGCCACGCGAATATGCTCGAATACGCGGTCCCTGATTAGTGAAGCGGTTTTGATTTTGATTGAGTTGTGGCTTCGGGTCACTCAAAAATTGCATTAGCTTAGGAGTGCGAGACTGCTCCACTTTATGGCTTTCACACTGCACGTAACCGAAAAGGAATAGCAATGCACCGAGGATTGATAAAAAACTTCTGGCACTAGGCGACATGTTGCGCTTAATTTTCTTGTTGTCGGAATCGTTAAATTGCCCGCGTGTCTGAGTTCCACGGCTGCCAGTAAACATTTAACAGTCAACTTGCCAAAACTGCTCTTTTGCTGCCACTTCTTCAAGACTTTTACCAAAAATAAAATGCGTTTCTTTCAAATTTTACATACAAAACTACAACACGAGCATACATACATATGTAAGTAGTCGTAAGCTTCTTTTGTTCCGAACTGGTTGGTTGATTGGTTGGTCGATCGGTCGCTCGGTCGGTCGGTTGATCTCTCTTTCGCATCTGGCTCTGCCTCTCTGCGGAAAATTGCGGCAAGTTCGGCTTACTGCATTTCTGGTGCTAATGAACTTGATACGATATAGTAGTAGTTACTGTTTCATCGGAATTTCAATGACCCGTGGCTTGAATGAATACCGCGTAATCAACGCACAGCCAACGCAACCTACGATACAGGAGAAAAAGTTAATCAATGCATTTAAAAATTCGTATAACTTTCTTCAAATCATTTTCTCCTTAACTGTTAATGTTTGTGGCAGCATCGACTCAACCAGGTGTCCGCTCAACGCTGACTTGGAACACTTCTGGGCAACTGATGGAGCTAAGCTTATCTCTCAAAACCAGTTTCGAATTCCGCCAGTGGGCCAACACCTCGTCACCATTGAGGAAGCTGGTTTTAGCCTCGCGGCGCTGTTCTTTTCGAAAACTGACAACCGACGACAATTGAACGAGATGCCGAGCCAAGATCGTTAGTCTTGTTGCAAAGATTTGTTTGGTTAGCGGAGAAATTGTTGCTCGGTTGAAGGTAAAAGTGAGAAAAAAAAACACACATACACGTGCCCATGTCGTATGTGTGCCTTTATAATGACAATGAGTAGATCCATTTATGCATATTTATGTGTGCTTGCGTCTTGGTGTGCGTGTGTAATCATTTGTTTTGATTTTAATTTTATTAAAAGCCGACCGACTGTCTCAGCTTCAAAGATATCTAAAGAAATCACCATCAAATCTTTACTGTTATTCGTGACCAGTTGTCAGCCAAATTAGGTGAAAGCCAAATCGAATGCATATTGTGTTGTACTCGCACATCGTAAGCATCTAGAAACAGACAGCCTAGCATCAGTCTTCGTTCGAACTACCTTTTTTTACTCTTTTATCATATTCGTGGTATGGTAGGAGTGGGAAATATGGTTGAATACGGATGTTTTTAATTTAAATATTGAAGAAAACCATTTTATGTACAATCATAATTTTACTTGTAAATTTCCAGTATAAATCCTCTTTTCTTAACGCCTGTTGATCCAGCAAATGATGCAAGACTGGCTGATGGTTTTGATTTTAACAGGTAGAGAAACGATTCACGCACAGGCCAATGAACTTTTAAAACCACATCACAAATAAGCCTAAGGTACTTCTATAACCGCACAAAAGCATCTGCTTTTGTCACTTACCCTCTCGATTATTCATTTTAATTAAAATTGATACTCAAAGAAAGGTATAAATTCGATTTTTTTAATTTTAAAAAGTAGCTACAACTTTCGCTGAGGCCTGTGACTTTTCTATTTGATAAAATAGCAATCGGAGAACATAACGAGTCTGTAATGCTTTTTCTATTCATATCGAAATGCTAAAACACAGTTAATCATGAATATTAATGAAAATGGTATTGCGTGTGATCTGATTCGATGAAAAAATACCAACATTTATTTAAACAGCATAATTTTTCGATTTGCACCTATTACACAGAATACATACTATAAATGAATAGATTGATAAATTTGCCTGTATTTTTCATAATATATTTGCTGAGATAAGTATTTTGGATTACAAAAATATATGTTTTTATTGTAACCTCTTTCCCTTCTCACATTGAGCGCATTTCCAGAGAGTTATATTGAAACTACCTAGTAGCAAATTGATTTCCTAGAAACCGAATGCTATTTACATGTGGTATGTAAATGGCCAAAAGACAAACACAAACCTAGTCTGATATAAAATTTTTCTTATTCAAATTTTGCACTCCTTTTGTAATATCCAAATCAGATTCTCAATTCACACATGATAAATGGAACCTCAAGTTCAGGCCTAAGATCCCTATTTTATTTACAATTTCCAATCAGCCAGTACTTTAGGATCATGTCTATGTGTGTTTTTTGGCCGTGGGTATGAGTCCCTCTATTTATGCAGCACAGAGTTAAGCCAAAACAGCAGCAACAACAACAACAACTGAAGGTGCAGCTTGAGAAAGCTTACTTATCACTTTATGGCTATAACTACTTTTACATTTGTCTTAACGCAAATTGCGCTAACGTCAGGACACATAAAAACATAAAAAGCGTTCAACCAAACAGAAAGACGGACATGTCTAGATCGATTGGTCTGGTAATGCTGATTACGGATATATGTACACACATACGTATATATGTACTTTATAGGGTCGGAGTTCCTACTTTTTGCCTGTCACTTACATTGCAAAAACCTATTATTCCCTTTTTACCCTTCGTGTACAAGGAATGTAAAGAATAACTCGATAGTATCTTCATGCACCTTTCAACCTAAAGGTAGTCGGCCTATTCACTTCGTAACTTTCTGATGGCGGTGGCAACAAAGTTCTTATAAAAGAGTATTTATTTGAAACTTGTTTTTGTGATTTATTATACTATATTTTAAAGTACTTAATATGAAATTATAATAAATATCTTTGGGCCTTTCAGGTAAATGTATTTACGAGTATACTGATTATTTATTGTGCCACACGTCCAAAAGAGTCTACATAGTGATGATTTGCTGTTGCTAAAGTTTCATTCGATTAGGTGTGGAAGGGGAAAACACAACCTCAGTTAATGCTGAAAAGTATGCTGTTATGGATTTTTTCAGCACAACTTCAACTCCCTTTAGTAGTTCACTGAACTTTCTCCGATTGAGTCTTAATGCTTTGTCACCGCCATAAACGTTGTTGCCCCATGCAGGCAAATGTCAAAGTCAAGTCATTTGCTTTGCTTTGTTGGAAACTAAATATTCACAGCTGTCAATACATCGAATATACTATACATAGATACATACTCGTACTTAGGAGCATGTGTGCTCTTTGTGTAGAGATACGTGCCGCCCAGCCATGTCTATGCCATAGATTTGGCATGTTTCTGATATTGCTTCTCCCAAGCATATCATCTCATTGGAATGTCTGTGGAAGAATTTATTGGTGTCTATGTGCAGTCTCTGGCATTTTTCACATCTGACGTTTGCATAGTTGTGTGAAAGTCCTCCACCACAGACTCTGTCTGTGGCAAATGAGAACAACAATGTGTACATAAAAAACAGACATTACAGATTTAATTTAACTGTGGTACAAAATATTATTAAAGCCGATTATGCGACGCATTTTATATTAAACGCCTTCCTACATAGGCAATACTTAATCTGTTTTTTAAACCTAGTATCCAAAGGGTAACAGATACTATAAAATAATATATGAATGTAATTATTTAAATAAAATAAAAAATATTTAAAATTCAATTCATAAAAAAACTTCAACAAATTCAACTCAGAACCAGTTTAAGGCGAAATAGTGCGTCATAATAATGAACGTGTGGTCGACTTTATATGGTAAAATTTTGCCTACGCTCTTGGCTGTACCTCTATTAACAGTTGACTTATCATAGTGAAACTTGACATATAAAAACATAATCACTAACTAGATCTACGAGTAATCACAAAATGCGAGTTCGAAATTCCAAGAATTACGCGAGTTCTAAAAAAAATTACATTCCCATAAAACTGTAACAGGAAGAAGGTAGCATCTCCGACTCCATAAAGTATATGTATTCTTAATCAGCAGGACGATGGAAATCAATTATATATATATAGATATGTCCGACTTTCCATCTGTCTGGATGTACGCTAGAGTTCGGAAAAGGCTGAGCCAACAAACTTGGTTTGCCTCATCCCCAGCCAACACGAGCTTATGTCTGTTCCGTCTGTCTGCATGAACGCAAAGATATTGGGAAGAATAAACGAACATGGGGTCTAGATTTTCCCTTTTTTTTTCTGAAACACGTTGGTAAGTCGCCAGCATATCTTTACATTTTTATTTCCGATCCATTTGTTTACGAAGTAATTATCATTGCTTTCGAACTAAACACATGGTTAATACCTATTTGATACAAAACGAAAGATCATTGTCCAAATTAATTTAAATAAATAATAATTTTGAAATAACGGTTAATTTAATTTAACCCACAACAGAAGCATTAACACGCATTCATGGCCACGTATGGTCACTAAATGGGCATTAATCCCATGTACGAGCAAATGTAAGCTATTGAAGCAGAAGTTAAAGCCCATTAACTAATTTAATTTAGTTAATATTTAAAGTTGTTTTATTATTATTTCCTATTGTTTGTTACAATAATGAAAATTTACATTTATTGTCATTAATTTAATAACTAGGAAGAAATGCTAATCTTTAACTTACTCTACCCACTTAAATATTAGGACTTCTTCAGGGACAACAGGATTATTTATTAATCAAGAACTGGGTTTTAGATTCCTTTCAGTTTGTCTACATGCATACTACTTAGGTATACATATTTCTTTATTTGTATGGTTGCTCTTTTTCATTTCTCCCTTCGATTTCTTCGTCACTGAGCTACAATTAACGAAAATAAGTTGAACCGTGTTTTAAGTGGCACCTTAAATAAGGCTTTTAAAGATATCTGCCTTTCGTTTTTACTTATGTATTTACCACTCACACAGTATAGTAATTGAATTGTTTTCGCTCTTTTGATTGTAATATACGAGTATCATTGGAGTGTACCTTACTCGAAAAGTAAATTAAGTCACTCGCCCTTTCGAAATGCCAAATACTGGGTCAACAGTGGAATGCTTATTTCTCTGCAGATGTCAATCAGCCGTAATTAAGGAGAATTGTCTTTGACATACACAACACTTATTTGGTTGGCTTGTGTACGGCTTTATTGTGATTTAAAGAACAATCTAATTTACCTGTCAGTGCAGGAGTCGCATATGGACAATGTGACAAAACCTGCATAGTGTGGTGATTGGCTTGTTGCCTTTCCAATGTTGCCTATTGCCTGTTGCCAAGACGACTGCCACTGCAACCGTTACGTATATTTTGAAGCCATGCGGGGCCCGAAGCCATTCAATAGAGTTGACTCCTCGGCAGCAACAAGCCTTCGACGGCCGCCTACGACCCGTTGGCCACAATTGAAATCCTTTTTACGACTATTGCCATGCACGGACATAGCTGCGAATGCGTCAATCCAACCGAAAACACATTTGTGTACATTAGTGCTTTGCGGGCGTACCTTTCAAATTGTATTAGTTTCATACAAATACAAATTGCACACGTCCTCTGTAGCCACACGGCATACTTAACACATATTGTGCCCAACCTAACCTTGCCAAGCTACCCGATAAAGGCTTCACCTGAAAATATTTGGTCCTGTCAATGTTCGTATATACTTACATATTAATGCATCAGTTATCGGGTGCTATAAAAAAATCGAGAGATTTCGCGAATGGATTGGTATCCTACACACACACGTACTCATTCGTACATACATACATGCCTTTGATAAGCATTTGAGTGGATATTTGAAACACACAACCAACCCCAGCAGCCATTAATACACGAACACACGTTCAGTTGTCTAGCGAGATGTTAGCATTAAATGTATTAAATGTGGCATCCTAACCCATTTAGGTATACTCAATACACACATATGCTCATAAATAAGAGTACACACTCAATGTTTATCCCTCGCCTACTCGCCCATTTATGAAATTGGCGGAACACCTTTACAGGTTTTTTATGACTTGTGCCTCAATGAAACATTGCGGCTCTTAGATAAGTGCGAGTACTAGCAACATTTTACCTACGGTGATAGACAGGGATAGACCAAAAAAGAATGGCCAATTTGTTGAATTAACACATAAGTATTATGCTACGCATAAGTATACGAGGTATACAATTGGAGATTTATTTCGTTTCATACATAAAGAATTTGGCATTCATTCAATAGACATTCCAGGCTTTCCAGCCGCCTAAATTAATTAATTAATTTATTTATTTTATTTAATTTAATTAAATTAATTTAATTAATTAACTAAATTAAATATAAAATATTCCATACATGCATACATACATTTATATTTACATCAGAATCGTGTCTATGCGTGTTTGTGTACTTGTACATATGTATGTATGTGTGCATTGGGCATGGTTATATGGCTATAACTTTCTTTATGATCAACCTATCATAATGCAACTTGGTGTACGGATATATAATTACTAACTGAATGTGTCTAGCAAATTTTAGTTTAAAATTCCAAGAATTACGGGAGTTATAGAATAGGGGGGGAGTGGGGGGGGGGGGGCGTCGAGAAAAATGAACAAACTCGTCCTTTCTCGGGCTCAGGAGAATCTTTGGATTGGTTATTCTAGCTCTTATACTTTCTGAGATCCTTGCGTTAATACAGACGGACGGACGGACAGACGGACATGGCTATATCGACTCGTCTTCTCATCCTGATCAAGAATATATATACTTTGTGGGGTCTGCCACGCCTCCTTCTGCCTGTTTCATACATTCGCACAAAACTAGTTTACCCTTTCACCCTTTGGGTACAGGGTATAATAAGTAATTTGACTCCCAAAATAAAATACAATTATTTAGTTCTATAACAGTCTATTCGCATATGAATCTAACTATTTATGTATGTATTTATTGAGAAATATAGGCAATGGAATGTGTTTAATAAGTTTTTTGCATAAACTATACTCTTAAATCAGCTTCAATATTTGACATTGTCATTGAACAACAATGGCAAAAATGCATACATATAGTACATACCTACATGCTAACATGCCGATGTGCAGGAATTATTTACCACTTCAGCGAAAAGTTAAGTCAACACATCTTGTTAAAATTATACGCTTCACACGCACCTGACTTCATTCAATGAATATTTTGCGTTTATCCGCCTGTTGAGCGAAGCTTTCCAATTATGGAACTGCAACTGCTTATTTCCAAACTTTTTGCTCATCTATACATTTAGACCTGTCATATACCAATGTGTGTACATATGTATGTATGTATATGAATGCGTATTCATGCCACATATGCATTTGCAAATGCCAAGACCATGTCAAATTATTTAATTAGTTCGTTTAGTGCGGCCGCATGTGGTAAACATTTATTTTAATTAACTCTACCTTACGCAATTTTCTGCTACCGATTATACGTTTATATACACAGACTCAGTCTGTCGGTCTTTCTTTTTTGCATTTTGTTTTAATAGTACAGGCTAAAACATTTTCGTACTTTTATTACAATTTCTGATTTAATTATCTCCTCGAATTCTGAAACGCACACTCAAGCTCGCTAATCTGAAACCGTTAGAAGTTCCATGGGGGTGGGGCCATTACCCAGTTGGCAGACACGTCGGCAGACTTGGCATCCCACATAAAGATTTCTGCAAAAGCTGTCGTGATAGCATTATCCAGGTGGAGGTCCATTGCCGGGTGGCTAAGGGCAGACCTATATGGGATCACAATGCCTCATTCATTGGGACCATTGAAACCTAACGTATTGGGGGACCATTGAAACCTAACCATTGTATTTATTGAAAATTAATTATTTATATTAAATAAAAATCAGAAATATCAGAATTCATTAAGCAACAGTTTCACAATAAAATACCGAAACAAGAAAGGAACGCAAGATTACAGTGGGCTCTACTCTTAAATACCTTTTGCTTACTTCCACAAAATATTTATTTTACATTTTTAAAGTAATTTTTTTTATAATTAAACTAATTAAGTACTATTAGTAAAATCAAAAGTTCATAACACGTTAATAGATTCGTACAGTTGCAATAGAATACATTTACAACAATATTGTGTCTATGTGTGTCCATGCGTGCCTGTGCAGTACAGAGTTGAGCCAAAGCAGCAACAGCAACAGCTACGGGTAGAGCATGGACAGAGATTACACTTATGGCTATAACTTCCTTTATATATGACCTATTATGATGATAAATAACATGAGGACACAAAAGCACTTAATGTCAAAATTAAAAGTGGGGGTGAAGTGTATTGAAAAAAATATAGACTTGTCCTTTCTTAAGAGAGTACTAAGTTTGGTTATTCTAACTCTTATACCTTCCGAGATTCCTGTATTCATATGGACAGGCAGGCGGCAGACGGTCACATATATTCGCACAAAACAAGCATACTCGTTTACCTGTTTGGTACAGGGTATACAAAATAATCAATCCAAAATGCATAATGTGTAAAATTTGAAGTAAAAGGAAAAGTTAATAGAACTATGCTAGGAATTTAGGCTCCCATGAAAACAAACGAAAACCGCAAAACGAGCTTGGATTAATTTGATATATATTTACATATGTATATAGAATGAGAGTTAAGAGATATGTCAACATATTATGTACATTTCGTTTGGTATTAAATACTTAAATTAATTAGATCTCATATTATATACAGGTTTCATTATTCTTGAGCTTATATTCGTCTGGCACTTTGCTCTCAGTTGGTCGACCATTTGAGCTATTTTCTACTACAATTACAATGTTTGTGGTGCTTAGGAGCGCAGGATCTGGAGTCACATTCTATAAAAGAAAAGAATACAAATTACATTTTTATTTGACTTCTTTTTCAAGATTTTACTAAATGCAATAATTTCAGACAGAATACATTTATCGACCATTTCGCGCAATGCGCATTGGCTTTTCTGTTATATGCATCATTTATTATATTTATTTTCAATGTACTTGTACACTTAAAAGTCCCTCCCCCAGTTGGTTTCGTTATTAAATATTGATAAAGTGTTGACAGGTTTGTTTATTGGATATGCACCATTATGTTGTTGACTAAAAATTAATAAATATCCACTAGTTTTCATGAAACGATAACCGACACGCAAATCTATCCTCGTGAATATACTTACCTTTTATGTACATATTGTAAATAAATTATGTATGTATAAAGCATGTACACAAAATACGTACATAAATATATATTAAATTTACACATCAGGTGTTGGCAGTGGGCGTGATTTCGGCTGACCTAAAGTTTTGAACGGAACTTTTGGGAAATGAAGGGGTTGCTGCGAAAATCTAAGCGAGTTGCTAACACATCAAAGCGATTGTTTGCCTTCCCGACGACTGTCAGCGGCAACTTTCCACAGCACCGCCAGACACAGGAAAAATGTGAAGGAAATTAGATTGTGTTGTACTTTAGCTTCCCTTCCACCCTGCTACTTTCTCAGAATTGAAAAAATGTGCGCTAACAAATAATTCGCAAATAATTCAAATAGCACTGACGATGCAAAAGGCACGATTTTGTATACAAACATAATCGTGCTTACATGTAAATACATAGTTGAGAACAAGGGTCCTTAAATTCATATTTTCGTTTTGTTGAAATGTAAATTTGATGTCCATATACACAACAGTTTAATTTATTTTATTTTATTCTGTTCAGCACATGCAGTGTTAATCATAAAATTTTAATAAGCTTTAGCATTGCCTATTTGTTTGATTTGCAAGAGAGGTATGGGAGGAAAGTACATAAAGGATTCACATTAAAGTTTTGAGTTTACTAAATGTACATATTTAAAGTCTACAAGTAACAATAAATTTAATTCATATAAAAAGATGAGCTTTATTTGCCGCTCATGAAAAATCTTAATCAATTTTTGCTAAAGCAACCGTAGTCTTGTTTGAAAACTTTGTTCTTTATTTTTGTTTCTTTGTTAAAGTTTGTTACGCTTGTACACATATTTTTCGCTAAATATTAACAATAGCAGCCACTTCGATGCCAGAAAAACGAAAACAAAAATATATACGAGTATATATGTACACAATAAGTGCACGAAAGAATATAAAAGTCAGTTACCTTCGAACTGGGCTCAACACACTTGTGCCCCTTAGGGACATGCCTAATTGTACATGCCCTTAGAAGTGAAAAAGACAAATTGAGGGAAAACTGAATAAAGTTTATCATGATTTAGGAGCACCAGCACCAATAATGCTATCCAATATTTACTCTGGTAAGAGCTCGCATATTCCCAAGCCACATTTGAAACATGGGAAAGATCTACATAATTAGGCGCTGCTACAGGCATATTTACTTTGGGGAACTGTTCTTTTGTGTCGATAAATGTACTTATATGTATAGTATAAATGTGTGTTATAATCAATGTGCGTATGTAATGATGAATGTTTATTTTTACTCAACGTTATTTACCTTTTGCAAGGGCAGACTGTATGTCTTTTTGATAGAAAATCTATTAGAATTCATTGATTCTCTCTCGTGCGTATTATTGAGATGGCGGCTTGAGCGGATGTGTACCTGGAAAAAACAAATAGTATACAATTGTTTTTAAATGATCGAGTTTGACATCAAAGGCCAATAAATCAATGTTCTTTCCCATTACAATCATTTCAACACACTCTGAATCAAACTAAAACTTCTAGTCTGTTAAATCTTGAATTGGCCAATTTTTGTACTAAACATTTGTGAGTATACTACACTAGTATTAAACAATAATAAATTGTAATAACAATTTTGTGCGAAATTTTGTGCCTCTAGCACTTATAATCTCTGGGATATAAGTGTTCAAACGGACAGACTGACAGATTGACAAGCAGGGCTAAATCTTTGTTACGCTTCCCTCTGCCTGTTACACTTTTATTTGTTAGTATTATTTCCTAGTGCGACAAAATAAAATTTATAATAAATTAAAGCACTAGTCACAAGAACCATACAATTTTCATTAAACGAGTTTAAGACGATTTAATTAGCCTAGTTAACCTATTTTACAAAATTTTATATTTGAAGCATTTTATGTTATTAGTTACTCATTTGTTAAGAACAAATTTAATTTTTCCTTTAATATATATATATATATATATAGTTTTCCACTACTAGAAATCCAGAATACTAGTTCTTAAGCTTGACAAAGCCCTCTATGGTAGTTAAATTTGATAAATGGAATAGAATATTGGGTTTTGGAGGAAACTAAATGCATTTAGAAAATGCAAAAAATAAAAAAATAAAGCAACATAATAAAACTAATTAAAATGAAAGAAAATCGCATTAATAAGAGCTGGCTCAATTAAAGGCAAAGAAACTCGATAACAAAAGGAGACGAAAGTCATATAAAAGAAGTGCCCCGGTTTGTTGCCTTAAACAAAGGTGCTTTGTTTACGGATGAGAGAGCCTACGAAAAAGAAGTAACAGAATGTCCGGACGGCCGGGTTCCTTGTTTAAGCTGCCGACACTGAAAAAAAAAATCTATTCATTTTTGCGTTTTACAGAACGAAATTCCGAAGTCCAGCGAAGTTCCGAAAAGGCGCATAGTTATATGAATAGGTGTAAGCAAAACTTGTACTTGTATCTATAACTGTTCTGTGAATTTTAAATTACAAAGCGTTTCAAATCGAACAACACCCACAAAACTAAGAAACTCTTTTGTTACTGAATTATTTATCATACACACATGTATGTATGAAAGTATTAGGGGCTTACGTCATTGCATTAAATGTACTTAGTGAACAGTAACTTTGCTCTCTCAGGAAGAAACAAATTAATGTAAATCACCAGCATTATTTGCGGATTATCAGCTGACTTGGCAAGTTTTGGTTAACAAGCCCATAGGCTTGAAATTGGAATTGCCGTTGACAACGCCCACCCCACTTACCGAGTGCACACGTTCGTAGTGGTTGTTGCTGCCCATGCTGGTGGCAATTGTAGTTTCCCGAAAACTGGATTGATCCCTGGCGAATCCATTATTGTAGTAGGCGCTCACTCGTTTCCCACAGAGAATCTCTTTGAAAGCGACTCGGTAGCGATGTGACATCACATTGTATACAATGGGATTAATGGTGCTAATGTGAATAAAACAAACGAATGAAAGAAAATTATGCAGATGGGCGCACTTAAGTTAAATGCGATGTCAAAATATGAATAAAAACACTGCAAGGCAGAGGCAGGTCTTACCACGATACATAGTATGCGAATCCGGCTATGGAGAAGAGCCATTCGTTAATGTCTTGAAAATTATCCACACCTTTTGCGTACAAGTACCACAATCGTTGAATGTGAAATGGGAACCAGCAGACGAAAAATGTGATGACGACAGCAGCTGTGTGAGTTGATAATCAATATCCATACATATACATACATATAGTATGTTAATATAGCTGCTCTTTGGGGTGGTGTCGACGTTTACTTACCCAACATCCGTATTACTGCCTTCTTCTTCATCTGCGAATTCCTCGATTCCCGAATGGAGCCGTGCTGAACTCCTGCAATGGATTTCCATTTTAAAAGTTCAAAATCTTTGATTTCCAACCGAGTTAGGATTACCCAATTTTTGTGTTGTTCTGGATCTGATTTGTGCTCCCATACGTCCGTATAAAATTATGATTAGAACCATAGGTATGACGAAGAATATGCAGAACGAAACCTCGAAGAGGGGTAGCTCATCGGGGAGAGACAAGGAGCAAAATGCAGATTCTGCAATTTTTGTATTATCTGTGGTGAATTAAATTTAATTCATTTATTTACACGGTGCATGAAAATAGTAAGTGGGGTTACCATTCGGATCTCTCAGGTACTGAATTTCTGACATTATACCAAATGGTATAGCGCTTAAAAAGCTCGCTATCCACAATGCTGCAATTATTCGAAGTGCGCGCTTAAAGCCAACCATCGCGTACAGATGTAAGGGATGGCAGATAGCCAGAAAGCGTTCCATAGAGAATGCAACGATGGTGAAAACCGATACGTATGTGCACCTGAAATATTTCTCAATAAGTGATCATGCCAGCTGGCTGCAAGGATCATCTACTAACGCTTCTGAAATGAAGGCCCTTATTTTGCAAAAGGGAAGCCCAAAGAGATACGGATATTGATGCCAGTATAGGAAAACCTCTGCCGGTAGACCTGTACGGGACGCAAACAGTCAAGTTAATGGGGACTCCAATCCACCCAGTACGACTCACCAAGAAGCAAGTAAAGGAGATCAGACACCGCCAGGCTGAAGAGATAATAGTTTGTAGCCGTGTGCATCGTCGAGTGCCGTATTATAACGATACATACAAGGACATTTCCCACTACGCCGGTTATGAAAATGCCACCGAAGATAATGCTGACCTATAATACAGACAAAAATTACGCGACTCATTAAGAGTGATACATTTTTTAAAAAAGATGCGTCATTATAAAAGCGCAATTGTTATGTATTTAAAATATTTGTACTAAACTATTCATCACTAATTACGAAGTAAAGTATTTATCAAGCCGGAAATTAATTTCTTATGTCAAGCATAAAACCGCAATATGTACGGCAATGTGGCCGATTGTAATACATATATGTACATACGTGTATTAAAATCCTCCGTAATACACAACACATACACGCATAAGCACGTTCATTTATTTTTATTTTTCCTATGGAAATGTATTGAGTATTATGTTTCAGATAGAATAATGTCAGAGCTGAAAGTTAAGACGAACAACTAGTTTGGCGAATGTAATCAATCGAATTACTTCTTATTCCAATTACTTATCTTTGAATGTTGGCTCTCTTTCTATAGTATACATGTTAAGCTCCAGTTTCGACAACGCCATTGTATATAAACATTAAAAGATTTACCAGAATTTATCATATAAGAGCGTATATTTTCAAGGCAAAACAAGTAGAATAGGGTGTATTTAAAATTCTAAACGCAATGCCTAAGAAACTGGGAGAAAGAGGCGAGACAGACTCCATGTTATAGGTACTTCAGTATATGAACAGCATGGCGAGACAAATCGATATAGGCATGAATACCATCAACCTTTTAACCGCAACAGCTAAGGTCTGCATACTTGATTCGCTCAATTAATTAACATAGAAAGGGTTTATGCAAAAAAGTTTATTTTAGATGAAAGGCTATAGCAGGCAAAAAGGAAAATTCGAGGAGTTATGAGTAGGACTAGCACGACTTTAGCCATATGCTCGTTTTTTAAAAACTTCAAGTGAAAAAATTTCAACCATATATTACTCTATGTATATTTAATTATTTACTTGTCTTGAAATTGTGCTATCAAGATATAACTTTAACACATGGCTAAATATGCTCTAAAAGAATGCAAAATTAGAAATTAAAAATCATTTGAATTTGAAATAGAAAATGATATGTCTAGAACGACTAGCATTGTCATCGATGCCTATCTTCAAGAATTTTCGCATATCTTTTTATCCCCTTTGGCATGTGTCCTCCATGTTTTTGATTGTGAATTTGTTTCATAAGCTGTGCTAGATGATATCTGGCCAGTTGGAATAATTGTACAAGCTAATGCGCTGAGCTTTAGTTTCGACTAGTCCATAATTAAATAAATATGTAATGGCAAATAATTACCTCTTAGATACGCACATTGCTATGGGAACGAGTGGATAACGTCAAGCTTTATATGACCAACTAAATTTGTTTATTTGCTTTTATTTTCGGGCATTAAGTGCTAAGCTGTCCAATCGTTGTCCAATCCATTATGTTATAGTATATGTGCAAGCAAACTCATGTGTTTATTGCCACATCTGTTCGCACTTAAATTAAACGTGTAAGGTTGGCACTAACAAAAACAGAAGCGCCCATCGTTGTGTAAATAACCACCAGGATAAAAGTATCACCTAACTTTTGTGAGTACCACCGGATGGTGGAGTACGTACTCACATGTCCACACGTGCAATATTAGTTGGTAATAAATTGTGGTGTCTATGCCCGGGTCCTGCCTGCCAGCAGCAATCTAATACGCATTGTTAACATGTGAGACAAACACCCATACACCCATACACCGATACACCCACGTACACCCTCCTGTACGAATACTTGTATGTTGTTTGCTTGCATGAATTCATGCATTCATAGTTATGTATGGCTCGGCGTATTTGACTATCAAGGACACAGAAAGTGAAAGGCGGGCTGCCGTCTCTTATGGCACACGATAATTGCCTTGTTGCATTAAAAGAAAGACAACGAAGTCAACCCTCGTCCTGTTACACATTTAAGCGTTTTGTTGTTCCGCATAGGGACAGCCTCGTCCCCGGCATCTCTGTCTGTTTATTGTATGCTCGACTAATTGTAGGGTAATTATACAAGTATGTTGTATTTTCGGATTGCCTTCGGGGCCTCAGTGGAACTGTTTTTATTAAAATGCAAATTATTTATATTAAGGGGTTAAATTCTTTATCAGTATAGTGCCAGTGTCATTTCCTTTGAACTTGCCAAACACGTGCCGCGTCGACCAATCGCCCAGCAAATTAGCACATCTCGTATTACCTATTCAATGGGATGTCAACACCATACCAACAAACCGGCACCCAGCAACTCCCAGAGGATAGGTGTAAATGTGAGAATTAAGTAATTGGAATTCATTTTGCTTGTCGCCAGGGAATTCAGAGGGTAACATTATCTGCTCTTTCATGCCATGTTGTGGTTGTTCGCACCTATTGATTCTTTGGGGCGTGCAGTTTTATTGATTTGCATTTTGTGAAAATCATTCAAAGATAAAGAACGATGCGCTTTAATGGATAGAAGCAGCGATATATTTTCCACGCTTAAGTTCATTGGATCTTTTCCTGTAAAAGTGCCTGCAGATATTTATAGTCGATGTCTTTGTTGTATTATTCTGTTGATATTGGAACTGCCACTCAATTTGTTTATAATACCTTTAATTCACTTTTGATGGTTGCATTCCCAATATCGTCCGGATTTGAAAATTATTTTGCCGTACAACGTTGTTCCAAATTATTCAGCTATTCATATACGTATATTTAGATACGAAAATTTAATTATTAATTTCTTTGGTGTTTGAAAATTCATCCACGATTAACTCTTCTAATTCCATAACTACTTGTGTACGCTCAAAAAAAATGTACGGGGCTGTCAAGAAAGGTTTTTTTTTCAATTGGATATATCTATGCATGTCAGCGTCAGTTTTTTAGTTGCTTGGATTCATCAAAGAGAGACTTTAGTTAGAATTATCTATGTCTATATTTTTATAGCCTGTACCCAAAGGGTGAAAGGCTATACTAGTTTTGTGCGCATGTATGTAACACACAGAAGGAGGCGTGGCAGACCCCACAAAGTATATATATTCTTGATCAGGATGAGAAGCCGAGTCGATATAGCCTTGTCCGTCCGTCCGTCTGTCCGTCTGTCTGTCCGTCTGTCCGTCTGTCCGTATGAACGCAAGGATCTCAGAAAGTATAAGAGCTAGAATAACCAAACTTGGTTTCCATATTCTCCTAAGACCGAGAAAGTACGAGTTTGAGTTTTTTTTCGATGCACCCCCCCACTCCCCCGCAATTCGTGTTTTTTCTTATAACTTCCGTAATTCTTGGAATTTTGAAATCAATTTTGGTAGGTACATCCAGTTAGTACTAATGTGTCCGTGTGCCAAATTTCATCATGATAGGTCAATTCTGAAGAAAGTTATAGCCATAAGTAAAATCGCTGCTCATGCGCTGCCTCTGTCGGCAGCGCTGCCCGCAGCTGTTGTTGTTGTTGCTGCTTTGGTTCAACTTTGTGCTGCATACATACACGCATATAAACACGCATAGGTACGTGATGTAAATGTATGCTGTTAAAACTAAACATAAACATATATTCTAATTTAATTTAATTAATTAATTCATTAATTTTTTTTAATAATTTAATTTTTTTTTTTAATTTTTTTTTTTTTAATTTTTCTTTTTTTGTGGGCAGTACAGGCTATTTTACTGTCGGGCTTGCTCGACTGTAGCGTTCTATCTTGTTTAATTTTTGACACGCATACACCATATAGAACTCGTGCTCTAGGCCTTGTAAGCCGTAAAACATGAAGTATACTTTGTTCATGAAATGTACAAGACTACAATATATATGTATATGTATTAGGTTTGTGGGAGGTGCCAAATGTAACAGGCAGAAGGAGGCGTGGCAGTGTATATATATTCTTGATCGGTATGACAAGACGAGTCCATCTAGCCACCTGGATCTCAAAAACTTTAAGAGATGAAGACATGAAATTCTATAAACAGATGCCCTACGTGTGTACGCTATACGAATTTGTTCTATTTTTTTGATGCCCTCCACCCATTTTTCGCTCCTATCGTATCATCCATATATCAAAGACTGTACATTTTTAGTCCAAGATGCCTTATATGAGTACGCAGGAAATGTGTCCTTCGGAATTTCCTTCCATGCCCCCTCTCTACCGCAATTAGTGATTTTCCATAACTCCCGTAATTCCTGGAATATTAGTAACTCCACGTGCTTAATAGTCAATCTTAACTTCATCTTGTAACACAATAATTATTAATAATTAATGTATACACTTACCAGTAGAGCCTTATAAAGCGGTAGCATCTGGGGGCCTAAGTAGAATTCCAGAAACTCTTTCTGCGTCCCATTGAATGGTTGGTTGTCGAGGTCAGTTAGATTATATGTGACACCGACAGCGGTTCCATGCGGTCTACTAATATTTTCGTAGGTTATGTTTTCTGTCGACCAGGGCATAGTCGTCGCTTGACCCATAAGGTCATTTAGTTCATTCAACTCCATCATCTTTGGAACAGTATTAATAAATTTCACCAGACGAACCTGTCACCGTACACAATACACTGTTGTACCTATCTTCAATCATAGTGATACAAGTAGAAGGCTCATTTGTTTCCACGTAATTGCATTTGTAGTTGTAGTTTGTGAGTCTGCACAATTCACGAAAGGAATGAATGAACAATATAATTTGTAGGAAAACTGGACAGAGCGCTTGCAATACGGTACATCAATCACGATGAATAATGTTTCGCTTGCCTCGGTCGATTGCAGTTGGAATTGTCGGTTGTCAGCGCCCGTACACCGCAACAATCAACTGAATCTCGCAGATCTCCGTAGATTACTGCGTACCCGAAAACATTGAGAGATAACAGAGCACGACTTGGTTTGGGGGCGGCAGAGGCGGTAGAAGCGGCGGCTGCTCAGAATAGATTAATTTGCAAATATTGTTCTTTTGGCTATGCCGCAGTGTGAGTAATTCTGCCGTAAGACAGAAGCTATATAAATTATCCACGATATAAGTACTTGTAGAATGTGCACAGAGCACGAAAATGTTGTTAGGAAGGGGCGCGAAAAATTGGCAATATGTAGTCGAAATAGAAGAACCGTTTACCCACAAATATTAATTATGGGTTCAAGTCTGTTGCTTTAGGCAAATAAGATAATAGAAGTATGACTTTTTGAAGTAAATTAAAAAAACTAATTTTCAATTATTTGGTAATCCAAAAGATAGTCATTATAAATATATGAGATATGGTATATATGTATCATAAATATACCCTCTACATATGTATGTATATTGAGTTGTATAAAGCGTAAAAAAGGATACATTTTGTTGGCACATCTGGGGTAGTTGGTAATCTCTGATATACAAGTATATATTTGTAGTGCAGTGTTCTTCGAAAAGGTCGTGCTCTTCGTTTTTTAAACAATTCGGGGTTCTTCAGTTCTTAAACAACTTCCATCTTTCTGACTTATAGTTTTTAAAAGCTCCCTAACATACAAAAGTAGGTGGACATACCTGCTAAATGTAAGGCATACTTGTATGTATATAAGTATATAAGTGTTTAATTATCTAGCGAGTCTAATATCTGTCTGTTGCGTGTGAGTGAACGTGCCTCAAAACGATTGACGTCAAGATAAAATGCTTAGGCTGGACGACACAGGGGAACACTGGCCGAAAGCTACAAGCCGTAAATCTCCTGACCGAATGCCACTGGCTGTGGAATCTTCATCCTGTAGCTGGACCAGCCAGGCTCAAGTCTCCTGCCCATATCCTTCCGGGACACGCATTCGCCAGCACTGAGATATTTGACGTGCTGTTTTCTTTGACACGTCGACGCTCGCTGTTGACATTCTCTAATTAAATCTCTGGCCCGTGCATTGCAAGACACAGACAAACAAATTTCGCGTGCGTGAGCACGGACCGTGTGTGAGTTGTTGAGATGTGCGCTTTGGTGAAATTATCTTTTTGCTGCTATTTGCACAAGACGGGGATTTTATCTTATCATATGACCTGTTTGCTTTCCTCCGGCTTGGTATTTTGATTTTCTTTCTTCTTTTTTACTTTTTTTCAACAAACCGAAGCCGCTTTGTTTGCCATATAATTCAAGAAATGCTGGACGCGACAGTGAAAAATTAAATTTGATTTGCCCGAAAGTAAGAGGACAACCCGAAACACGTTACGACCCTATACTCGAATGTGTGAATTTAAGCGTGTTGTTGTCACACACGCCATTACAAGTAAAATCCTATTATATTAAGCTTTAATGCAGTATTTATGGGCCATGAAGTGGTCAACGTAAGAGCGAGTAACTTGCTATGGCAACAGGTACACGGTGAAAAAATAGAGCTGAATTTATATTGTTAAAGTTTATGACACTATATCACGAATGAAAACAAAAAATAGAAATGAAATAAATATAACTCTTTTTTAAGTTTCCTTCAAAGTTGTTAGACAAATTGGAGCTTATCGGCCCTATTCCGACTAAAGTAAAAGATGTTGGAATTTTCGGCTTTCAAACTACGGAATCAAATAGACAGTAAAGCCAACAAAATGGAATGGAAAATATTCAATAATACCTATTGCCGTTCTGTCCCTTCTTTCACTTTTTAATAAGCTACATAGATGTTATAGAATCGTAAAAACGATTATTATCGTTATTCTTTAACAATAATAATCTTTTATTTATTTCGTATGTACAAATCAAGATTCCATTTTTTGGCATTTCAGTTCCTCTAATTTAAAATTTAACCCAACAATAATTTTCCATAGGAAACATCGAAATTTTCATTCAAATATTTCAATTGATATTTACGAAAAAATTACATTCTTTCAATATTATGTATACTACTTATATGTCAAATAACATAAATACGAAAGCGTTGTAAATGTTCGGTAAACTTAAGTTGCCTCTGGTAATTGGTTATTCATTCAATATGCAATTGTAGTCATGTGGAAACTTTGATCGTCTGTTTATTTTTGGTATACGAGTATACTTGTATGAACATAGAATCTCTTGTATTTATACTGTCCTTGTGTATTCGCTTGAATTCTCTATTTAAGCGGTAGTTGTTTTGCAAATGTCTTTACAAATTACTTAATTTCGTTCAAATGCCAGGACCTGCTTTCACTTAACCACAATTGACAGAGTGTTGACGAGAAAAATTGCAATTACTGCGAATGTAAAAGGGAAAATAAATTTTACCCGGCAAGTGCTGCTTTCACCTCAACAGTCCCTCTTTTCTTTTCCTTTTTCATCTTAGCTCGCATTTTCTTTATTCGCTCATATTAAAAAGAAAAAGGTAAAGTACAACTACTATATATTCGAGTTGGGCTTCTTGGATGGAAGAATTGATGTCGTTCAATTTGAAATGTAATTTCTTTTTAGATGCTTAATTATTTTATGCGGCAAACTACGAGAATACTTAGTTTGGTCTTTAACGGGACTGAAACATAATCATTGTTTCATATGTGAAAGTAAATAGTTCAAACCCAAGACATTTATCACTTCCGGTAATATAATACTGTTTTCGTGATAAAGACACCGTCAGGAAAGAAAGTATTGTCAAGGGCTTTTTTGCTAGCACGAATATTATCTTTGGTTGGTTTTAGCGACCCTTCTTATATGTTTAGTTGATGTTGCAACACGTTTAATTCGACTCTAAGTTCTTGTGTGATTTCAACGACTATTTTTTTAAATTTTCTTAATTTTTTGAATTTATGCAATTACATGCAGCTGGTGCTTATTCTTCTTCATTTCAGGTTTCGTTATGATGGGTCAACTGTGAAGGAAGTTATAACAGCAAATTGAGAAATAATACACAAATGACTGCAAATTAAAGGTAATGTCAATAAATGTACGAGTAGGACTTGGGTGTTTTTATAGCCTGTACCCAAAGGGTGAAAGGCTATACTAGTTTTGTGAGCATGTATGTAACACACAGAAGGAGGCATGGCAGACCCCACAAAGTATATATATTTTTGATCAGGGTGACAAGCCGAGTTGATATAGCCATGTCCGCCCGTCCGTCTGTCCGCCCGTCTGTACAAGCGCAAGGATCTCAGAAGGTATAAGAGCTAGAATAACCAAACTCGATATCCAGATTCCCATAAGCCCTAGGCAGGTCAAGTTTATTTTTTTATTCTGATACACCCCCACTCCCCCGCCATTCGTATTTTTTTTTTAAATTCCGTAATTCTTGGAATTTTGAAATCAATTTTGGTAGTGAAAAATTAAATTTGATTTACATCCAGTTAGTGGTTATGTGTCCGTGTGCCAAGTTTCATCATGATAGGTCAATTCTGAAGAAAGTTATAGCCATAAATAAAATCGCTGCACATGTGCTGCCTGCAGCTGTTGTTGTTGTTGCTGCTTTGGTTCAACTTTGTGCTACATACATACACGCATATAAACACGTATTGAAAAACTGAACATAACATGTATTCTAATTTAATTTAATTAATTAATTAATTCATTCATTCATTTTTTTAAATAATATAATTTATTTTTAATTTTTTCTTTTTTTTAATTTTCTTTTTTGGGGATAGTACAGGCTATTTTACTGTCGGGCTTGCTCGACTGTTTTTTTAAGTGGGTACAGTCGGGTCAGGACGACTTATTTTATTCAAGCAATGAAAACATATTAAATAGGCGGCACGAAAATAATAAGTTCAAGCTTAACGCTATCCTGCTATCACCCCACTTATGCTTAATGCTCCCAGAAAGGCACTACACTGCCTTCATCTTTTTTTCTTCTTCCGATTCAACTAATTGCGTTGCGTATGTAAGTACAATTATGTACATGCATTTTAATAACAAATATAAAAGCTGCTTACTTAGACAATGCCATTGTGGATTCGTTTAATTACTGACAGTTACATTGTTGTAAACCCTAAGCCACATTTCCAAACAGACAGGCATGTAGACATTCATACATATCTATGTATGTATACGCGCACTTTGGACTGCAATTAAGCCGTTCGCTCGTCTGCCTCCCAAGACGACCCTAACTAATGAAATATTATAAAATATTATAAATGAACCCGCCAAAGAAGAGCTCAATCGCATTTACACATGGACATATATGACACATGTATATAGGTATCTACATTTGTTTGTCTGTACGTATTTTAGGCGTTGCCGACAACCTAAAATACAAGTATGAGGATAGGCAACGTCAACCGGAAGAGTAATTCAGTGAAACGTCAATGCATAGACGTCTCTATATAGTATGTACGAGTATGTGTGTATTTACGTGAACCCTTTCAGTGAACGAATTTGCATGCATAAATTAACGCGCCGTGGTATGCAAAGTAGCGCAATGGGTCCCTCTTAATTGTAAGCACTCTTAATTTGAGGAGGCTCTAGTCTCGCGAAAATGAACCACAGATGAGCTCAGAATTTCAATTTATCTCCATATGGGTGTGTTTGTTTCTGAGTGTATAGTATAGTACACAATTTGTGTTATGATGACAAAATTTACAGAGCATTGAACAATCTACTACACATATTTTTCACCCAATTAGGCCAAAACGAAAAAGCGAAGTAAAGTCTTCAACGCCGTCTTCGCATCTTGTGTATGTCAAGATGTAGTTCATGCGTTTTTTTGTACAAATGTATGTACTTAAATATGTATGTAGATGCATAAACACTTTACGAAATGGCGTGGAAAATATAGTGATATTCAAAATGAATTAGTCCGAAACTTGTAGAATGGTAAGTATAACAGAAACCCTATTCCGGCATGGCCATTGCCGCGTATACATCCGTGATATTTTATCCTATTTCGTTTCGTGATTATGAAACATATTTGATTTTTTTGGCTTTAGTTCAACCGTGGTCAACATTTGCGACAATAATATTCTCAATATGTATTTGTTTCCAATATTTTTATAAAAAACAAGTTTTTCAAACACAAGCTCTGTTTAAATCATACCGTTTATATAACTGCTACATATATGATACGGTGATCTGACCTCGATCAAGTCACGTGTTGATATACAAGTATGTAATAGCTGGTGACAGGGATATGTTTTACGCGATAGAGCTAGTGCTGTGAAAGAAGTAGATGCTTTTAGTTATACTGATCCAACATACACTTAACAATAAATAGTCCTTTACCTTAATCGAAGTTATGTACTAAAATTCGATATCAATGGATGGCTTACAGGCGGTTTCAAGGAAATTCAGAATTTGATATCTTTTATGGAATGCACCCTTCACTCCCTCGCTTTGGTGGCTTTCCATACCTCCCGTAGTTCTTGGAATTCATTACTCATTGGCAATTATAGTCGGTTATTGCTTACGAGTATGTGGCATGACGTTAAGTTTCATTATAGCCACTACTACATTACTAAAATTTAGATGCAAGATTTCTTTGATGGCAAAACTGCCATCGCCCCAAACAAATTATTTAAGCAGTTCTTTTAATATGAATGGAAATTTTCCTTAATAGCATTGTGGTAGCAGTTACTGTCGTCAATAACAACAGATTGTGAGGCGCTTCTAATACGCATGGAAAAATTGTAGACGAAAACAACGGTATGGAGAGGTTGGAGTAGGGGGGTGGCAATGAATAAAATAAAAAGGAAAGGTCAGCAAATATCTCTCATTGGGAAAAAAACATACATTTCTAATTATACAAGTAAATTGCATTGTTAGGTGAATGGAAAGACTTCGTTCAGTTAATGTATTAATTTTTAGATTTTATTTATTCTAAAACATTATAACTACGTTATTCAGTAATCAAAAGCCTATGTCTTGCATATTACTCTCGCAAATTTTGAATACATTCTTCGACTGCCCATATCTGGCCACATACTTTACAAGTATATATAAAATATAAAATAGATGAACTGACATTGATTTGGTCTATTCGTGTACAGTGTAGTACACGTGTGTGTATAATTAAAAAGATGATGGATAGGCAAGCTTTCATGACATCTGCCATAATCTCTTTTAATGAAGGACATGTGTGTGGACTGAAAAAATGCATAGATGTGAGCTTTTAACAAGTTCAAGTTAATTTTACAATTTTTACAGACAGAAAAGTTTATGTGAGGATAATGAAGTTAATTTGCGAGGATTAACTGTTTTCCATTAGAATAATTGTTTGCTGACGTGTTTGAAGCAAAATCATTAAATATTATTGAAGAAAACTGTTTTGGTAAATACTAATGAGCCGCTTACGTTTTACACGCAAACTTATTTCCGCCGCGTTCACGGACATCAAACATTAATCAGTGTAGGAGGAAGAAGGCCTTTCTATAAATCACATTTCCTGTCCCTGAGGAGAAAAATGCTGTGCTCGTTGGGGCCGCCCCTTTTTGTTATTGAAATATAAATCATGGTTTGGAATTTTTTATTACCGCGCCAGAAAATATTTGACTCCAGTCAATAAAATATTAAATTAGAACAGACGAAAGTAATTTGTAGGGATCACATTTGACTCCACGAGTAAGGTGTTGGCATGCTGAGAATTCGTAAGCACATTTGTTTATAGGTACAATGTACATACATATTGGGCATAATACTTCATTCCGATCCGTGACATGTCATTTGGCTAAAGCCTGACTGGCAGGCAAACGGCCGCGGGACTGCGGCTTTAATAATTTCGTTATTATAAATGACAGCATATGCACCTAATATGTATTATAAATACCAGAGCTCGTGTGTACCAGTCTACAACTATAACATCGTGTATGTCAACAGTCATATGGAATCTGCACGCTCTGTGTGCGGCGGTAACCCAATTTGAGTTTCAGATTAACAAACCAACGCGCGTCGTTGCCGCAAAGTAAATGCAAACAGACTGACTGCTCATAAGGGCGCCCATCTCGTTAGAACCTAAGCTAGTTATTGTCTCTAAGAATTTAGTCTACTTGTATATTTAAAGCGGGAACAGTTTATTGTTGCCTCATTGTGCTATTTCATCATAAATGAAATAAATAAATTGTCGACTTTATTTAACCAATTTTCTATTTATTATTTATTTCTTCAAAATTTTATACCAATAATAATATTCTCGGTTTCGAAATATGTGAAAGTAAAAGTAAAAAAACAATGCATTCGATTCAAAGCAACGTATAAGGATTAACTCTATTAAGAGCTTGAAATCATGATAACTCAAAAGCCGATTAATTGAAGTCGCTGAATATGAAATAAGTAAATTAAGCAACAATAAGGACATTAAATGCAGAGCAAATTAAATATGCGCGGGCCGTCGGTATCAGATTTGTTTATCAGTTAGACAAGTTCTCCCTGCATCCACAAGACAAAGTATAGTAATTCTAAAGATATTACCGGAAACATGAAATTGAACTTTTACTGGAAATTTTGTAGGCTTTTAGAGGCTTGGCATCGTACGTGTTCAGTTAAGGCAAACAAATGGACGAATGTGCATTTATCATACCGATATTCAGAAAATAGACAAACTTTGTAAGACCGTCAAACTTTTTACATAAACATAATCATTGGAGGTTTCACACTCGCGAGAATATATTCACAACGCCTCGATGCTTGCTTACACTTCAGATTTAAACTGAAACCGCCGTTTGCGCAACAATTCACAACTTGCTCGGGCATTGACGATATTATTATTTAAGCGCGCAAGATGCTTAGTCGGCGAGTGTCGCTGTAATACTGTTTGGACCATGGACCAGGCCAGCACCCACAAGTGCCACCCAGCAAGGACAATTCTCAATAAGAAGCTGTGAGAACATTTATAGCATACGCGCAGGCGTGATATCCGCAAATTCTAATGGACGCTAGGAGATTGTTTGTGGAATGCATTTGTACCAGAATTGGAAATCAGCGTCCACCATGTGCGACTTTTATTTTCGCGCGTAAAATGTATTTTGATAGCCCCTTGTAATGAAATACAGAGGATTATTTTAAATATCACTCGTATAAGCGGAAGTGTATTTTTATTATGCCTCTTAAATTAAAATACTTTGCGAAAGCAAATTGATTTGAGAATATTTAAGTAGAGATCCTTCGTATTCTTTTACTACAAGATTTAAATTTAACACTAACCGCAGGGCAGATGACAGCTCTATTGAATTCATGTAGCTTTTGCCACAAAATACGATCGGCATAGTTCAGCTTCTTCTAGTGTGTAGGGATAATCAAAATTGTTGGAAGAAAAGATGATACTTTTAAATATTAGGTTTTTAGATCTGGATACCAAGTTTGATTGTTCTAATTCTTACACTTTCTGAGATCCTTGCGTTCACACAGACAGACAGACGGACGGACAGACAGGCGGACATGGCTATATCGACTCCGCTTGTCATCCTGAGAAACAATCACATATTCGAATTATATTCTGGGTATATGTATTTAGTGATAAACAATCAATTTGGAGTGCCTGAAAATCAATTTTCCAAGATATACATTTTAAAATTGGGATTTTTATGTTGCATTCCGATTAGGATTATCAGATGATAGAGCTTTCAGATCTGGAGCTTCGCACTGAGACCCTACTCTCGCGCCGACTGGCGTTTGCACTCAGACTAGCCTTCTTCATGATGTACTCCTCTTCGTTGCAGGCTATGCACATCTCCACAAAGTGAACGATGCGCAGGGAGCCCAGTTTAAGGGCAATCTCATGGGCCTTGGCCAGAACCTCCTTAGTCCGTTCGACCTTATGCAATGCAGCGTGTGCTTTGGTAATCAGTATATGACTGAGGAAGTTCCATAGGTAACTGTTGCAATTCTTTGATTCTGAAAAGGACAACCACATTAAGTTTCAATCAGTTCTACATTCCCGCTTGTCCATTTACCTTCGATTGCCTTTCTAGCTGCGAAACAACATTCGTCAAAGCGGTTCGTTTTCAGATGAGTGCTGCCGATTTGATGGAGTAAGTAGCACCTTTCTATAGAGTAGTTGGCAAAGGCCATTCGCTTTTCCAAACGCGTTATCATATGTCTGTAAAATACAAGAGTTCGCATTCAAGTCTAATGTACGTACACGTATTAAGCAAAGTATGCAAAATCTACCTGGATTTAATCATTGAAGGATCCACCAAGTCGGGTTCTTGATGTGTGGACCGATCACCAAACACAAAGGTAAGAAAGTCCTTTGACTTGTCAGTGGGAAGACGCAATACCTTAAGTAGAGCATTTCTCTCGCTCTGCTTAAAGTGTTTCGGCACTTTATATTGCTCAACGAGAGCCAAAGCCAATGTATTGTAGACTTCGTTCATGAATTCAAATTTCCATGGCATTATGCGATGTGTTTTCAACACCACGTAGTCTCCCATAACCTCTTCAACGTATTTGGAGAGTCTCTGAATAAAAATGTATCATTATTAATTCGGAGTTTTCTATAAAAATTTCGTAACTAACCGCAACATTTTTGGTTTCACGTAAATGTCGAATGCTCCTCAGGACTGAAATCATATTACGACGAGTCTGATATTGAATCCGGAATAAGTAGTCCTCACGGAACTTTGTCAACATTCTCTTGTTCTTGTACTTGATGTATCGTACATAGTATAGTGGACATCGAGCTTGAAGCATTTTCTAAAATGGAGATAGGCTGTGTTATCAAAGACAAAAACAATAACTATCCGCATAAGTATTACCAAGAATTTCATAACCACATCGTACTGTTTTGTGGTTAAGGCGCTTAAGTAGTCCTTTGAGTTTTTGCACTGCTCTAAAAGCAGATTTGGGTTCTTGCGCAAGTTTCTCAGGAATAGCACATCAATCCAAGACTTGTCCATATACACTTGGTTAAATACATCGAAGCATCGCTTTCTTCTTGCAACTTCGAGAGGGGACAACAATTCTTCCTAATGGTTTTAAAGTTTAGAAAGTGCGAAGAATTCATATGCCATTCACTCACTTCTATGTCGGGAATACTCAGGACATCACATTTCCCCTGCTCCTTTAAGATTTTCCACAATGGACGAGAGTCTACTATGGACTGTGCATTCAGGAGTTCCTTCACATGGAATATTAGCTTTTCATTCTCGGAAATAAACGGACTCAGTCCTTCGCCACAAGTGTCTTTAATATTCTCATCCACCTACAGAAATCGTGTATGTAAATGTACAATCTCTAACTAGTGGTAGTGTTTATGTAAATACCACAATAAGTCGTTTTTCGAAGGCTTTTGTCTTGTTGCCCGTGAACAGTCGCATATTGTCATGCAGCTCTGCCTTTGCATTTTCAAACTGATTCAATTCATAGAGAGCATCACATATTTCCAGATTGATAGGCGCATTTTCAATATTGAATCCTTGCACAATTTCTAATTAGGATAAATTAATTTTACATTTTAGATTTCAATTCAAACCAGATGAAATGCTATTACATCAGGGACTCAAGGCGACATCTTAAATCCAAATGGAAGGGGCCATCGAAACTACTACATACAAAGTGCAATTCAAAAGTTCCAGGACTTTTATTAAAAAACGAAAACTATTTTTTTTTTTTAAATTTATTGGTCGCCTTCAAAATAGTCTCCTTCCGCCGTTGAGAATGGCGGTCGCCGCCTGTTGGATAGCATCAACGTCAGCATATTGGTTTCCTTTCATGGCCAAATGTAGTTTTCCGAACAAATAAAAAGACCACACGGTGCCATATCAGGCGAATAGGGTGAATGGTTGATGGTACTTATGAATGAGATTTTTGGTCAAAAAATCCATCGTGAGTGTCAAACGGTGAGATGGTGCATTATCATGCAATAATTGCCAGCTTCCTTCTTCACAATATTCCGGCCGAATTCGACGAATACGTGGTGCCAAACGCTTCAAAACACCAACATAAAACACCGTGTTAACCGTTTGGCCAGTTGGAACGAATTCTTTATGAATAATGCCCTTGGAATCATAAAAACAAATCAACATTGCTTGATTTTTGACTTCTGTTGACGAGTTTTTTTCGGCCTCGGCTCCTCTAAAGACTGCCACTTCGCACTTTGACGCTTGGTTTCGGGCTCATATTCAAAGCACAATGTTTCGTCACCAGTCACAATCGAATATAAAAAGTTTGCGTCCTTTTTGGCCTCTTTAATGATGTCTCTTGAATGTTGAATTCTGAGGTCTTTTTCGTGTTGTTTCAAAGTGTGCGGAACAAATCGAGCAAAAACCTTTCTGAGACCCAAATTTTCTGTCAAAATACGATAAATCGACGCTGCGGATATTGATAATTCCGATTCCATATATTTAAGCGATGATTTCGGCTCTTTTTTAATGAATTCACGCACAATTTCCGTGTTTTTTTCGTTCACAACATCTTTTGGCCGGCCCGAACGTTCGTCGTCTTCCAAGTCCTCGTCCACTCGTGAATACGGCTACGGGATAGACAATCATCGCCATAAACTTGTTTCATCATTTGATGAGTTTCGGTAAAAGTTTTACCAAGTTTAAAACAAAACTTAATGTTGGCTCTTTGTTCGATGTTCATTTTCCGACCAACACTACAAATGTAATGTCACATCACTAACCATACAACATATAGATGCGTCATTTCATACAACGAAAACGTCCCATCGAAATTGTTAGCGACAGCTCCCATAGCTGTTCGGGTATTTGCCGAATGGGAGCTGTCGCACTTCGGCTATGAGCCGACTGGGAGCTGTCGCATTCGTGCTCTCTGTGAGCGAATTTCATTTCATTCGCAGAGAGGCAGTCTACAGAGACGGTCGGTTCACGCCGCTTATGCTCTTTGTATGTGTGCGTGCACATATATACATGTATATGTTTATATGTATTTGTGCATTTGGTCTTTTGCTGTTTGCGAGCAGCAGCTTCAATTTCGTTTTCAGATTTTACCTGCTACATGGGCATCAGAATTTCATACACTGTTGCCATATTTCTGTCGCATTGTATTTTGGGATGCGTATGCAAGTGAAGTTTGTCAGTAGTGTATGGGTTTCTCATAACGCCTATAAAAGCACACATACATACAATTACATACATATTTATGTGTGCAAATGTTGTGTTCATATGCAGACCTTGACATTGTCATGACCTGCCTCAACTTATATTTATGCACAAGCAATTTTATTGATAGACTATTTCTTATTTTTGTTTGACTTGCATATTAATTACAAAATATTTGGTAAAAATGTCAGTTGGCATTTAAATCAAATTAATTCAAAAATATTAGTTTAAAAATATATTATTTTATTTATGTTCTTGGTAAAAATGTCGGTTGGCAAATTAGCCGATATTTAATATGAAAATAAGTACATTTAAGGGTCGCAAAATGTGGTAAAATTTGTAAAACAAGTGTAATTAAATAAATAAAAATACATACATATATGTTTATATGTATGTACATCTTTTGATAATTTAATATATATTGTTTTTTTTTTTAATTCGCCGCTCAAATTTGTTACCGATCTAATGTTGTATATGAACAAACATATTACATATTAATATGCAAGTCAAACAAAAATAAGAAATAGTCTATCAATAAAATTGCTTGTGCATAAATATAAGTTGAGGCAGGTCATGACAATGTCAAGGTCTGCATATGAACACAACATTTGCACACATAAATATGTATGTAATTGTATGTATGTGTGCTTTTATAGGCGTTATGAGAAACCCATACACTACTGACAAACTTCACTTGCATACGCATCCCAAAATACAATGCGACAGAAATATGGCAACAGTGTATGAAATTCTGATGCCCATGTAGCAGGTAAAATCTGAAAACGAAATTGAAGCTGCTGCTCGCAAACAGCAAAAGACCAAATGCACAAATACATATAAACATATACATGTATATATGTGCACGCACACATACAAAGAGCATAAGCGGCGTGAACCGACCGTCTCTGTAGACTGCCTCTCTGCGAATGAAATGAAATTCGCTCACAGAGAGCACGAATGCGACAGCTCCCAGTCGGCTCATAGCCGAAGTGCGACAGCTCCCATTCGGCAAATACCCGAACAGCTATGGGAGCTGTCGCTAACAATTTCGATGGGACGTTTTCGTTGTATGAAATGACGCATCTATATGTTGTATGGTTAGTGGTCACATTTAGCGCGATATACCAGCTGTTATACAAATCAGCTGTTATATAAATTCCATACGACAACACTGAAGAATACACAATTGACGGATAAAAATTTCCAACACATGGCGCCACTAGGAGCCGCGCTATTTAAAAAGTTCTGGAACTTTCGAATTGCACCTTGTATATGTACATTAGTGTTATGTTAGAATGAGAAACATGGCTCAGCTATATACGGTATGTTTTTTGATAGAAATCTGATCAAATATGCTGTTATAAGATACTTGACTGAGTTTTTAACTTGAAAGTTTTCGTCTTCCCGAAATAAGTGAATACAAAAAAAGATGTAAATTAAAGCCTAATCTAATTTGTAAATTTCATTAGTTTAAGACGGTAATTAATAGAACTCACTAAAAGATTAATTAGGGTACTTACTTTTCGCCTCGTAGCTGTCGTTGAGAGCTCCTTCGGTTTGCGCAGTCTTCCGCTTGCTCTGACTGCGATGATACAGGGTCACGAAATCCCCGGGGGCAAGGTTCAGTGCCTTGTCATAGTAGTACATGGCAAAGTTTTCCCTACGCCTGCGAGAGTAATAGGCTCCCCAGTCTTTGTATATGCCCTGCTCCACCTCTGGGGGCCATTCGATCTTCATCCATGGTGGTAAGGCCTGTCCAATGGTAGTTGGAGGGGCTAGATTCTGTACTATTGAAGTCATTGTTTAGTTTTTTTTTTTTTTTTTTTGTACTTTTAAGCTTTTTGCTTTTAAAACTTTTTTATATTTTTTATTTTGTTTTGTATAACTGTGTTATGTTTATCCCTCGAATATTTGGAACACAATGACACTTCCGATTTTGATAAGCTTGACTGAATGTATATGAAATGGTGACACGATTTCTCTGGGAGCGTGTAGTTAAAATATCAACACAAATAATTTTTAATGAGCCACACTAAAATTTAAAATTTTCGAAACAAGTATTTCATTTGGAATAGACAATGCAACTGAAATCAATGTATTAATGTTTTGACATTCATATCTGAGTGTTCTATGTTTAAAGTTTCCGGTTCCGGCGAATTGTCGTTACCCCTGACCTTTACCTATTGAACCATCTGGGACATCGGTATTTTTTTCCATAACGGCTTCATTCTTGCGATGGCGCCTGAATTTTCGGAAGAAGTTGGCGGAGTTATGGAAAATCACTTACAATGGGGGGGACGGGGTTCTTTAGGAAAAATATTCATACCGCGTACATAATAAGACTGTGTACAAAATTTTGAGTCTCTAGCTCTATTATCTAAAAGGTACAAGAGTATATCGGGCTTACGGGAGTTACGGGTAAATGTTACAAGCACGAGAAGGCGTGGCAGACCCCACAAAGAATACATACAAGGTGTGTTCCAAAGTAAACAGGACTTTAAAAAAAAACAGAACAAATGGTTTTTTCGGCAAAATCAATGTATTTTATTCAAAATAGTCTCCTTCTGCTTCAATACAGCTTTTTGCACGATCCAAAAGCATGTCGAACGAGAGTTTTAGCTCGTTGGCCGGTATGGCCTCCAGTATGACGGTGCAAGCCTTTTGAATGGCCTCTACGTCTGCATAACGCTTTCCTTTCATGGGCAAATGCATTTTTCCGAAAAGGTAGAAGTCGCACGGTGCCATATCAGGTGAATACGGCGAGTGGTTACTGGTTAAAATGTGATTTTTGGCCAAATAATCGGTCTCAAGCGTCGATCGTCTGAGCAATTTTTGGTCTTCAGTCAGGAAGTTATAGCCATAAATTTAATCTCTGTCCCAGCTTTGCTTGCAGGTCTTGTTGTTGTTGCTGCTTTGGCTCAGCTCTATACAGAGACGCATAGATATAATACAGAATATTTCAAACTCTGGGCGCTTGTTTTTATTGAATTGAAGTATTTTAAATATTCGGACACATCACACAATTTTTTTTTTTTTTTTCTTCGTATTTTATTTAAAACTGTCCATCATGGACAATCATTAAATTGGATAAAGATAAACTTCACAGTTTATTATTTCATTTAGAGTGTGGTTGTAGTATCCGGCTAGTCCCTGGGGAGGTCCAGAGGATGGGTCCTGAGCACATCACATAATAAACACCTAATTCTGTTTTTACACTGTACTATATTGGTTCCAGAAAAAAACCGTGTGAAAAAAGACATTAATCATATGCAAAAATAGGTGATTGGTTCCTTATCTTTGAGGAAATACTTATATATGCAATTTTTAATTTTCAAACCGTATTATATCAAAATCGTGTAAGAAAGACCGTCTAAAAACAGAATTTGGTGTACTATATTACTAAGACTAGCTCCCCCTTTGCATGGATTAAAAGAAAATGAATACATAGTTTTATGTTTATTGTCTTTTTGACAACTGTGCAGGTCGCTGAAAATGCTAATGCTTATAAAAACGTCGCCTTGCTCTTCTGCTTTGCAGAGAGATCCGAGTGAAGGCTTTGGTGGCTACTATCGTAGCTACTACGGACACTGCTCATGATACTTGCTTTCTTAATGAACAGTTCTTCTTCATTACACGCCATGCAAGTCTCTACGAATTTAATCAGTTTCGGGTTTTTCAGCTGTTCTGCGACCTGATGAGTTTTTTCGAGGGTATCCTTTATCCTCTCCACCTTATGTAACGAGGCAGCCGCTTTTATGATCAACAAGTTACTAAGAAACCGCCAAATTAAGCTGGGGCCTTGTTCGCTTTCTGCAGTACAAGTATGCATAAAGGCATTAGAATTACTTCAGATACTCTTATTTAGAAGAAATCAAACCTTTGATGGCCTTTCCAGAATAAAATGTGCATTCATCAAAATGGCTTTGTACTAAATGAAAGTATGCAATCTGGTGGAGTAAATAACACTTTTCGATGGAATATTTGGCAAAGATTAGTCGTCTCTCCAAGCGCGCTATCATTTGCCTAAGGATTTATGTCGAAGGTTAAAGCTGAATTTGTGAAGTTGGTAATTGAAAGGGAATGTGCAGACTTTACCTGGATTTGGTCACGGATGGATCTACCAAATCCGGTTCCTGGTGAGTTGATCGATCGCCAAAGACAAACGGATGATACTCGAGCGACTTGTCCGTCGGAAGACGCAGAATTTTGAGGAGAGCGTTTTTCTCATGTGTTCTGAATCGTTTGGGCACGTTATATTGATCCACAAGAGCAAGAGCCAACGTATTATAGATATCGTTCATGAACTCAAATTTCCATGGCATTAATCGATTCGTTTTAATCATAACATAATCTCCCATTAGCTCCTCAACGTACTTCATAAGTTTCTAGAGTTCCCGTACGATTTCAAGTTATTCTATATATATTACACATGACTTCAACTTACCGAAACATTTCGCTTTTCGCGCAGATAACGAACACTTCGTAATGCTGAAATCATGTTTCGACGTGTCTGGTATTGAATACGGAACAGATATTTTTGTTGTAATTTGTCCAGCATCTTTTTGTCCTTATATTTTATGCAGCGAATATAATAGAGAGGACTGCGGGTGTGTAACATTTTCTAGGGAAAGAAAACACTTGGTTTCATTTCAAATAAGTGAATTGAAAAGATTTTTGTTGCAGACCAGAAACTTTTTGACGACTTCATACTGATTGGTTGAAAGTGTGTTCAAGTAGTCCTTGGAATACTTGCAATATTGCAGGAGAAGGTTGGGATTCTTTTGTAAGTTTTTCAGGAATACTACATCGATCCATGACTCGTTCAGATAATTTTGGTTGAACACGTTAAATGCACGTTTTCTCCGTGCTAGCTCCAACGGTGACAACAATTCTTCCTGGTGACGAATACATATTAGTAGCAAGCGCTGCATACCGTATATACTTAATGCTATATTGGATGCCAACCTCCATCTCTGGTATACTCATGACATCACATTTTCCCTGTTCCTTCAATATCTTCCACAATGGTCGATTGTCTACAAGGCTCTTGGCCCTAACATTTTCCATAACTTCAGCGAACATCTTTTCGTACTTTGCTAAGAAGGGACCGAGGCACACCCCAAGTGTATCCAATAGGGTTTCATGCAGCTGAAGGAGATTCAAGTACAGTATTCCCTACATTTCTGGAAGGTTTGTTATTTGTGGAGGAGACTTACCACACACACCCGATCCTGGAAGATGTTCACTCTTATACCGGCAAATTTATGTAAGTTGTTGTGTAGCTCAGCGAAGCTGTCTTCAAACTGGTTTAGCTCGTAGAGAGCGTCGCATATTGCCAAATTGATTATTGAATCATCTCCTCCCCTTGCGGTTTTTGCAATATCTTTAGGCCAGAAAATATCCTCATTCAAGTACAATACCTATTCAAATGAATATCAGTAGACTTACGGGCTGCATCTCTCGAGTCCTGAAGGGCACTTTCCGTCATTGCTCTCTTACGTTTGCTCTGACTCCTGTTGTAAAGAGTCTTGTAATCCTCATTTGTAATATCCAGCGCCTTGTTGTAATAGTACTGAGCAAAGTTCTCTCTGCCCTTGCGGGAGTAGTAGTATCCCCAGTCTTTGTAAAGGCGCTGCTCTGCTTCCGGGCTCCAATCCAACTTAAACCATACTGGTATGGCTTCCTCCAAGCCAGCCTTGGGCACTTCTCCCACAATAGAAGTCATTGCTAATGATAATGTTCTACTTGTATGTGTTTTATTTATGTTTGTCTTTCGACTCTGTGTGTATACTGTCTGGACTTCAATCGAACAGCTGCCTTGATTGTATGATCACTGGAGAAACTATATAAGTATATGCATGATCAGCATAGGACGAGTCAATATAGACACATCTCCCTATCCGCCTGTCTATCCGTCTGCCTATATGAACGCATGGATATCATAAATTATAAGAGCTAGAATAGGAAAACTTGGTATCCAGATTCTCCTAAGTCTGAGAAGGCACAAGTTTGTGGTCTTGTTTTCTGATCGGTTTTTCATCATTGTCAAGAATGCAAGAATACCAAGGAAAATACTCAAAAACAATTTGTGATATGTGGACCTTAATAAGTGATTTATCTTTAAACAATGATACTAACATAATGGTGATTAAACGGGCTAATAGTTTTTCTTTGCGACAAATATATTCTCAATACATTTTTTTTTATAAAACTGTATACAAAATTACTGGTTAGTTTTCTGATCTTTTAGGATTTAAAAGTTTACTGAGTGAATTGTTAAAGCTATATGTAATGCATTGCACAACTATCAGCAGAATGCAGATTGAAAGAAATTAAGAGTGCTTATAAAAAAGAGACTAGTGAAAAAATAATGATAATACGCTGATGAAGTAAGTAGACTTGCATTTATCTTTTCATTATTAATTACAAATTTTTACGAATTTTCTGTTTCTTTTATTAGCATTGGATTAAGTTCAAATGAAGACTTTATTCATTTTGCTTTTCCTGTAAATATATTAAGAGTTTTATTTTCATGGTAAGTATTTGTAATGTTATGCTTTGGTTTGTTACGAACTCTTCACATCATGTGATTATTTTTAGTTTAATTGAAACATGTTAATAATTAAATATATTGATGATTTCAAATAAATAAATTAGAACCATTATTTTTTGTAATGAATGAAGGAATAGCATATTTTTGTATAATTTTATTAGCGAAATGGTATATTTAGGCAATCAAGATTAAGTTGGAAAGTTCAACGATATACTATACAAGTAATACTCACATGGTAAATAATCAATCCGTCCGTATGAGTAGGACATTTTTACAAAACTGCAAAGGGGCCATTAAATGAAAATAATACGATGATGGTGCTATGGATGTTGATGTAGGAGCTTAAAATAAATTTTCCCTTTTATACTGCGAGCTTCCTTTCGACCATGATATATCAACTCTATGTTTCAGACAGTGGCGCAACAATAAGGTGGCACGGGCCCCACACCCAAGAAGGCCCGGCCCCAGAGGCCGCGAGCTCTAAAATATTTGTTTACATTGGAATATTTAATCAAGTTTTATATCTAATAACGAAAGTAAGTCTTCAACTTCAATAACATTAAAAACATTAAACACTATTAGATGGGCAGGACGTTATGATGCCGTTTTTGCTTTAAAAGTTCGGTTTGTTGAAGTCCAAAAAGCGCTAACAAGAACAATTCTGTTAAATTGCAAATCAGATGAAGGAAATGAAGCTGTTTCACTCAAAAAGAAGATCGAAAACTACAATTTTATAATGTTATGGTTTTCCACTGTCTTGCAATCCTACTTACTATCGATGCAGTCTCTTAAGCGCTTCAGTCTAAAGGCACCGATCTTTCAAATGCCTTAAAACGTTTGAAAATTTGTCTAGAAGAATTGGAAAGGCATCGAAAACATTTGAAAATTAAAACTGGAAGCAAATAGTGTAGCAGAAAAATGGTCCATCACCCCTGAATTTCCTAAAACTCGTCAGAGGAAGGTAAAACGCCATTTTAATGAGCTTTGCGAAGATGAGCGTCTCCAGGATCCGGAAAGCTTGTTCAAAGTGAACATATTTTATCGAGTATTGGACATCATTATAACCCAACTGAAATCGCGTTTCCTTCCAATGAATGAAATTGTTTCAAATGTCAGTGTTTTGCAGCCATTAAAAGTTTTAAATGACACTGATCTATTGAAAAAAGCTCTAGAATTTTTTGAGATATATAAAAAAGAACTATCTGAATCATTTGCCAGAGAATTTCGTAGTTTTTGATCCACTTTCAGAGGCGAAATAGAAAAATCTTAGAGAGAGACCTTGCTGATTTATTAATAATAAAAATCATTTTATGTCCTCCAGCTTTCCTGAAGTAGGCACTCCATTAATGGTATTTCTTACAATTCCTGTGACTACCGCTAGTGCTGAACGATCACTTTCAAAACTAAAATTGATAATAACCTATTTAAGAAACTCTTTGAGACAAGTCAGGTTATGTAACTTGGCTATTGAAAATTCTATGGCCCGCTCTTTAAACGTTGATGATGTTGTAGACACTTTTGCGGAACAGAAAGCTTGTTTAATTTAAATTGTTATTTTTATTTCATTGAAAATGTGTGCAGGTTTCCTCTCGATGTTGTTCCTTCACCTAAAAGCTGGCGAATAGATGATGAATGCATTGAGATATTATGTTCAATGGATGAATGTGAAGTCTCGAATACGCATTGGGCTAGCGTAGGGACTACAGACCATCCCTCTCCCCTAAGAGAGGAGGCCTATGGCCATTAGTGGGACATATGCAACGTGCAATTGAGTACAACGTGACGATTTTTACAGATAGGGCCCCTTCAAAAGAATTTGCCACGGGCCCCAGATGGTGTAGTTGCGCCACTGGTCTCAGAAATAATAACAATAAATCATGTAAATATACTAAAGGTTTTTTAGCGATGATTCCATCGGCATATTTAGGTAAAAATGTTAAGTACTTGTACAAATACACGTATTATATAATATACTTAGTATAAGTAGATGTATGTACAAAATTTGGAAAGCGGCTGTTGGCCTCTTCCCGACTTGAGGAATATCAATATCAAACTATAAGTCACTAAAATGAAAAAACAATATAAATATAGTATGTATTTTTGTGGCTTAAATCGGGTATATATCGGTTTTCTGCAGGTCATTCACAGCGGCATTTCATAATTGGTAACCTGACAACCGCTCCCCCAGCAGAAGAAGTTTAATCAATACCTGATTGGGAGTTATGTATAGACTTGGGGCTTGGCTTCAACATCGAAATCATTATGTGAGTCACTCGCCATAGAATGGCAAAGAAAGGAGGGGTTCAGCAGCTGCAGGCTGATATCAGCACGGATGAAGAGTTTGAAAAGTTTTTAGAACGCCCAGGGCTGCTGGGTATAAGTGTATTTGAAACCTAATAGATTGCGGTAAACAGAGCAACTTACTATTCTTTTACAGTACTCGACGTATACTCGGAGTGGTGTGGACCCTGCGTGGGTATGCTGGGTAGTCTGAGAAAAATAAAACTTGAAATTGGTGGTGACAACTTACAGTTGGCTACAGTAAGTACGAATATTAGTTACATTATTATTAATATTATTATTATATTTTTTTTTTCGAAAGTGCAAGGCCGGTAGTATTTCCTACCTGAAAAGGTTTGACAAGAAGAGTGAGCCAACATGGATGTTTGTGGCGGTAAGTTGGATATATTTTTTCATTATTTTTGTGTAAATTCTGTGTTTTATATTGCTTTATATAAATGAAGAATGGCAAGGCCATAAACATTATGTTTGGTTGCCAAGTACCGAAGCTGGTTGAGTTGATTACCAAGGAATTGCAATCCACATTGGCCCAAGAGCCGCATCAGACCTATGAGATAACCGAACTACAGCCCATCGAACTGGAACAGCTGCGCATAAAGAACAAGGCTCTGGAGTTGGCTGAGAAAATCGAGCAGGAAGAGAGTCAAAGGAAACGCATCGAGTATCTGAAGTTTGTTACGGATACAATCATGGAGAATTTGCCCGATTTCGGCGTTACTGTGTTCGGGCCCCAAGTCAACCGGGACATGTTTAAAAAGCTCTCTGAGCCGGCTGACCCCCTGAAAATACAATGCAAAGATCGAAAAGTGTTCGCCATAACCGAAAGTGATTTTAACACTGTACATTTTGCGAGTGTTAATCCATTGCCACCAGAGGTTATCAAGCAGCTATACGACAAGGAACTGTTGATGTGCTTCTGGAAAGTGGATGAGACAATTGGCACGTCAACCACGATGCTCCTGCAGTACGCTCATGAATTGACGAAGGAGAACATAAAGCCCCCCGATGAGTTCAACGAAGAGGAAACAGTACTCCCACCTCTAATAGTACCCCTCGAAGTAAATGTGGAAATAACAACTGATGGTTAGGACACACTTAACTCGTAATATTCACATAATTATATGTATTTTCTATTTAGAAGACGTTCCTGGTGGCAGCAGAAAAGAAAGCATGGATGCAGATCCAGGAGATAATGTAGACATTATTGACGAAGCTGTCGTTAAGCAGGAAGTGGGAGAGAAAAGGTACAAGACTATTCAAATTCCCCCTGTGTGGGTGCCAAGCGACCAACGCACGCATGCAGCCCTCATTTACACCTACTTTCGTGGTCAGACATCCAGTTTTTTGCCACCCGATCCTACCCCAGAACCACCACATATCGTAATGACTTTCGACGCGTACAAGAAAAAAGATCTCATCAACTTGGTTGAGAGTTGCCGCGACGATATTCCATTGTATGGGTTCTTTACCAGCGATAATCCCGAGACCGCTGTTTTCATTGCGAATTCAGTTGAGAAATATAATGCAAAAACATATGTTCCGTACGTATAATTTTCAAATTGCAAAAGTTGCAGCACGCAGTTTTGATTTCAAACTTATCCTTTTCAGTACCGATAAAATTGTTCTGAAAGTCAATAAAGTTAACACCAATACGATACCACAGCTTATGGCTTTTGGTCCAAATTATGTCAGTGAAAATTCTGTGGTTGGCCATAAAATTGCGGAGATATTTTTCCCCCCCAGTTACAAATCTGCACAGCAAGAAGAGGCGGATTTACATGCAGACAAAACCGAAAAGCCGAAGAAACGGAAAAAGGTAAGTCGGCTATAGGAATTTTTGAGCCACTTTTTAATTCGGATTTGATTTGCTCATTTATCAAATCAGAATAAAAAGGGCGCTGAGGCCGAAGGCAGTGGTAAGTCCGATAACAATCCTCAAGAGAAACTGCAGGAGCTGGACGAGACTGCTAAGACCACTCCAGAAGAGGGAACGTCCACAACCAGCAGTGGGGAAGACAGCTGCGAGAGCCGGCCAGCAACAGCGGATGGTAATAATCCGATTGAAAACGCCAATGATGTGTGAGCAGCAAAATGAATTATGTAATGAATTGTCAAATTCAAAATTGGTAACGAATAAAAGCATTAAACACAGCTCGGATAATTTCCTCATAAACAAAGGCTCATGGCTAACAGCTATTGATAGCTTCTTATTAGGCCATTGTATGTAGCAGGTTTGAACTGCCTTATCATTGATTTGGGTTACTGGATAGTACAGTGCATTCAAGACACAAACCATGATTCACGAAACAGTCGGTAGAAACAATCCAATTCATAATCCAAGACACAGTCCAAAAAGCATCCAAGACACAGTACAAATCATAATCTGTAGCAAACATTCTTTGGGCGCTAAAGTTTTCCAAAAAATCCAAGAGATGGCGCTTGAAGCAATTTCATTTATTTTAAAGAGATTTGAAAACAACTAGTTTTGTTTGTGGATCAAAGCTGTAAGTCGTTTTGTGGCTCATGAATTTGAGTGTACACTAACAGCTAATACACCAAATAAAATTGCGGCTGAAAAGTATGCTAAGGTTTATGTAAACACAAATAGATCGGGTCTGGCCATGCATGTTAAGAGCTGAAAAACTGTATTAGTATTAATTAATAAATTAATAAGAATTGTTTAGCACTTGTAAGAGGCTGAGATTTGTTTGGTGTTTGTTAAGCCTTACAAATCGATATTGTAATGAAATTCTTGGCTTCTCACTAGCAGCACTACACGAATACCGAATTTAAGTTAAATTTTCCGAAAGTATTATTTTTATAAGCCAACTGGTGGAATAAGGTAAAAAAAAAGGGATAATGATCAATTCGATAGTGGAGACGGCAGTCCGTTGTCTGATTTGATGAATTCAACTTTTTAAATCGCGAATTAAAAATTGGAATAGGGATCAAATTAAGGAAGATAACGACGATTTCGAAGTGTCCGATGATAACGACGGATCACTTATCGTGCAAGATATCCCACAACGAAATGAGAGCATCCCGAAAGCATGTGAAAGAGTCAACACCTTGATAAAATGGTTCGAAAACAGCATCGATGCAAATCAAATGGCAGACCTTGTCAATATGCTCAAGAAAAAACAAATACTCTACACAAATTAAATCTAAGTTTATTTGTTGTAATGATGAAAACTAAGCCATTGAAATAAATTCGGCGTATTATTTCTATGTTTTTATTGTATTGTGCTCAATTTAGAAAAGTTAATAGTTAGAAAGAGTGAATTACTCTTGAGATATTTCGGTTAGCTTATTCCAGATTTTACTGGAGTCATTAATGACTTATTTCCTCTAATGTATCGTGCTGATATACATATATTTATATTATTTCAAGTGCATCGCAATGCAGAGTTGAGCCAAAGCAGTATTTAAAAACTAGTGCTGCAGTATTATGGCTAACTAGCTTAGTGCGAATAGATGTAACACCTAGAATCGACGGTTGCAGATCCCACAAACTCTACACATACATACATTTGTATATGTATCATCCCGATTAGTATGGCGAGTTAAGTCATTTTCATCTCATTGTCTGTCTGTTTCTATGAACATAAGAACTGCATACTTGTACATAGAATAATCAAAATTGGTATTCATATTCCCCAAAGGCCTAGCCAGATCGAGTTATGATTTTTAGCTGATGCACTGTACGCATGATATTCTCCTAATCCCCAACACCACGAGTTTTTTTGTATATTTTGGAATTCTAAAGAATTGGATCAATGCTCTCCACAACTGCAAAGTTACGTTAAGTAAACTTGGCATACGTAAGGGATGTATATTTCCCTACTTTTGCTTCAAATTTCATTCACATCGGTCATTTCTAAGATTTATTAGCGATTCAATTTTGCTACTTCCACAAATTGGTGCGGCAGGTTTGCGTTTATAAAATGGTTGCTATTTAAACGGTTATTACTATATAGTATATCGAAGAAATCCGAACAAATTTCTAGGCGAAAAAATGTAATTCGAATTCAACAATTTTGCACTAATTAAATAATAACAAACTATTGAGATTATGGCCGTCACGAATTTGTTTATAAGCATGTAAAATATTAATCCCTAAGCTGAGTAAAAGTTTTTCATTCGTGTTTTTAATCTCTTTGATTTATTGAAATGTTGAGTAAATAAAAGCCTGCTTGCAGTTGGTGCTTGCATTACATTCAATATTAGCTCCCTATTATTTCTAAAAACGGCATATTCGAAACGAATATAAGTAAAGTATTTAAAAAAATGTGCTTACCAGCGCCTTACTTACTAAATAGACGCTATATTTATTTAAACTGCAGCTTTCATTTGAAAAGACGTCTAAAATATTTATAGTTCAAGTTTTTGCAATAAGTTTATGAATTTGGTTGGCTTCTATAACTATTGAGTTCACATTCGTTATTTTGCCTCAAATTTTATTTTAGGCGTCTTAGCAGTTGCTCAAATGGAGCTCGGATTTTTTCGATTGAGTTCTGCAATTTCGCATTTCCCTTGGCAGCAATTATATGCATATGACAGATCTCGTACATCAGACAACAGCAGACGGGCAGCACTGCGCAATGCTATTAAACTAAAACGCTCTGTCAAACAAAGAATATTATGCGAGGAGCAGGAGGAGCAGGAGCAGAGCGTCTTACGAATTCCAAAGATCCGTGGTATGTGTGTATACATAGGTGTACTCGTATGTGTGCGTGTATATAAAAGCGATTACGGCAAGTGAACAAGTTTGGCCGCATCTCTGCCAGCCTACGGCTATTATTGTCGCTTCAAATTGCTGCTCCTTTGAATCGAGGCGACTTGACTCAGTTGCAAAGCGGCAGCGCCCAAAACCTAATTATAACCGCAATCATATAAAACAACTTTAAATGCCTGTCACTGCAAAAAACAAAAAACAAAAATGGGAAAAGGCGCAGAATCAACCTTGCAGTCCGGATGCTCTTGCGTGTAGTCGATATAGTATGTGGGCCTGCCTCTATGGAGCGTACACTCGCAGCAGTGGCAGACAGCCTGTGTAGACGATCAACATCAACATCATCAACATCGTCAGCACAACAGCAACAACAGCAACAACAACAGCAGCAGCAACAGCAACATCAGCAGACGCGGCATTGAGCGCTGCACCTGTGCATGGACTGGAAACTGTTCCTGTGGCTCGAATGTGTGCGTGTGTGTGTGTGTGTGTGTGAGTTTTTGTGCTGCGTCTGCGTCTGCGGTTGTGGTTGTTGGCTGGGGACATGACATTTCCACACGCACACTAGCCCTGTGTCAGTCATACTCGTACAGATACAAAGATACGTCTCCGTCTCCCGCTCCGTACGCTAATGTCTGTGCCGATGTCTGTTGCCATGTGGCAACATGTCAAATATTCAGGTATCGCGCAAATCTTCAAAGACTCGCCTGCCGCTCTCTGCGGCCTTGCCCCAACCTGATCGAGCGTGTTCTGCAGATTTTTGCCCCCGCCTGCCAGAACCTGCTCTGCCATCGTCCATCGTCCATCGTCCCAGGCTGCTGTCGTTATAAGTCACGATGCGGAGGCAATTAGTCACTATTAACGTACCGCGTCATCATTTATTCCATGGCGAATGCGCAAATGCTCGCTCTGACTGCCCTATGGAGAGCCCAATTGGAATTCTGTCACCCCAGTGCCGCAGACGTGAGCCGAGTGGAGGAGCACTCGTAGAGGAAATTGGACAACGCATTAACAGCACCATTGGAATCAAGCTCTGGATTAATTGCGTCTTCTGCAATTGCTGAGATAGACTCCCCATCCATGATGTACTTGTATTTATTCTCGAGTACAGTCAGCACTAACTTAACGATTTAACTAATAATCAATCTACAAAAAATGTCGGCGAATAAGCTCGAAAAAATTGATGCGAAAACTAATAAGGCATGAGCTTGATGGCAATACAAATTTGCTTAGACAAACATAAAGCTTCCTGGTTGTGTAGAAAAAGCCTCGATATTATAGGCTTGGTTTACATAGATATATATGTATGTATGTTTGTGCATAGCATATACGAAAAAAACCTTGCCGTACCAATTAATAGTGGTTAGGGCTCGTACATACCCCTTACTCTTCGCCCCTTTTCTGTGTTCAGCTCGCGTCTGTATGATGCGAGTTGTGAATTAAATCTTTTTTCTCCATTATCATATTAGCGTCTAGCCGGATACTACAACCTCATCATAAATGAAATAATTAATCGTTTAGTTTATTTAACAAATTTAATGATTGTCCACGATGGACAGATTTAAAAACACTCTGCTGATAACAAAAAAAAATATATATATTCTTGGTGCTTTTTAGGTAATTTGTTCCACTATAATTTTATATATTTATATATATTTATTTTGTATTCATCACTTTTGGAGGCATTCAATAAATGGACAAACATGTTCGCACGAACGCATTTAAATTCTTCGCGCACAAAACATCGAACACTAAAATCTGCCGCGAACATCTCCGTTAACGACGAACATTGCGTCGAACCGAACAAGTTCGATGAAAGAATTTGCATGTGGATGGATTGCCCGAAAATTGAGAGCAAGAGCGCACGGATCTTGAAGAGAGACAATACAAGTATGATAACTAAACATCATGCAAGCAAAACCAAAAACAAAAATTAAGTAAAGATCATTTACATTTAATTTGCATAGAAATCATTTGTTCTGCACCGAAAAGTCTATATATGAAAATTTGAAATAAAAATAAAATAAAATAAAAATTAAAAAAATAATGATTATTTTTGAATTTTATTTATTCTCTCACCATTTATGACTAATTTGAGTTATACTATACAAATGTGCCAATAATCATTAAAAGATGATGATGAATGATTACTCTTTACATTTTATTTATCGATCAAAAATAAAACTTCAGCTGTAATTTTGCGTTTTTCGTAGGAATTAGGGAATAGGATCAAAATTTAAACATTTCCTTAGTAATTATATTGTTTGATAATGTAACATTAAATCGAATTGGAATATAAATTCCTTTATGTGTATATCAGTTGTTGTAATAACACGGGTATTATTATTTAA